GTTGTGAAAGTAATCCGTCAACCATGCTTCTTCAGTATTAACAGAAATCAAACAAGAAACTAAAAATGAAGAGGTATAAAGAAATAAAGATCCTGATTACGCATTCCAATATAAGGAACCCGCATAGAGGCGTCAGGTGACGAAGGAGATTCGTGCCAGTTTCTGTGTGGCTTGATACAATGACTTGGTTTAACATGCAGAGGCCTCTAAAATGCATGCAGCTGTTTCTTTTGTCATCGGCACTCTTTATTTTGTTCTCCATCACCCCTTTCTCGTTTCAAACAATCGTAAAGTTACAATCGCAGTTTGTCAACTTTACGAAACCAGCTTAAGTCGACTCCGCAAATATAACCGATACTCAACAAACCTCTAGGAAGCGGTTCAAAAATTGGAATCCAGTGACAACCCACTCAAGAATGGAAGGTCGTCAGGAAATGAAATTACATTAAATAAAATCGAGGTCGACTTGTTAGGGGCATGCTCTAGTCATTATTAGCGTGGGTGATGCAGCAAATGGTCCACGCTCACATCTATTAAGGAAGTGGTAGCAACAGCTAAGCAAATGGGAGTCCCATGCATTGACAGCTGGTGATGAAATCCCATGACTATCAATTTCCTCTTACTTTCCCAACTCCATGCTATCAAACGCGTCGTCGGAAGAGAATCTTGTGTTGTTTGACCCACCAACGTGTGGTGGGAAAGGACATTTGTATTCAAACATCTGTTAAGTGAGCGCAAACGTCGTTGGTTGATTGTCCTTGAAAGATCGGCCCACTGTCCACCTCACACTTCCCAGCCACGCACCATTTCATCCGTAGAAGCCTGGGAACGTGCTTTGCCTCTAGTTGCAACTCGTTTAATTAAAGTGAAATTCACAAATGTGTGCTTTGTTGGGAGGGAATTGTAAATTACAATGGCAATCACATGGACGACTGGAATGTTTGCATATCGGTTTTGCATTTACATAGTTGTTGTAAAAACAGCGCGGTCCTGTCTGATTAGCTGACACATGCGAGAATGAGCCAAATCCTGTGCCATTTCTCACGTCTTGTGCTTTGGCCAGACTGGTCTGGCCACCAGATGGCTGCTCTGTGCTTGTGCGCTCGTTCAATTGTGACCAAAGGCCTATTTCCTCCTTACAGATTAAAATATCTCCAAGAATACAAGCACTCACAACTATTCACCTAGTCCAAGGAAACAGATCTTATATTTCTCTTTCACCGCATTTTAGGGTAGAAAGGAAGGAATTATTGCCTTATTCCCGCTCATTCTCTGCCCCACCCTGATTATACTACTTAAAGTGATGATTATCGCCTATTTTGGCGTCAACGTTATACAATTACGTAAAAAGCGGACCGTTGAAAAATGAACTAGTATAGGAGCGGAGGCAACGAGAGCCAGACTGTTTACCTCCAGGGGCAAATTATTTTATAAAAGTGGAGTCCGCTAGCCTGTATCTCGCTGAAAAATAATTAAAGATTATGAGCTGCAGTGATGACTATTTCAACGCAAAATATTTTTTGTTAAAAGTAGTTATTTTAATCACCATTCGGTGCATGCCAATCCCACTATTCAAATGCACAAGAGAAGCACTCTTTGTAATCACGGGCCATTAGAAACTTAAAGGGCATTTTGAAAAACTTTTTCAGCTACATTACACTTCAAAATATGTATTAGCTGCAGTTTATTAAGCTTTGCATTTTGGCAAAATTTCTGTTAAAATATTGTTCTCTTTCCTAGAGGTGAGTGGTCCATTTGACTAGGGCAAATAACAAGTCGCTCAGACCTAACAACTTAGCTAATGAGCAGATATAATGCCCTGAATTCCGCCAAATACTGCAACAATTTAATCATTCGCCTAACTCTTTGCTTTGGTTTCACGGATACCAAGGCTCCGAGATTGTACTTCCAACATTAAACGTGGCTGGGAAGCTGCTTTAGTAACCCCTTAGCTCTTCTCTATGTCAATAGTTCATATTATGCCCTAATTTTATCACTTCATTTGTCTTTAGAAAAGGTTCGGTTTGTTACAATACTGCTAGGCTTCACCTCATGCTTAGTCTTTTTTGATTATTTTCTTAATAATTTAATTTCATACTTCATGTTAAATTCCTCCGTGACATTCCCTTTCTTAGGTTTAGCTATTTTACTGATATGATCGACCACTGCTACCAAACTCTCTGCCCCACTACCAATTTTTAAGTTTAGGTAGGTTTCTGAGTTTTTAAAATTGAGTCAAATGTACTCTTAAGTAAGCGTTTATGTCTAGACTTACAACTTGGTGGTGTACATACATCAAGTGGTCATGGTTGCTGTAAAAAATGGCTATTTAAAAGTACTTGATAAAACACTACTTACTCTTATTTCAAATCCTTATTCTTTAGCACTAAATTCTCCAGTTGCTACCTTGTAAAAAGGTTTAAGAAGGCCTTTTTTTATTGTCATCTAGACGAAAAACCACCTATCGTTTATTCTAAAAATGTTGAGCTTTGTAGTTTTGGGGGGAATGCCTGTGAGAGGTTGATTACTCTATGCTTCTATTTAAGTAACGTGTACAAACATCAACTCCCATAAAATGTTTTGGCATATTTGCCCAAATTTACCCAAAATATTCTGTTACTTTTGCTATTTTGTTTCACTTTTCGCAAACTATTAACTAAATAATTTTAAATGAAACAAGTAAATCAATTTTGTTTTTTTCTACTTATAAACTCTAGTAGTCAAATTTAACAGGATTATTCTTGCCAGTGATGTAGTTTTATAGACCAATACCATGAATATTAAATTTGGAGAGAGATTGACCCTTTTTTACTAGGGCGTTCTAATGTCAGAGGTTTGAGTTCACAACAGCTTATTACTAGTTTCTGCAACAGGTTAGAGTAAGCTCCTCAATAATTATAATTTGTAAGAGAAGCTCTACAAGGGATACACAACTCCAACTACTAAAGCTTACTGCTACGTCTCGATGAAGATTTTTGCACCTTACTTTATCATATATACTGTCACTGTTGCTATGTAAAAACCGGTGAAGTTGTGAGTCATCGTCGGCCCGACAATGAGGGTCTACCAGTCTTATTTCAACATGATTCGGGGGTAGATCTCCACTGTTAATCCTATGGCGAAAGCACTGTGACACTGTAAAGTTCTAGATGCACTATCCCAGAGGCGACATTTGCGTAACGCGCACGTACTGAGCATGAGACTGGAGATTGTAGAGATGGTAGAGACTGTAGGAGGCCATCGATTATGTAGCATCCACACGCGATGTCCTCTGAAGTGCAGTTTTCTGTGGAGGGCCAAGAGCTGATGGAGACTACTAGCAAGAAAAGAACCATGGTTATTTTAGGGCAGATCACTAGCTTTATTCGCAAAACCATCGTATTTCAGCAAGTGTGAACTATGGGTCACGGCGAGCGGTGTGTTTACCAAAGAAGAGGGTCTCCTTCATCCTCGATTTGTACCAAAGAAAATTACTGTATCAGCTTTGCTATAGTAAACTTCTGCTGGGTACGTATGCATCTGCGTTTTTTCTGTCTAGTTACTTTTAAAACCGTAGTTTAACGAAACAGGGTTTCCTCTGGATGATATTAATTTTCCTCGATGATTTTTAAACAAAAATATATAAGATGGAGAACATCTGCAGTTTGTTTTTGCAATCCAGTCTGGTTTGATTAGATTTCATACATTTAGGAGCATTATATACGTCCTTATATTAGTTTTATCGGTATTTACTCTAAACTTAATCATTCCATACCCATTTTTCTGTTTAATTTTGTTATACAAATGGGAATCTGCCCATTATGAACATAATGTAGAATTTTCTGGACTGTATAAAAATTGAAAATGGTTATTTTTACTAATCTTTTGCAACATTTTTTTATAAAAATTTCATTTAAAGCCTGCCAGCACATACCTGATTTGCCGGTAGTAATAAACGGATTTTTACTGCATAAATGACCTCCGGTCTCCTTATTCACAAGCAAATTTTAAAAAAAATATCAAAATGTGCGTTTTCCATATGTATTTTAAAATAGCTAATGATTACATCTGTAGCAGAACAATGCTTTTGGGACACGAGACTTTCTTGCAGACCATTGACACCATAAAATTAGAGATGAATATGTACTGGATACGTACCGAAGGTCTGAGGTCCACTAACTTGATCTGCGAAAGCAATAACAACCAAAGCATTACATAGCCCCTCCCTTTTGACTGTCTTCCCCGGCCCTTCCCTTGGTCGACCTCCCACGTCTGTCGTCATGCCGCAGACGGTGCTACAAGAACAACACTTACAAATTAACAGCACCAGTCATAGAATTTGCGTCCAAAGGAAAAGACATCTAACTGTAGCGTCACCTATCTCTCCTGGCAATTCTACTGGATATGGGGTGTCGTCCTGTTTGGGGTCAGTGTTAAGGAAAGGGGGAGTGTGCTGCTCATCTCGCATGTGCATTGCTGGTGGTTAGGGCACTAGTCCAAAAGCAGTCATTTAACATGGGGCAGGGCTTAAGAAGTTTTGTGGGAAAAGAATTTCGTGCATACTCCTCCTTGCCACTGCTTTTACTTTTGTGCCACCCAGCCACATACATATCTGGTTTCTATTCAGCTAGCAGGGAGGTGGAGGAAATATCACCATATTCACTTAGCTGACATCTTTGCACAGGTGCCGTGGATTGCTCCCTAACGGACTTCGTCAGATGGTTCACTGCCACGGCTAGTATCACTTCATTTGTGTGTAGCATTCCTGCAGCACAAGAAACTGTGGTATTTACCGAAGGTAGACGTCATTTTTATCCCTTTTAAAAGGAGTCATCACAGATGTTTCCATCCACTGCAAACGCCTTCTCCCGTCTCTTTGACTTATAGCATTTAGTGGTAGAAATCAAAATAGATACCTTTTAGGATCGGTTTCGCTTTCCATTGTGTCGCAATACTTCCCTAAGACGAAAGAAGATATAATACTAACGCCGAACTATTATGACGTACACAAGGGCTAAGAGGATTCTGACGTGATCCAGAGGTAATTTCACCCGGTAAAAGTAAAAAGGCGGAGCCTAAAGTGCCAACCTAACCAGAAGGAAGAGTTAAAAAATAATCATGTCATTACAATTGTACATCCAACGAAGGGAACTCTTCAATCTCCGAACTTTGTGATTCTGTAGTAGTAGTATGCGAAGACGTCGAGCAGTCAGCTTCTTCATAAAAGATAGCCAGTCATGTGAGGCGTGGAGGGAGCGGTCCACACAGAGACTGCACCTGACAGATAAGCAAAGCAAGCGAATTAGTCATGTGAAAACGTGCTGTAGATTCGGGGGTGCCTAAGCTTCTTACTGCGTCGCTTACTTCGTGCCGTTTCCTTTCACATGTTCAAAGGTTGCCCAAATATTTTATTAACCTTCCCATTTGTAGAATCTATTCTCAAATACCAAGATGAACTTAAACATCATCAATTGCGGCACTCATTTAATCTACTCGACCAATTTTAGTCATTGAAACTACTGCTTCTTCCACTATTGTACCTTGTGCCTCTTCAATGTTGAAAATTCACCCGTGTACATACTTTCCCGAGAAATGACGCACGTCCGAATCAGCATCGAGATGGGACAATTATTGGGTAAATAATCTTTAAAAGTGTACATTCTTAGCAATTGTTGCTGAGCAGTTGCTGGGAGGACGAGCATCAAGAAACGACTATCAACGCTCCATTCAAATTTCACTCTTATTTCTTCTGAACACTTCAGCCCCATCCACTTAATAACTGCCTTGAGCACGTCCCCACCTCAACTATGCATATGCCCACGCTACTTAACATGCTTCAGTAGAATATTACTGATCCAACAGCCCAACACCACATCTCCCCAATCGGGATATCATGCGGCTTAGGAAATACACCCACCTCCGTGCCATTAAGGTGCACGTTGTCGCCACGCCAATTCGTCGTATTCACAGGTCCATAGCACAAAGGCGGGGAAAATGAGTTTATCTTGGACAAAAATGGACTAAGTGGCACTTTTTATCGACAATAATGCATAATCATCCAAGAAAACCGAACGCAAGAAAAAGCATAAAGTAAAGGGTAGATTAAAAATGTACATTACTTATTATAACAGTAGCAGGTATTATATTCAAGCAGGCGTTGTATCATAGAGTTAAGGTACACATAGGGTAAAACATCTGAAACTATAAGTGACCTCTGTACAGGGATTTAGTGGCGTTCTTGTTCTCATGCATCCACTGCCATGGTTCGTTGATCAAGGGGTAGCCAAGCATCTTCCTCCGGAGAATAGTAGTAATTTGCATCCTCAACAAACAGGAAATAGGAGCAAGAATCGCCCTCCATGATCATGGGCGTCCACGGCTTCGGCTGACCGTTGTCCACAAACCGCGTCACCACCGGTCCCTCGGACGCCGTCAACAGTCCCTCAGCCAAACCAGATTTTAACTTCGGCTGTCTGCCTCGAGGTTTCATCACCTTTGGTTTGCATATCGGCATTGGCGGCCGAACAACCTTAGGTGGGGGCGGAGGAATGGGTTGAAACGACTGCATTGGCGACTCGCTGACGGGGAGTTTAGGAGCGATGGGTACAAAATTCGTCGGCGTGACCACTGCAGCTGTTGGGATAATCGTTTGCCCACCAGACAGCGAAGTCATGGGCTGAATTACATAGCCTAAAATGGGCTGTCCCTCAGCCACTCCGTTATCCCCTTTTTGACCAGCCGTCGTAATGATGGAGGCACTATTAATCAGCTGTAACTGGCCATTTCCAGCATCTGCTATTACAACATCCTTTGGGAGGGTTGCAACCGCAGTAGAGGGAAGGGTGACAACGCCTGGGCTGCTGATAAAGGCACCAGATTGAGAACCAAGAGCTTGCTTTAATACAACCGGTTGCGGAGAAGACTGAATAACCGAAACCGTACTACCAGTCACAACCGGAGTGACTATTTGAGCAGCTTTTGGAGGGCGGCCAGGCAACTTTACCGTTGTTCCAGTAACAGGGCCAGTGGAATTATCCATGGCCTTCTGTTTCCGAAAAAGGTTTTCGACTGCCTTTGCAATCGCAATGGAGTCGGTTTGTGAGGGTGTCACGGAATTGCTGCCAGCATAAACACAACTTGAACTTCCAGAAGCTAGTGACGATATACCTCCATGTTTCCAAATTTCAACAAGGGCTTCCAGCTCACCGAGGTGTTTGTGGAAATCGGGACCAGAACCACCGGCGGCTAGTTCGGCCAACCGACGGAGACAGGGAGCCAACTTCAAGCCGCGAGCCTTCTTAGTTCTAGCGGCCAGACGATCTCTCGCGGCAGCCTTACGTTCCTGAATTGGTCTTGATTGCGTCTTGCCTGGCGAACCTATCCATAGATGACCATTAGAAGATCCCTCACCTCTACTCGAATCAAAGGATATATCATGTTTTGGGAGCTGGTCAACAATGTCGTCCAGTACGACCTGTACATCTATAGCAAAAAAATTGAAGTAATAACAGCGAATATACCATCACTAATAACGAGTTCGTCTTTACCAGATTCCTGAACCTGAAGTCTGCGAACACTCTGATCGATTTTTACAGTTTCAGGCAGAGGTGAGTGGTTATGTATCATATGGTACTTTGTAATCCATAGTTTGCCGTTCATAGCGGAGAGACTTATTCTTGACCCACAAGAACCCCGAGAGTTCCTTGGAGGTTGTAGGGAAAAAAGTTCTTACCTCTGATTTCTTCGAGGAGTTACTGCACTTTGGCACACGCCATAGTGGTAACAAGAGTATTGAAGTGTACTGTACACCAACCTTCCTCTATCAGGATGGTCTTGGGGAAGGAACTTCGAACTTTGTATTATGTATATGGATCCAGTCAACTGGTATATAAATAACACGGAAATACGCTTACTTTTTCGAACTCCTTTAATTGACTGTGAAATTCTTCAAAGGATGAAAATTTCTGTGAGAAGAAAGCAGTAAGAAACTCGGTTGTAGTGTCCATAGTAAAATTCCGGGTATATAATTATGCGGTTTATTTGATTTCAGATATTAAACAAAATGTCTAAGCCTCATTGAGATGGTCAAGGGACGTGAGGAAACAGTGACAAAAAAGCCTCCGGGTCAGAAATCGCTTCAATTTTCAATATGGCTCTCAAAAATCGACGCTTCTGACAAGCCAATTGGTAAAATAATATTTGTTCAGATCATGTCGCAATTCAGTGAGCATAACATTTCTCCCTTATTCAAATATGGAATTAAAAAATTCTTCCTAATATACAATTAATAAAAAAGGTTATGTTTAGTTCATAAAAGTTATTTAAGTTTAATCTTGTTTTAATAATTTCCTTTTATACAAGTAATATCTTGCTCAAGCTAGCTTGTACAGATGAAAGACGAAATAAGCTTTATAGCCACGGAAATTTGAAAGCATTTTTTAATTCTTTGACCACAAACTAGATATTATTTTCCTACACACCAATTTGTTCAATCTGTCCAGAAGGGGTAAAACCTTTTTCCGAATTTTCATTCGGTGCTTATTAATAGATAAAATGAGCTACTGACTTGTGCTTGACTTACTCAAGATGTCACAATCTTCCTCGTTCTTCGTCAAATCACACCGTTGTTTACCAATGGGCTTTATTGTGCAAAAGCCGTATCATATTTGGGTTGCTATCCGTTAATCATCATTTCTACCACATTGTTGTATCCTTCCCTTCTAATTTTTTTGCTCATTGATCATCTGATCCATTCGACGTTCAGATTAAGGTGCCAGAAAGCGTCATCCTGCTAGCATAGTGTCACTGGTTGGCACAAATCATATTACTTCAAGATTCAATAGTTGTATGGTGCATTACAACAGAATTTTTTAAACCCAATTTTGAAGCTGAAGAGTGTGTGTTTTGTCCTAATTAAGGGCGACGAAACAGTGCGCCTGAAATATCGTGTCGTTTATACATTTTTCCAGTGATAATTTAGCATATTTCGCTGATATAAGGAAGTAAATTCCCTAGTGTACGTTGGTTTCAAAAGTGTGTAAGTACTGATTCAAACCCGTCTTAACTACAAGTTGTAATTTGGGAAAGTCAAAATGACTGCAACCCTGAAGACCTTTTAGGTGCACTCCGGTAGCAAATTCCTAGCTTTGCCAAACGTAGAACTGCTGTTCTACATCCCGAATTTATTCCTTGTGTCCCTTTCCTATTCGACGTTGCAGAGACTTGAGTTTCCCCTGAATTCGCAATGAGCTACACCGATATGGGGACTTGTTGTAAACATACTGAAGTGTAGTGTCCCGGGACTCCCTGAAGACGAAAGAAGACACAATACTCGGGCAGAATATACATTCAGCGCAGAGAAGGTGTCTGGGCTATTGGCATGGCCCAAGAGGTCAGCCCATCCAGCGAGGTACAAGGGAGCTAATTCAAAGTACGAAAGTGGCGCCTCACCAATACCGAGGGATAAACCACTATCGTATTACAGAAGCGCTGGAAGGTTATCAATAAGGCCTTCCGACCCAGTCACCAAGACGGAAGTACAAACCACGTTCAGCGATGTCCTCACACAAAGAAATTTGAACCGGAGCTAGTATTGAGTCACTACGATAGTCCTAAGATCTAACTGCAGCCAAAAAACAGATAAAATTGCGGAAAGTCAGTTGAATCAAGTCAGTTTTGGTCAGAAAAATGATGACGGGTATCCGCTTGATTCAAATGTTGAGATTGTAAGTGCGGCTGCTTTTTAGAATCCCTTTCTTCTTGTTGTAAAGCAAAAAGAACAGAGCAACCTCCACATCTCATTGACGGTTTTTCGATTGATTCGCCCTTTTCAAAAAATTGTATCAAATAGGGGTCGCGAAGTAGTAGCCTAATCGCTTGGGCCTGGGCGCACTATTTCCTGCCTGGTGTGTCTCATCATTAGCCAGGTCACATACTTCCATTCCCGTGTGTGCTCCGCGCACACCCGCCCGGGCTAAACCCCCTTCGACCTGGCTTGCCCTTCCAGCACGCATGTGACGGTTGCGGCCCAAACAGTGCAGTGGCGTCACAGTCACTGCCTCCTTTAACGCGCTCGCTTGCAGCGGTTTTCACCACTGAGCTGGATTTGACAGTAAAAAGCAACTGGTGTCTTGGCGCAGTAAAATGTGAGTCACAGTCACTGATTTCGCCGGGACTCTGACATCCAACTCGTCAATGACTGAGACCCGAACCACTGGGCGCCCCTAGACGCGCAGACAAGGCACAGACACTCGGGGCAGCCCATGGACGGAATGAACAACTTGGGGTACGCATCCTCAAACCAAACAACCAATTCACCAGCCACTCATTCCCACAAGTAAGAGACCTTGGCATTCTAGGACAGAAATCATGCCACCTTTAAGGCTCGCCATCTGACCGAAGCGGGGGAGAAAAAGAACGATAGCAGTTATTATACATGCGCGTTTATGATCATGTGTAAAATTCAACAATGGGGGCGGGGATATGGAGGATCCTTATTTTTGATCGTGTGGGATGGCATGGCACCGATCACGTGATCCTGCGAACACGCAAGTTGTGCAAGGTGGTTGGGTGAACCTTAACGCAACGCTAACACAAGAGCAATGCGCGTATGCCTGCGGAAGATTGTCGTGGTGGTGGTGACGGTAGTGCAGTGTTCGTTGCTTTTCGTGAGAAAAAGACGATAAAAAAGCGACTTAAATGTAGCGGCAGACAACTATAAAGGGGGAGGGAGTAATAGGGGAACGGGGAGGGATAGCGCAGTGGTGGCGAAGGAGAGAACAGCCAGCTGAGAGACAGCAACCGCGCCCAGCCCCCTGCACACGCGCACAAAAACGATGTCTAGTGGGGAGAAGTTTGAAAAATTGGAGGGACGGACATACGACGTGCGATCCGGATGAGGCCTAGTTATTAGTCCCCGTGGCCTCTGTGACCTTCGTAGTAGCGCCTTCGGCTGTCGCATCCCCATCCACATTCGTTTGCTGCTCCACGGTCGTCACCTCCTTTGGCTTCTCTGATGTTTCGGTCTTAGTCTCCAACGTCATATCCTCCACCTTTTTTTCTAGACTTTCTAAAATGACAAACATTTAGGCTGTTTATGCACTAATTTAACCTCGAACCACCGCTAGACTACCCTGGGGTTATGCAAAGCGCCTTAGGAGTAATGCATAGTTCGAAAGCAATGCATAATTATTTGGCTGCAAAATTTATTAAAGCCAAACAAGTGACCCGCGGAGATTGTTTGGTTCCGACTTCTACCGTCTTTTCGGTGCTTTCCGCGAAATTCTCTAAAAAAAGTTTTCCCTCCCCCATTTGAGCGTCAATAACGTCGGACAAAATGAGGGAAAACTTTGGTTATCCAACTAGAAGCAGCTGAAGATACCATGAAGGAAAAAGAGCAATAGCGATTAAGCGATTAGTGGCGAGCAGTAAAGATTACTCGGTTTGGTATGAAGTACGGTTTTTTTTACAAATACCTGATCGTTTATCAGCTGGTTTCCCTACAGTGCTTTATTTGAGCTGTGGTCCTGACCTGTCAAAAACAGTATCAATAGCAGCAGACTTCCCTACAAAACATTCATACCCGGCAATAAAATGAACCAAACTAAGCCACAACGTTTCTACGTAATGCTTCGCAACTTAATCAGTACGGAAGAGACCATGTACCAGCATGCTCTCCAGAGGCCGAATTCACATGCTCCTCGCCATCTCTTGCGGATGCAGCACCACCACCACGACGCATTCTGCCGCCTCCACCGCCCCTTCGGAAACGTCCACCGCCTCCACGGCGTGGTCCCCCTTGCTGTTGACGTAATACGCCGCCCTCTTCACCATTAACGCCAACGACGTCCTCACCATTCATCTGTTGTCTGGTGCTGGTGGAGTGTTGGCGGCCTCGGCCTCTGCCACCGCCGCGGAAACGACGGGGGCGCTGACGCAGCACTCGCGACCCCTCCAAACCACCGCCCAGCTCTTCGCCTTGCTCACATCCTACATTCTCACCGTCACCCATAGCATTTTGGCTCTAGAAAATCAAAAAAGCATAGATGGAGTATGGGTGGCGGATAAATCGCATACACATAAGGCGATAATTTATTTCCCGAAATTACCTTGGATTCTCCAATACGCGCTAATGTACTTATGAGTCTATGCTGGGTAATAATCCTAGTTTGGCGGTAAACAATGGCTAAAATCACTTTAACTGCCCTAGTTATTAGTGTGCAAGAGGCGTGCAAAAGCCCCCATGTACGTCTAGTGCACCGCGATGCAAATAACTGATAGTAATGTGCACTTGTACTAGACGTAATCACGGAAGTGGCCAATCAGAGGAAAGAAAGGTTGGGAAGATCTTGTGTAACGTAAATTTTTATCCTCCAGCAAAATGGCCACTTTGGCTCTGGAATCCCCTGAGGATGCATGTATGAGAATACATTTTCTAAATCAGTAATGTTAACTAATTTGTTCATGTTAAAATCAGAGGAAAGTGAGGAAGTTAAGCCGTGGAATGACTGCCTTTGTCTCAGTCTACGTGGACTACGTCCTTCTTGTTCAACCAAAAGAAACGAAAAATAAGTCTGTCTGGGTCTAGAATGGATCAATGATGTTTAAAATTCCACCAATAAAAATTAGTTACTTCTCATTAAAAGTGTCAAGATGGACAAAAAGGCGCTCGTGAAACCGTGTCAAGAGGCGCTCAAATGGGAGTTTAAGTTTAAAAACCTTTCGGGATTCAATTTAATGGTGTTTTTACCAATTACTGGACTGCATAGCACAGTCCAGACAGATTCTGCATAGCAATTTTAGTGTGAAACGGGGAAAAAAGTAGTGTTCCTACAACTCATTAAAGGGAAGCAAACCCTCTTAACGGTAATGTCCCATGGAAATATGACGTATCACCCAGAGCAAGAAATCGCCACGGCACAATCACACAGGAAAACGGGCTCAAACAACTACCAAGACTGAAAGTTTGTCGTGCTACAAGTGATAGCGACGATCCATAGGAAACATTTTTACGTAGGTGTAGTCTTACGAACGGATAGGAGTCAATCAAATTCGCAAATCCCGTCTTGTGGACGTGCAAGCAGTATAAATAGGAGGGAAAAACATGCCGCAAGAACAGATACCCATCGTTAGTTGGGGGATTTAAACAAAAAAGAAAACCCTAGCTTAGATACTACAGCATTTAGCTAGACACGATAACAAGTTACACTTGCATACTAAGGGCGTACATACATACAAAATGCAAAGTATAATTAGAAGATTCCACGATGAACTATATGATCGTGCAAATTTTCAAGGGATCACACACAGAGTTTAACTTTAGCTATATGGAAAGTAACAGTATATTCCCTGCTTAAAACAGAAATGAACGTAAGGCTGTATGAATCGAATGCATTACAAAAGAAGTCCGGACAGTTCTTCATAATTAAACAAGAGAACTAAGCACTAGAACAACAGCTATAGCATCTGGATGGTAGACAAAATTGGATACTAGAAAATGAAATGCTTGGCAGAAAGGAAAAACTTACTGGCCGGAAAGGTCTTCGTCCGCGTCTCATCCTGCGGAGACCCCCCCGCTGACGCGTTCCCTCAACATCCCCACTGGCTTGAGTGGTACCGTTTAACTTGGGTTGCCCTTCACCAGCCTCAACATGAGGTTTCGGGCGACGGAAGAAGCGGACGCCCTAACAAGTTCACAAAAAATATAAACTATTATAGCTTGCACACCCGTCTACATGCTGAAAAATTATACATGTTGGATTGAGAGGTGATAGATATCAACGGCCTTTAATGTTGCTTTAGCTCTAAATATTCACCTGGTTCGTAAGCGGTCGATCTTACCTGCATTCAATGTATCAAAATTGAATGTCAGGATAGACGGAGAAAGTAACTCGCATCTCCAGGCAAAAAATTATTCGCCTAAAATGCACCCACTTGGGCTCAGAGGACTCCTATAAAAGTTTGAGCATTGGCTAAAACACCCAATGCATACAAAATTCAGAAACGGTAGGAATGTCTGCAGTATTGTGACATTGAATGAGAAGTATGGCAGTGTCAATCAAGGTAAGCCTAAAAAGTGCATTGCATCCATTCGCCTGTACTCGCAGTATACCAAGCTTGATTAAAACAACCAAAAACAAGCCGAAACATTTCCACGGAGAAACGGAATCACGTGAAATACCAATTGTCACCTCGAAATAGACGTACAATAATACCAACATCAACTTAATCATAACGACAGAAACTACACCGTCCCTTACAGATAATTTAGACTGAAAATTAAATCCGCGGACTTCTGCACTGCCCTTATTTCCGTTTAAGTGAAGCACCATGGTAATACATTTGCCGTAGCAGTAAACCACGAACTTACGTACCGATGACACGATAGAGCAGGGCACACCTCGGTGAGCTTGCCGAAAGTATCGGCAGCTACCTCGCTCATGCACGCACGTACGTTAATAACACCTAAACACCCACCCTTGGACTCTATTTACTTTCACACCGAATTCCAGTCACCACTCGAGGAAATAGAAATGACCTTCAGGAATTAAAATCTACGAGAACCACAAACCATACCTTGGTAACTGATAGCAAATTTTAGAAAGGTGTGGCTGAAAGCGGTCGTAATTATGGTGTACTTCAATAAGATCTCAGGTGGGCTACTAGGTTTCAATTGGCGTAATAAAACAGTAAACCCGATCGCACCATTTCCGATAAGGTGCGTTCACCATTGAGATGTTTAACCGTACTTGACAGTGGTTACCGGTTGATAATCTGTCAATCAGGCTCTAATTCATTGTTGGTACCGATTTTCATACCCTGTGATTTGTTAAGCATTATCTATTCCGACTCGGTTTCGAATTCGACCTCATCTTTTTAATAAAGCGGAAATGTTTGTTGCGACATTTTTTGATCACTAACCTAACATCAACCTGGCAGAGATTGTTAGGCCTTTAAATTGACCAGCTTTAAACCTGCATAGCTGTGAGACGTTGAAATCACTAAATTTTGTTCCTTTTTTAAAAGGTATGCAAGTGCGACCTTCGGTTACCCAATTTCACATTCTACAATATGTTCCAAACGTATCGAGAACTTACCTGAACTTGTCGACCGTTAGGACCGGTAACCGAGGCTGCGTTTACACCACTGGCCGTTTCAACGACAGAGAATTCAACAGATTCACCATTTTTGAGAGTGGGGAAGCGGGATCGAGAGGCGGTAATAGCTGTTCGATGAACAAACACATCTTCTTTGTTGTCATCACGCTGGATAAAGCCGTAGTGACGCCTCACACTGAACCATTTCACGGTGCCCGTAACTTTTTCCACTATTCACACAACGGATAAGTTAGGAAGTACTACAAAATATTTCAGCTCCACTTAGGTAATCGCTCACCATAGTAGCGAATATGTCAAAGCCAAACATCTGAGAGCACATAACAGACACTACGTAATCAGTAAGAACTAAGCAAGTACCAAACTCGAACAACCATTCTTACACCACCTGATGAATGTTGTCAAAACCATTGCCACACCCGAAAACCAGTCTTATAAAAAACGCTACATCACAAACTGACGCGAATGAAAAACGGGTATGATAAATCAATCCGCGCTACACACAACAAACAAGGATAGTAAGCCGCGGACCACGCAGTATCATCACGGACGAAGCGTCGTAAAGCAGGAAAAGCAGCTTGTAAAGCAGGATTTTACGTACCAATAACCTTCAAGATATCAAACCTCTTTCGTTCAGGAGCACTTGGCTGTACCTCAGCCGAATGAGCAACTTCGGCAGTCATTTAAGCAACGCACCCAAATCACGCAGTACCCCAACCTTATAGCAACTACCGAATTAAGGCTAACAATTTGAAGGGCTGAGTTTGATTGGTTCCTACGCTTTTGTTTTACAGCACTAATTCAACTTATGGCAACCATACAGAAGGAATGCATTGTGTAATTTGAAAATGAAAGCGGCTTTACCCTAATACTTGAGCAAAAAAACTATAAATAAAAAACGTTGTAGCTGATTCCGTGTGTTCAGGGCAACCGGGGCCTCTGGTATTTACAACCTGCCAGTGGTTGATCGGAATTCATAAATCGGGGATGCGGTGGTTCAAATTTGTTTGTATTTGTCAAGGCTTTAAGCTTAACCTCAGGTAATATGTTAATTTTTGCTTTTTCCCCAAAAAACGTAGACCAGGATTTGTAAAACACTGCTTAATCATTTTTAGAGTGTTGTATCACAGGCAAATTTTTTTAATAACCATTCTCGCCCTATTGTCATGCCTCAATATCATTTAACTGCAGTGACGACAGTTGTGAAAGTATCTTATTATTTGCCGATACACTATTTTCCATTTATTGGCCTAACAAAGGTCAAAATGCTCGCTCCGCCGCTGCACTTCTGATCCGCCTGCCTGGAGGGTGGGTCATGTCGTTGCACCATCCGTCGGTCATTCGAGTCGGCTCCCGGAAAAGCCAATTGGCTCTTCTGCAAACTAACTTCGTAATTAATCTACTACAACTATGTCATCCACAGTGCAAATTCGAGATCGTGAAAATCTCAACTACCGGTGACAAAGTTCTCGACAAAGAATTGTCGAAGATCGGTGACAAAAATCTTTTCACGAAAGAGCTTGAATTCGCACTACTAAACGGTACGGTCGACTTTGTTGTGCATTCTCTCAAAGACGTTCCCACTACTGTGCCTGAAGGCCTTGTACTCGGTTGCATTTGCTCCAGGGCTCCACCTTTCGACGTCGTCTTAATGTCTCCCTCGAATCGTGGTAGAAAGTTGTCTGAGCTCCCACCAAACTCCGTTGTCGGAACCAGTGCACTTCGTCGCATTGCTGTATTGAAGCGGAGGTTTCCCCACCTCAAATTTCTTTCCGTTCGTGGGAACTTATCAACACGACTTCAAAAACTTGATGCTCCAGGTTCTGAAGAAGTTTGCGACTCAATCACCAATCCCAAGTACGATGCGCTCATATTGGCCGAAGCTGGGGTTTTACGAGTTGGGTGGAAGTCCCGAATCGATGAGGTATGGTGGTCAGTAGATTCTATAATCGGTAATTTTTACCCCAGTCTTGCAATAAACTGTTAAACCAATATTTTTCGAACAGACTTTTGAGTTTGTTTTTTTTATGTTAGCATCTGCCTACGTTTGTGTCCCAGTTGGAGTGTTATAAAATACGCTACCATCGGTTTTCACTTTGGTAGTTTTCATTGATTTTATAATCATCAATGTTTGGAGGGTTTGATGCTAGTTTTCCACATAACTGATGCCTGATTTCCTTACCTGATTTCGACCTTCTAAAGGTATAATAGGAGTTCTTCGTAGGTTTGTGATAATCATTGACTGCGCAAAATCGTCTCACATGCAGTTTGGTTAAGTTCGGAACATTGAAACATGCGTAGGCTGTTCATGGTCTGAGAATAATGGCAGTAGTTTTTAGCATAGATTCAGTTTGTCGAGGACCCATAATAACTGGCGTCTTGTGAAAAAAGACTGAGCCAAACCGATCGATTTTCCTTTGAGATCGTCGTGACATACGTGTTAGCTTTTTCGTGGACTCCCAACCTGACAATCTTTGGGTGTGATCGGTCCATACTGGCAACATTATATTTTCACAGCACTAACTTGGTGTTTTCCCTCCTGTTGTTTATTGCTGACTCTAAAGTAGTTTTGGCCACTTTTAATAGATACCGATTGTCGTTGTTTTGTGATAGAGATACATCTCCGTTTGTTAGATACAATTGGCGTTAAATCTTGTAGCATCTTAACTGGGAGCGTTACGCTGTGGGTCAGGGTGCGTTGGCCTGCGAATGCCGGCTCGGAGATTCGCGTATTCAGCCCCTTCTCTCCAGCATTCATTGCGAGTCCGCAGCTCTAGCCTGCGTTGCCGAAAGAGCCTTCATGAATCGTCTAGAGGGCGGTTGCACCACACCTATTGCCGTGCGCACCGAACTCAGCCCTGGTGGAGTGGCGGGCGTCAAGGGTGTCGGGATTGGGAGAGCCCGTTTCCTCTGCCTTGATGCGGCTGTGCTTTCGCTGGATGGTACGAAGTGTGTTGAGGGCAAGCTGGCCACTTCCTTGCCATTCTCTATGCCGTCGGATTGTGCAAAACCGCGAAAGGTGGACGTGAGGCCACTTGTAGACAGTTGTCCGACTCTAGATGACAATGTCTCAGAGGTGAATTTATTTTTGAATACTTTTATTTTTAGAATCACTGCAAACTTTGTCTGTCTTCCTCAAATTTCTTTGGTTTGCCAGCTGAGACCTTCAATTTCCGATGTGACTGCATATCTCTTAATCGTCGCGACAATACTTAGACTGCCTTGACTCATGCTGCAAACACTTAAACCATGTAGCGCAACAAGACTTTCCGGTATTTTATTAGCATTTGGGATACTGATTTGTGAATCTATAGTCACATGAGCTAATATAGTTGTTGCATACTTAGTGGCATGTTACTGGGAAGTGCGGATACTGCGAAGTCCATGCAGTTAGATATCAGCAAATTCAAATTTTATTCTACTATATTTCTTCTTGTTCTGAACGTCCTCAGTGTTCCCTGTAGCTGCTTTTCTGATTCACCCATTAAGAGTCTTCATATGATCTGTGCGAAACATTGCGACAGGAACGAAGATGGTACCACGAATTCGTTTGTTGAAGAGCGCCCTATGACGGGTACATTTCGTAAAGCGATTGCTTTATCGTGTTTTTATGTAATGAAATATTAGGCGATTCTTCAAAGGGCATCTTCAATTCATTCAACGCTGATCACGCTCCTGTATTAATCATTGTGTTGAACGTGAGGTTATGGTAGTTGCCAAAGTCAATGAGGTTTCGATGATCCTTCTGGCGTTGGTCTCTGTGAGTTTAATCATCCACAGCAGATGTCTTGCGTGAATTGCCTTCCTTTTGAAGTTGGTGCAATTAACGCTGACGCCAATGTGGTGCCCATGATGCTAGCCTAGATGTAGATTTGTTCTCAAAGTACGCAGGGGCTAAGGAAATATCAAAATAGGTGAGATGTGCAGGACACCATGAAAGCGGTGTTGTACATAGAGGCTTAGACAGTTAACTATCCTCTTTTCACTTAGATGGAGGAGTTCTGCGCCGAAGACGAGGACGCAGTTTTTCTGGGTGTACAGGTTTCGCCAATCTGTCCTATTGGGCGGCTTCGAATGGCCCGAGCCCGACGCCTTGGTGAGAGCCTCGCTGAACGTCTCTACGCCTCCGGTGCTGCAGAAATTCTTGCAGAAATCAGGGCCAGCGCAACTCCTGTGCAATTAAATTTGAAATTCGGTGGTACGAACGTCTGTCCGTTCCAATTCGACCACCGACACCACAGCTGGAAGGATGAAGGGGACAATACAACTGACTGTTTAGCGCCGTCTTCATGAACATCCTTACCTCTGTTTGGCTCCCTGTCCCCTGCCGCGTCGTACTTTTCTATCGTATTTTAATACAATCTAGACTTCGGAACACGCTTCTTCTTGTGATGCTGCCGTTTTTGTAGCTAAAGTGGTGCCAATTACTCCTAACTTTTTTGGTATTTTTTTTCTGGGGCTGAAAAGCACATTTCAATCTCGTTTTTTATCCCATCGATATCAGTCTTCAAAGCCTTGGAACCAAAGTTACTCTGCAGACAAGATGCAGATTAAGCCAATTATGCCAACTGGCAGTATCTCTTATGCTTAATTGAAGCTTATTCAAAATGTTTTATTTTTAGTGGTTTTTTTTGCTATCAGCCTATACTTAATCCTCGTTTCCCCAAATTAAGTCTTATCTGTTTTTATCCTAGCCAAACATTTGTCATATAAAAAGGGGTAGATCTATCGGTTGTTTTGCATCATACCATTATAGTCAATTCCCTACTCCTCTTAATTAAGTAGTAGTTATTACAGAAATGGACTCGAAGGCAAAACGCAAGCGCAAGGCTTTCTACCGTCGCTGTGCTGCTGGGGAGAGAAGGGCCAAACAGCGACTTCTCGAGGCCTCGGACAGTGTCGTTACAGATGCTCGTTTCCCTAGACGACTAGAGCCTGGAATGACAGGAATCCTTCTGACTTCCAACAACAAGGAGGAACGTCAGGCTTTGATGGAGGCTTACAGACTTCTCAACGAAGCACACAAACGTCTAAACGGTACTCATTTGAGTGATGATAAAGAAGATTCCGTTAGCGACAAGGAAGATGTGGACATCGCATCGGCTTTAATCGAGGAAATGAAGTCGGACTCCACAACTAGTCAATACATTTTCCGCGCTGTCAAAACTGGCGTCTCCAACTGTGCCTTCGTGGTAAATCAGTCGGCAGATAGATCTTCAGCAGACCTGGTTTATGAAGTCTTTCGTCACGTGATGGCTAGCCGCGAGGCCAACTCGAGGCGTGTGCTTCGATTTCAGCCCGTGTTGGCCACTTGTAGACCGGGTAAGGAAGATCTGCGTGTCCTGATGAGCAAAGCCTGGAAAGCCTTTTGGAACGGTGTAGACGGCTATGCGGATGGAAGACCACTGTGTCTCCTTTGCTCCAAGGTGCCGCTTCAACGAGCCAGGTTTGTGAAAAGGGATGATAGTGGGGAGGTAAAAAAGTACTTCATGGTGAATTTTCGGGCACGAAACTATGGTAAAATGTCCAAGGAGGAGGCTGTGATGGTGGTGATTGCTGTAATGCAGGAGATCGCACCAGATTGGTCACCCGTTCGTTCTGGCGCGGATTTAGTCATCAGCGTAGATGTTCTCTGCACTGTGCTCTGTTTGAGCTTCCTCGAAAAGTTTTCCGATTTTGCCAAGTATAACATTAGTGAACTGACCTCTCCCAGCTCGTAATTGGTATCCTTGTCAATAAAAGTCATTGAATGTTGCGTTGCTGCAATTCAAATGAGAAATTGGGCAGTTGCCCCCTGTGAGCCGATTTGGTCACTGGTTCTAGTTATTTTCTGTCGACAACTACGGCTAGTGATGTAAAAATACACCTCTTGTGCTTGTAGATTTAATAGCCATGGTAGAGCTCTTTGAACTGATTCGATGTTTCACGGCCTTTTGGCGGTTTCATAAAATCCTGATTCCAGGTTTTGAGTGATGGAGTCATGTTTCGTGTCCGTGGGGATTCAGAATATGTTACTAATCTGGACGAGAATAACGAAACTATAGGTTACATCCACCGTAGGGTCTTATTTGCCTGATTCATGTTGTCTGTTTATAGGTCCTCCTTTCACGTCTTATCAGTAAGATCTGCATATAGTGCCTCGAGACTTCCCTGAGAACGAAAGAAGACGTAATACCTGGGCAGAAATTGTCCAGAAGGACTGAGAGGCTACTTTCATGATTCAAAGGCCATGCCGCTCAGCGAAAATGCAAAAGCGGAGCTTCGAGTGCCCGCGTAACCAAAATGACAAGTTAAACGACCAATTAAGGTATCACATGGCTCCCTCTCCCTTTGAGCTTCATCCTCGGCGCTCCTCTTGCCCAACCTCCCATGTCTGCCACCACAACGTAGTCAGCGCTGTAAGAATAACACCCAACAACCAACCGCATCAGTCATAGAATTTGCATGCATCTGAGAAGATACTTGACAGTAACGTCACTGATCTCCCTTGACAATTCCACTGGATCTGGAGATTCATCCTGTTTGGAAAGTGGATTAGGGGAAGGGGGGATATGCGGTCCATCACGTATTTCCATCGCTGGTTGTAAGAACACTGGCCGAAGAGCAGATTCATTTAAGGAAGGACGGTGTTTTAACATAGTTCCTTTTGAATAAGGTTTCCCATCTATTCTTCATTGTTACTTTATTATCGCCTTAGTGCTGTTCAGTTGTAACTACTTACCTGTATTCCACCAAGCTAGTTGAGATGGAGGAGGCACCGTGTGTTCACTTAATTGACATCTTTATATAGGTACGGCGGACAGCTCCATAGCGAACTTTTCCAGACGGTTTACAGTTAGTGTTACTCCAGTTGTTAAAAGCATTCCTATGGAATACGGAGCTGGGGTGGTTACCGAAGTTGGACACCATTTTTGGACCTTCTGTTAGGGACCGTCCCAGATTCTGCCATCCGTAGTATATGCTCTTCTTCCGTCACGCTAGGGTTTACTTTACAGGAATGGGAATTAGGGTAGTTGCCCTTCGGGATCAGGTTAGCTTTTCATTAACACAAATGTGGCGCCTTGAGACTTCTATGTAGACGACACAATACTGGGGCAGTACATGTATTGCCGACTTATGAAAGGGCTAAGGTGCTAATGGCATGGCCCAGAGGAGGTCATGCCACCCAAGGGAAGTAAAAAAGCGGAGTCTCAAGTGTCCTCGAAACCAAAATGCAGAGTTAAACAAACAAAGCGTTGCATCAAACTTTAATTGTCTACTAAGACGCGGACTATTCAATAAATACGATTTGAATATTATTACGAAGACCGTTTTGTTGGGGCTGATTTGCGTGGAATCGAGTTTGGATTATCAAAATTAGGAGACCAACAATTGTTGTGGAATAAACTTATGACAGTGCATTATGATCCCCTTATCAAAGTCACGGATCGGTGAGTGGCATAAACCAGGAGTAATCAAAGGGCTGCTACCTTTGCCAACGTAGGGTATTAAATGATTCCCTTGAATTACAAGTGAGTTAGATGTCAGCTAAACGTATCACTACACCTGTCCTCGTACTTTTGCAATTAAATTTAAGGCTTACCACTTGCTTAACCGTATGAGCATAACTGGACAGACTCTTATGCCTCCGCGGTTGACATTTACTGACTAAAAAATCTCGTTCGGCTTTCGTTATAATTCAGTTCATTGACTCGTAACTTGAAGGGACTCGTGAAGCATAGACATGTGTCAGGCTTTCTAATGTGTTTTCCTACTCCTCTACATTAAATTTGAACTTTTACAAGGTAAGTCGTCGGTTGAATCTTCGATGTGATTCAATCTTATGTGCTTTACTAATTCTAACCCGGACTCATCTTTACTTAGCACTTCACTTGTATGTACTTTGAGGGGACGAGGTAGAAGAAAAAAATTCCTTGGTAAAAGTGATTTACGCTACTTGATTTAAGATCTGTGTGAAGGGTGAAGAAACACATTGACATCTACATCAATGGGGATATTTGTTGAAGCTAAGCCGGTGAGTCACACATCCATTAACAACAGATGAAAATAGATTTCAAAGATTATCCCTTTATCCCCCACTTTCGTCACGTTCGTAGATTGCTAAGAGATTGACCTGCAATGAAACGACCTTTGAAGTATAGCGCTCGTTAATAGAATAAGCAGATCCTTGGTTGATTAACCCCCAATGGTCTGATCACTATCCATCCTACGCCTCCAAAATACCACTCCATCCAATGTGTGTAGTATGCGGACACTTCAGCCGTATGTGTGACGCTGGTGCCAAACGTGTTAAGCTATCCACTCTGTGTGAAAGACAAAAATCGCGCATAGATGGTGTCAGGAATGGCGAAATTAAGTTTTTTTTTAACTAATGCGGCATACTATTATCCGGTCTTAGGATACCCGTCCACTTACCTAAATTTACATCTCGTTACTGAAATCTCACATTAGTAGTATGGCTATATTTAACTAGAAAAAGAGTCTACTAAAACATTAGACTATTACATCTAAGAATTGCATAATCAATGCAGCTGGATATAATTCAAAAGAGTTTGGGAAAAACCGATCCTAGGACTAGCCGCTCAATGGGAACAAAGTGATTTCCTTATAAGGCAGCACAGAACATTACTGCATTGAGAGATGGACAGAGGGGAGGGGCATACTTCCTTGTTCGCTGTAATCCCCTTTTGATATCTCTTTAAGCTATGATCATCGCCTTTTCTTGGTGTTAGCATTGAGCAATCAAGTGCGATGTAGTCATTCGGTAAACCAAGTTGAGACAAAACCAGAGGTGGCAAACGAAGGAGGTTTGTTGCCTCTAGAAGTAGCGCATTTTATACAATTGGAATTCGCAAGCCCCTCCCCGTGCATTATGGGTTTTAATGCTGATTGGTTCAACGAGCAGTTTTCTGCAAATCATTTTGCAACCACTTCTTTGTCATGGTAGTAGATGGACGAACTTATTTAGTTACATTACTTCTATTTACAGTGGGAGTAACGAGTTCCCCAGCATTATTTACTGACACATCTTATCATTAACAAAACCTCTTAGCCCTTTTAAATTAAATTTTTCGGTCAGTTTCAATTCGCAGCAATAAAACTTCCTTCTAATGGTCTGTCTCTACCAAAACAACGAAAGATTACTCTATTCAAATAATGCAATTTTCACAGGCATACGAATACATTTTTTCGTTAGAGTTGGTTTCTTTTTGAGTGGAGGAGAGAAAGAGGTAAGTAAGCACGTCATATAAATGCACATTTGTGGAATATTTATCCTCTTTTTTTGTTACTCGGAGCCACAATTTCTCACCATCCTGAACCACTGCCACCTCCACCACCGAATAGCCGATTCATCATTAGGGCCGCACCGTTGGTGGCGGGGGCCCCTTCTGTTCGATGCAGTAACTTCATCCACGTCAATGGTGGCGGTGGAATGAAACCTCGGTGTGGCAGTGTCTGCTGTGGTGACGTTGAAGTTGCCGCAGCCAGAAGGTTCTTGAAGAGTACTGAAGCCGTGTCAAAAGTCGATGTCATTGCCACTGGTGGTGATGATACGCAAGTTTGCATCGGTGGGTGGAAGTTGACCAGTTTCGGAGAGATTGCAGCAGAGGAGGCAGAAGATGTGGAAGATGGAGAAGCTTGACTTTCCTGCCTCTTGTCTGGTGGAGACGTCATCGGATTCGATCCACTCAGCAATCGTTCAACACTCAGAATGTTTCCATTAGTTTTTGACTTTGGTGGTGGTGGTAGTGGAGTGGGAGATTTCACCTCTCGACTGTTTAACGACAAATCCTGGATGCTGTTCATTGAGGGTGGTGGCGGTGGTGGAGGAGGTGGTGGTGGTGGTGGTGGAACAGCCAGTGACGCTGCCAGTGCGCCAATCAAACTTGACATAGAGGTCATGGGTAGTGGTGGGGGTGGGGTCGCTCTTGATAGCAGACTTGGCATTGAAAAACTAGGCGCTGTGGGCTGTGCATGAAAATTAAGTTGGGGGTCTAGGGAGGACAGTGGAGGTGGTGGTGGGGGTGGTGGAGGTGGCGGTGCAGCGAATGATTGAAACATATGATTTCGCAGTAGAATGTCTTCTTTGGTCAGAAACCCAGGCAGTGGTGGAAGATGTTGCGATTTTTGAGGCAGAGACTGAGAGGAGCGCTTGCAAGGGGCTAAAAGAAATAACATTTTCAGCGTGAACAAACCAATTGGAAGTTTTGGGGCTGACTTGGTTGACTTTGTTGATAGTTTTAAAAGGCTAGTTGTGAAAACACGGGAAAAGAAACAAGAACTCACGAATTAGACCTGTAGGATCTCTAAAGTGATCACTAGTGGTCTTGAAGCTGCGTTTGGGAGGATTCCTCTTGTTGGATGACTCGAGGAGTCGATGAGCTCGATCAATGAGTGGCTGAGCAATTCGGGAGCTTCCATAGGATCGTACAAGTCTCTCTTGCACAGAAAAGGATTTTTCACGCTCCACTTTCAGTGCTCTGTTCGCCGCAGCTGAAACATTCAAACACAGCCGTGGGGAGTGAAAATACAGGCGAATAGACGCTCACATGACTTGGCTTTTGTCGCCTCGAAAACATCATTGACAGGAGGATGTGTTGTTTGAGTTGGTGGGTAATGTAATGGCAGTGTGTTTATGCTGCAAAGCGATGATCGGCGCCTCTGCTTGCGGTTTGAAAGTGCCGCAAACCACAAACAGAGGCGAAGTAAACACACATTGTAGCTACTGCTACTGTTGTCTCTATTGGAGGAAGGTTTTTGTGTTGAGACCCGCATGTCACTCATTCCTACATCCTGGCGACAAGTGCGTATCGTTCGGCGCCGTTTTGGCAATAACAACCCCAAGGTATAATAAACCAAGAACTTAATCATTTCAAGTTGCATGTCCATCTTCTTGTTGTGGTAAATCATGAATCATGATGCAGTTTTATCTAGCATGATCTTCGTGACAAATTATGAGAGTACCGGTCACTAGGTTTAAGTTCATTTACCACTGTGTTAGCAACGGTGATAATGCTCCCTGATCAGAGAATAATGAGCTCCCACGAGAGGACAAGCGCAGTGTTACCAACTTAGGCAGATGGAGTGGTCAAAAAACCATCTGCCGCGAGCCCTTATGCGCCAAATTAGACCGGAAGAGGACAAAATGATAATCGTTGGGGGGAAGGGGAAGGGTGGTGGGGAGAGACATGAGGGAATGAGTGAGTTAGATAGATGCATGAATCGAAAAGATGATGGGGAGATATGTACGGCACATTTTGTAAATGGTCACCATATGCCTACCCACTCAAAGCCGATGCAGTAGTGGTCATGACTCAGGCACTTGCTACCGCAGTCACCGCAATCATCCATCCACTTATTCCAAGAACCTCCATCAAATCATCTATAATCACCCATCAGGCAGCCCATTCATCCGTCTTCCCATCCATCTTTTCATCCATCCACCTATCTATTCGCTTATCCGTCCTCTCCACTCAATCGACAAACCAACAAATCTTCCACCCACGAATCCACTAACTCATCCTGAATTCCACTTATCCCCGCTTATATCTGAACACCCACCTATTAGCATACCTAATCATCTGTATTTTTTTGACTTGTGATCTTAGCAATCATTCAATGCATTTTTGACACCTGCGTAAACAAACACGTCTGCAGGACAAAAATTACTAACCGGCTTGTGATGGTTGTCTGACTTAGGTGTCATTGAATCCCCAAAATCCGAAAAAGTCATGGGACAAGCGTGTGACTCCCAGACATGGTTGGACTTAGTCACCTGGATTGCCTGAATTCGTTTGCGGTGTGCTCCACGCAAAACCACGAGGTTATCGGACTGTAATCTGATAGTGCATTTCGCTTTTTTACCTCAATGCTCTGTGACTACGATTATAACGGTGGTAAAGGAAGAAGGCACTGAAAAGTCAAGACTTTATAAAAAAGTTTAAACTATGGTCCGATTATCCCTGTAGTGATTTTGGTCGCTATGCTGAATCAGCGTTAGTCTCTTTTGGTCGGAATTTCGATTTTTCTGCCACCGCCACTGCCAGGCAGTGCCTGGCATAAGCGCGCCCACGTCACCAATATTTTTATATCAAAATATCCCCTCCTCTGGGTGTGCGTGCCTTCCGCTAATTACCCCCCCTGACACTAGCAGTTGGCGCAGGACCCCAAAAAACTTCGATTTTTCATTCTCCCCTCCATCAACCCTCCTCCAGCGTCTTGATTCCCATGAACACATGTTCTCGTGTCATCATGATTTCGGTGCCACCACTACCACCACCGTTTAATCCAGTCTAACACGGTGCTTACCGTTGATTGGTGGATCTGTGAGCGTATGAGCGCGTCCGAAATGGCAGGAAGGAGATTAGTTTGCCTGGACCGCTTGATAAAGTGGTGGTTTGATGGAAGGTGGAACAGGCGGAAACGCGTAGACAACCAACTTGATGCCCACCAACACATGCTCCAGCCTCTTTCCCGTCTTTCCCCGTTTAATTCGGACTGGAAAAGGTTTAATCCATTTGATATAGACACACACACACACACACGCGGGAAATCTTAACAAACGAGCCTGTGATTTATTGGTGGTTTAAAGGCACTACTGGCAGCAGTTATTAATGCCTATCATTAGAGCAAAGACGTGCCACATGGCGCTAGCAGAGTTACTGTATTCGTGTTTTACGAATTCAGAAGCCTGACCTCATATCTTATCTCACCTGTTCAATGCATATTTTCGGGACGAATCAGGAATGCGCGGCCTCTTTAAGACTTCCGTCAATTGTTCACACACGCAATAGCTCGTGTACATAATTCAGATGTTGCTCCCTGCGACAACGGTGGGATAGGGATAAGTGAGGTGGGAGCGAGGAGAATGGTTTTTGTGGCTCTTCAACTACAACTGGTGCCTTTGGGGTGCTGGGGTGGGAGCACATGCGAATCGCTTGCGTGTACACAGACTGCAACTGACAATGTAATTTAGATTTTTACACATGCAAACCTCCTTCTTTCAGTTCATTCGCTCTTCTTTCATCCGTCTGTGACAGGGAAAGAGTAACTCAACCCTCGACTTTTCTAATTAATTCTTATCCTCTCTCCAGTTTGATACAATGAGAAAATGGGAAATTTCTGTGCTAGTTCAAATCGGAGTACTGTCGCATTTGGACTACTGCCAATCCAAAACTCCCCACATCCACTAACATTGGGTTTAACACAGAGACTGCCTGCAGGATTTGGTAGGCGGAAGCTTCGAAGTATAATGGTCTTTCAAATCGGCGCATACTTGTAGCAGGTAATCTTGTTGTTTTTAAAATCGTGACTAGTTAAAGATTGGAAAGAGGTTTGACTCCTAAATGAACATTTTTGTTTGTATTTGGATGCGGTTAGTTAAGGCATCCGTCCTGGTTTGAGGAAGAGATAGGAGAAAAGAGCGGATGGCACCAGCACCCGGCACTAACTTTCCCAGTCGGTGGAAAATCAGTGGCTTGGCCTCGTTTATTGCGCTCTGTACAGAGTCCTCAATGAATGGTTGTGTTTACATTATCCGCGTGCCCCCATACCGCGGCAACAGTCACGCTTTAGCCGCAAAGAAAATGTCACCGCAACTGTAGTGGCAGCAGCAGAAGCAGCAGCCATGTCGTGCCGTTTAATGGTGTCATGCGTTATGTGCATCTCCATCAGCAGCACCAGCCATTTTCTTCTCTCCCAACCTCCAGGAAATGGGTAAACATTTATGAATTAGAAAACTACGGCCTGCGAGTTTGCGTGTGTGTGTGTGCCTGTGATTAGTGTTGCATAAACACCTCCTGGCATTTGGGGCTAAGAGCTTGGTTTGGTTTATAATTTGCGGTGTATTGGGGAGAAGGCGATGCCTCACTCAGTGTCTTTGTGTTCCCACGCGTTAAAACCCATTTTGTTGAATTGACGTGAATAAAGCTGATACAAGGAGGTAGTATCCATTACCCTCACCCTCTATCACCCGTCCATTATTTCTCCATTGTGGAAACATTGGTCATGTATTCGGCTATATTCCCCTGTAGCAGCACAGTTCAAAGCCTGTGGAAGAAGCACTGACATCAACCTTTTTAAAATGATTTTAGTTTAGTATGTCCAACACTATACTGTGCAGTACTAATGGCTTTATGCCATTGCAACAATGGAAGGTAGTGTCTGCCACAAGCGAACTTACATGGAATCGCTCCATCCCCGAGACCAATTAATTTTTCCAAAAATTTTAAATTACAGTATTAAAGAACACAAAGGACTGTGTAGGTAACTGGGAGAAGGCGTGCCTAAAATGGCAAAATGTACTACTCAGAAGTACGTCAGTGGCTCATGGGAAGATGTGTGCTATGTTTATATTAAATGCCTCTTGGTAATTTGTGCAACAGTCACTGCCACTGGTCCTGCCATTGTTGCCGCAAAGCTAATGTCACACCGCTGCGGTCGCCTGTGCCAGTCAGGTGTCACGTCCTCCGTAATAAAAGGTTACCTCTCTCCATCCCCCATTTCCATTCCCATTCCCCAATGCTTGCAAGTGATTAGCTGCATAAACACACATCTCCAGCCTGTGACATTTGGCGTGCTGTGGAGAGTAGCAATTATTGCAGCGCTTTGGAATCTACTGTTTTCTGTGGCAAGGCGTATTTGTGTGCACAGAGCAGTGGGTATCTGCGTGTGTGTAGGGAGGGGGTGGGTGTAAGAAACGGTTTCGTGTGACCACTGCTATCCGATACGCAGTCTCTTTAACGGTAACCCGAGCCAACCTCTTCTCCCCTTCCAAAACGCCAAAAATCAGTCGATCTAGTGCTGGCGCGTCTTTTAGTGGGTTTAACATAAGCCATCTGTGGGTCACGCACACACACACACCTAACTCACCATATTTGTTTCGTGGCACCCGTGGTCCGTCCACTGTGACTTTTATTGCGTGAGAGTAGGTGCCCACCTGAGGCGGATTCGTTTCCACAGTAATTGTCACGTTGAAGGACTTGCCTAAGATACGAAAAGAGTAAAGCACACAGTTTTTAAGACATAGGTTTGATTCAATTCCAACAGAGTTGCGGAGGTTCTGGTAGTGGCGCTCAAATAAAACAGGGAGATTTATTTTACACCTTGATTTTTAAATTTTTTAATCAACAGTAGGGACATGTCGTAAGAAAGTCTACTCCACCAGCCGTCACTCAAGCCAGCAGGCAACAATAGGAGGTGGAATGCGTGAAATAGTGCGTGATAGTAAAATTCTGATGGCATAAAAACTCAAAATCTTCACAGTGGTAAAAAATTCGGTTACCTACTGGAATGACATTTGAATGGTGCAAAAGTTCTAGTTGTGGACTTCCCGGTTACAGTGGGTTCCGACCCACCATTACACCAATTGTTCAACGATATGAAAATTCAAATAACGGAATATCTGTACCAGCCCATAATTTGTCACAAAATGTTAAAAGGAGCACATTTTTTGGTGGAATAGTGAATGTATTACAATTATTCACGAGCACATCGAATGAAACAGGTAGGATGTCTAAGGGCGGTTCAAAAGCTGTGCTAAATCCTTCTCCACTAAGGTTTTTCAGGTATAAGCTAAACACCGGAGGGTGTTTAAACGTTGCAAAGAGCAGTATTAATACAGTTCAAGTGCTTCCTAAAAATTAAAAAGTTACGTGTCTGCTACCAATTTAAACTACCAAAAATACAATTGTATTTTTGACCTAATTCGACTACTGGAAAAAGTAGAGATTGTAAGAAACAGGTTTGAACTTTCACTATCAGTCGTGCGAGTTCTTAGAAGTTTAGAAAGCCACAAAATAAGCACGGTGGTAATTAGTAGCCCCGTCTTCGTTGGAGATAGACAACCGTCAAAACAGGCACTTCATCCACTCACGTACACCATCTAACCAGTTTCTGCCCATGTACGATTTCTCAGAACTCCTCAGAACTTTTCATGCGCTTAGTGTTTCAACCTGACTACAAATGATCTATTTCATTCTATTACAGAGGAAGTCGCAATAGGTGCAGCTTCTCCGTTTACCAATCTACCTGAAATCTTTCCTTTTTCTTTTTCTTTCCATGGAAGAAGTTTTAGTCCGGAATTACTTAATTTTCTGTTTAATTTTAGAAATCAGCCGCTGAAGGTAAGCCTGCCTCTAAATAAAGATGCCAGTAAGGGAGGTGCAGTTTGAAAGCCAGGCCCGATATATACGCGCAGGCGTATTCATCCGTATGTTTGCATGACTCAGGCATACTTATCCGGACAGACCAGAGATTGGTATATGATGGCGTTGTTGTTGACATAAATTAGGCAGGTAGACTTTATAAATTGTCGTCCTCAACTCTAGTCCCTTATAAACAGACTATCTTATTCTATTACCTTTTCAGTTTAATAGAAAGTGAATAAATCGGACATCCCTACTTTTGTTCCTATTGTGGTTCATCCTTCTAATTCCGGTTATTTAGGATATTCAAACAATGCAGAACAATTCGAATGGCAATCAAAGCATTGACAGACAAAGGGCTCTAGCTCTTAACTCCAGCACATTTTGATAGCGGGTTGGTCTCTCACCAATCAGTTAATCGCGCGCAAACCGCAAACCATACACACAAAGGCACGCACGGACGTGCGCACACAAAACCGCAAACGGAAATCTACGCGTTTAACACGTGATTGGTCGCCCTAAAGCGCGCACACCTATTCCCACAAAAACCACAAACCGCAAAACACATCGCGGTGTTTATCGGAGGCAAAAGTGATTGGACATTCCCCTTTATTTTCATACCAATGGACAAAAAAGTGCTCGCGATCGGGTAGAGTATTAAGTGGGGGTACTTATAAAGTGCAGTAGTTAACCTAATGATTACTATAAAATAATATATGCACAAAAACTGGCAACTCAGCAGTATCAGTGGAGTTTTCTGGTTACTGACTTGGACCGATTGACAAACCGTCTAGGTTTTAATCTTAGACGGTGTTTTGTCACATGTTATGATTATGGCCTTTTTAAACGTTCGCGACATCCCGTGCTTCGTTTTTAAGCTTTACAAAGGTTTATTTAATTATGTGTCTTTATTTAGTAATTGTTGAGCTTTTAATGCACTGATAGGGCATAAATCTTAAAAGTCCCAAACTTATTTTAAGCCTGCAAAGAATTAAGTTTTAATCCTTTGATCTCTTGTTCAAGGCTTATGCGGTTAAAATAATACTATTTGAAAAGGTTTAAAATGCATCTTAAACTTTTGAGCAAAATATTTCTATTAAAAAATAAAATTTGTAAAAAGAAGCTAAGTGAAAACTAAGGATGTGCTTGAATCAGAATGTATCCATCCAAGCATTGGTGTGAATTGGGGGTATTACTATTCTTGGCTAAACACCAATGAGAACTAAGCATTTGAATATTTAAATATCAAACTTCATACTTTATAGGCGTCTCTCCAATTCAAAAGACTTAGGAAGCTTTCAGCCATTTTGAAGTCAAACAGTCTGGTTAATGTAAAGGGCTTGAATACAAAATATTATTTTATGTTGAGCGGAGTTCTTTCAGTGCTCACTTTTGAAGGCACCCATATCCAAAAAGTAAAACTGCAAATGACCCAAAAGGTGGCGTTAATGCCACTAGCTGATAGTCAGACTGTAGTCGTGCTGCGATTAAAGTTACTCCTGCGCCTACCCTCCAGCACAATAAACCTTATGCAGGCCTCATAGGTGGACATAAGCCAGGCCTCAGACAAGAAGTAAACGAGCGAGTATTTACCCAAGTACCCAGGTGTCACTGCACCCGCACTCAGACAATCGTACACACGCATGCACACACAACGGTGAGGGAAGGGGCTCTCCCGGGGTCAAAAAACAGGCATAATTACTGATTGTATCTCTCTCTCCCTTTGTCCATGTGTCTGTGGTTGCCAGGGCACACAGTTTGTATTTACTCACATGTGCGGACCCCTTCTGTCGCCTCCCCATTAGAAGGTGTTAGCAACAGGCGGGATCCCTAGACAATGCGGTACTCCCTAACGGGGAAAGGCTTTTACCACCTCAGTATCGAAGTTTTGACTTCCGGCTTAAACAGGTGGCTGACTTCAAGGGAGGGTGAGTGAGTGAGTCGAGTGCCAGTAACAGCGTCTGGTATTTGCCCATTAAGGATTTTAAATTCCAATATGATTGCGCACTACTCCTGTATGATGTGATTGAGAAATCTTTCTAAGGTAAGATAAAATTTCAAAAGCTCGTTATACGCATCGAATCTTCTACATGGCGAGCTATGGGTGTAGGTCCTCTTTTTATTCATTAATAGAGACAAATGAGATTAGGTGTGGACAAATTAGGTTTTCTAAGAGTGATTGGAAGTAGTATTGTTGCATGGTAGGGTCTCTTTATTCCGTTACTATAAATCGGCATGACTTCACTGCGGAATGCTGCTTGCGTAAAGACACTGACATCTGCCATTGTAAAATTGTCTTGAAAGCTTATAGTGATTTAGATGATCTTTTATTCAAATTAAAACTCTAGTCTTTTTAAGTATAAGAGAAGAACAAGGTGTATGGAAGTAATTTTAGGCATGTCATCTGTGCTAACCTGCCTGGAAATCCCTGGGCTTGATATTATAACCTGTTTCGTTACCATGTTTTAAGATAAATATAGTATGCTAATAAACACCTAAATTACACAGTAACTTCAAGGTGCTTAATGATCTGAATATATTCACAACAATTTTAAATCCACCCATCATCTACTTAAAATAGGCCGAAACTCTTAGGAAATGTTATCCAGAATTCACGCTTAGATTTGAATTTGCCACCGTCCGCTTCCAAACGGCTCTATAAACTTGAGTCAGGAGCACATCCCTATTCCGCCTACCTATTTATATATAGCCACTGTGACATTAGTATAAAACAACAGGCCAACTAGGCTATGAAATAAACTCATAGCTCAAATTAGCACAACTTTGCTTTTCAGAATGGCTGAAACACGTAACAGCTATTGGCATGATTCGTGTACAGATAAAAAGGACAAACAGGAAGAGTATTAAGATCAAGTATGTGTAAGCAAAATGGCATGTGACTAACTCACCCCTTCCACTGCGTCCTAGAAATCGCAGATCATTGAAACGGGCCTCCTGGTTTTGCATTACCGCGACTGCATTCTTGAGCTCTGCGAAGGGTCGCTCCTCATTACCCGCACTGAGCACAACCCTAGTACCATCGGGCACTGGGACGAGACTGACCACGCGAAAGGGAGTGGGTAGGGACTTATTGGAGCGCCAATGCTTAGGCAGACTGGAGCAGAGGAGGTGGGGGCTGCCTGTGACCACGAGGTCACCAGCGTGCTCATGCAGAGCTCTACGCAGGGTGTACTCCGCTGCGAGCATTATGTCTGACATGCTGTCGGTAGAATGCGAAACTGGTTGAGGTCTCGGCGTGCACACTGTTGTATATCCGTAGGTAGGTAGCTCGCTAACTCGCTAACTTGCTACCGCGTTCCCCGCAAGATGCGTGCGTGTGTATGTGTGTAGCGCGTATGTGCATGCATGTGGAGGGAGGAAGGAAGGAGGGGGGGAGAGGGGTGCATACTTGCATGTGGGTAGTGGTTTGCGCATCGTGTGTGCGTGCATAGGTGCGTACGTGCACTTGCTACTGGTTGGCCCACCGCACAGCCACTAACCAACCAATAAACACAGAAAGGTGCGTGTATGTGTGCGTACGTAGAGGAAATTATTGGTGTCAACGGTTTAGGTAGTTTAGAAAGAGAAAACAGGTAGGCGGTGAACCATTTGGCCAAATGGTAATCACGGAAATGTATTAAATTGAGCTTTTAACGTATAAGGTGCACAATTTGGGAAGGTTAATGGTGAACCATACTTTCCTAGGGGAGGATACAATATGAGTTTGCCTCGACACATCCCAAGTTCATCATCGTCCGCTTTGTTGGAACTCTTTTCCTGTATTATTTATTTATTGGACGAAATAAGATTAGCAAGAGACCGATTAAATCGGGAATAACTTGGGGAGTGATCAATTCTTAACCAAAATTTTTGGCAAAGCGCTTGCAAAATTACAAAACTATTGAGGTCATTTACAATTACTTCAACCTACCTAAAATAGAAAGCAACAATCTTAGCAAACTTAAGGTATCTCATATTGAGTTTTCACAATTTTTCTGATAAATCTTATGTTTGATAATATTGATACTTTCTTAATTGGTTAGAAAAACTTGTTGACCTTTATCAATCCTACCGTTTAAACACACCAAACGTCTATGTTATATCTGTAAGATATCTAAATGATTCAGCGTTTAATGTTAGACTTTTGTTTACCATCAGTTTCTGAGTGTTTCGTTGAGCCACCACGATGTGTGTAAACCTGATTGGGTCATATAAGTTTTACTTCGAGCAATTCGACGAATCGTTGTTTCGAACTAATTTCGGGCTTAATTAACCTTTTAATAGCTTCTCTCAAGGCGTTATTTTTGTGAGTGAAGTCCCCGCCTTAAGCAATTTTAGTTCCTTTGGATGAGGACGCGTACTTGCTTACTGTTTACTGTTTACGCACGTGGTCAACACACGACTGACCATAGACCAGCTCAAAACGGCTAAGGCACATATTTAACTAGTCGGCGAATTGAGTACACGAACGAGGGGAGGAGGGGAGCTATTCGTGCTCCCAGCATGTATCCACAGAGAGAGAAAAAACGAAGCTGCTGTGAGCGGTGGTGGTGGTGGTGGTGGTACACGTGTTGGAGCCAGGGCAAGCCAACTAACAACCAGCCAGCATGTTCACATTGGTCGCCTATGCGTGATAAGTGTAGGCAAGGCAATCTCCACATCTCCCTCTCTCCCCCAAAACACGCATCCACGCCTTTATCACACAGAGATGAGGCAGGTGAGCACATTTAGAATGACTTTTAGTATTACTATAAGCTCAGTGACCCTGACCATGATCTGAGCATACGACACTCTACGTGTTGCTCTTAAGCAAGTGCTCCTGGCGGGAGCGCTAGGGAAGCTAAGAATGCCTACTGTAGACCACTGTCCAGCATTCGGGATTACTCTTCGAATACACAGAGGTTAATTGCAACTTATTGGAGGGCTTCTTACAGTTGAAACAGATGAGTGACCACGAAGGACACCGGGAAATTAGCTAAAGCAAAAAAGGGCTAATGCATTACAAGGGCGCATTTGCCATGCGCTGGTGCATAAGTTTTTTTTGGGTTTTTTGAGGTTCAGTCCTCATGCGGATGGCTTAGTGCTCTCCTTATGTCATTTATGCTATTACACACCCAGCGTTTATAATTATAAACAACTTGACTTCTGCAGAGTGACACCAATAATCTAGACAGTCTTGTTGCAGTCTTTACATTATAGTTTTCTAGGCAGCGTTTTGGTCTAAGGGAAAATGACGGAGCTCTAAACATCGCCTATCAGACTGCAGTATGGTAAAATAATGCGTACTCTCAGAATATCACCGTGAACAAGTGTGCTCGACCACGTTTTGTGCACCTCAAATGTGTTAAATAAATAAAACTGCTCACTCACACTACTTCCGGAGTCGAAATTAGTGTTTGACTACGCGGGGAACTGTGTACTGTCAGCAGGGTTAGAAGCGGAAGTGAGGAATTCGCGGTTTCACCACTGCGGCTAAAGTAATTTCCTCTAAGTCAAATTTTTGTTAAGTTGAAAGTGTGAGTGAACTAGATGGTTTTTGCTTTACCTATTTTGCTACAAGCTCTCCTACTGTTTTCACCATTCGCTAGTCTGATGCGTTAGCCTTTAGTACCTCGGAGAAGAATTGTCTAATAGAGTCCCTTAATAACCATGAATTAAACTAGATTCGGGCCGTAAACAAATTTTTTTTAAATTAGTACCTTATACTCAGTCAATTTTTGTTGCCAATTGATGTGGTTGCTTATCATAAACTCATGAGAACATACGTCACCTATCTATGACTTTGGTTGAGAGGGTAGTATTCAACTTAACAGATAATAAAGTATAAATGGCTGTTTACTCTTTCTTTTTAAGGATTAAGATTAACAAAGATTACATTCTACTCTCAGCCTTGTAGCTTTACCAAGTACCAATTCCCACTCGAATTTCATCCCTATGGATTTTAAAATGCACATTTTTATGTATGGGATACGCACATCTCCAAAGACCCTCAAACTGATCAAAAATGCACGTTTTTAAAATACTTAGACAATAAAATGCCAAGCTAACAATCTCCAACAAACAAAACAGGCAGTCAATGACAGAAGCCGCCATATGAGTGGCTATTGGGTGTCCCTGGCCATCCTATCGACACCGATTGCGTGGCTAATTGAGCAAGTACACATGAATTTGTTTTCCAGTTAGCAATAATTTTAACATACAGATACACTCCACACTTAACCTCCAATAGCATTTTCTGTAAATATTTGAGCAATGGACTCTCTACTGTCTCAGAGTTGTAGTTGACAAGGCATTAAAATGAAACCTATGAGCAGTTAGCTACCAATATGAATAAAAATTTATCAACTATGACTTTTTAGGCACAAATTAAAATTGAATTATTTTTAACTTAGCTAGCTTAGGAGTGCTTAAAATAATTGGTGATATAGTCCCGAAAATGGTCAATATTATTATTTGTAAATAAATGGAGTGGGCTTTAGCTGGATCGCTTAACAAGAATACTGCGCTACTCTGCTGATAAAGGATAAAAAGAAACTAGCAAACTGTTTGAAAAAAGAGAACGACTCCAAAGCTGCTAAGATAGACAAAGGATTCGAATAAAATGTAGCTAAAGTCGATTAAATTCACGGACTCTGATAGGGAGGAATTCTCGATTCTTATAATACATGTACAGAGAGATAGAGAGAGCTCCCCTAGCGCAAGAGGAATAGTAAGCTGTGCGCGAGATTAATAGTATGTATCCCACTTCAGCAACAGCTGGTACAAGTACGTTGTTCTCTCGCTAGTTCGTTTGTTCGTTCGGTCTGTCATTTGTGTGCGTTTAGTTCTCAGACCGGAAATTAGGCACTCTCTCCCTGCCCAAACGGAAGTAGCGATAGTTAGCTGGGATGCTGCGGTGTAAACACCATCAACACTACCACCACCGGCACTAAGACCAACACCACTACCACCCATTCTGCCTTCCTACAGCGCTTTCGAGTTCCCCATTCGGAGGAAGCGGAGCGAATGTGTAAATAAACCGATGTCTATTAGGACGTCTTCCGCAATTTTTTGCAAGTAGGAAGTCCGGCATAGGCAAATCTCACATCTATCCGCCGAGCTGGTGTAATTTTTTATACGATAATAAATTATCAACTTACTTTTAACTCTAACACCATGCAGCCGTTATTATTAATCATAAGACAATGGGACTGTGATTATTTAGTTAAGGGACAAATATTTATGGAAAGGTTATAAAGCAATAACATTACTGATCATGGTATAATATTATACCAAGGCAAGAAAAAACATACTTCGAATAGGTCAGCTTTAGAGGGAATCCAGACGTGGTATCCTTCGTGCGAAATGGTACGTGGTTACTCCAATACGAATTACAGTTATTGAGCCAATTGCCATAAAAATACCTAATTATATGGTTTAGAGACCAAATTTACTTTTAGGTTAAATGCAAATCCCTTATGGGTACCGTTTCAAAAGCCTCTAATTCGTGAGAAAACTAGTATTCGAAGTACTCATATTGTCGCTCCAATTTCTAACAAGAGGATTGAGGTCATCACAACCTTACAGCCTTCCTGTGGAGCACAGCTTGAGTTAGGTCACCTTCGGAAGAGATGTCTGGTAGTTCTTGCCCTCTTCTCCTAGCCAGAATACGCAATTTCCTGCATACCTACAAAAAGCTATCCATAATTGGGTGATAACCATTTCTAGTACATGACCTGGCTATGAGATAAAAGCCTCTGTGAAAGGTTAATAAAGGCTGGCAACCACGAGGTCGAAACGGTCTCGTCTGTTGGACACCTCTAAACGGGACACACATTACTCGCAATCAGCAATCCCACATGCATGTTTCGTTGCCCATGCACTTGACAAGTGGTTCCGAGTGTGTCTGACTACGATCGCTAAACTTAAATGTAAGCTTTGCATGATGGATTAATTCCCTGCGAAAGTTTTGAGTTACGAGTTTCAAAAAGGTGTAGATAAACCAGTTACTTAGTGCCATCAGCCTATTATGACGTCACGTGAGAAGGGACTATCGTCTTGTACAATGAACAATGCGAGAAGGCACAAAGATTGTGGACAGTTGATACCACCTGCCCAATGCATGCTCACTAAATTATTTTCTCTCCACCCAACTCCTCCCTCCTCCCCCACCACCTTTCCCACGAGGGCACTCCTCCTCGCTCCAGCCCACTTCACTCCGTGCTAAGTGTCCGCACCACCACCACTTTTTTGTTGCACGAATGTCATAAATGGGATTCCATAAAATGTGTTACACAGGGTCCTCCATCCCACCAGGTGTTTGTGTGTGTGTGTGCATGGATGAAGTGAAGGTTGGGCGGGGCACACACGTGGACACACATGGACAAGTTAATGACCACCTGATCTTGTAATTTTATTGACACCTGGGTCAAGATCGGACGCCCATCATCGGTGGGGGATAACTGTGCTAGCGGTGCTGGTAGTAGCAGCATCAGTACCATCAGCAGCACCGGCAGCGGCAGCAGAATTAACACCTCCCCTCTCTCCTTGCCCTATCCCTCAGCCACCCACAGCGATTTTCCGGGTGGTCCGCGCGTCGTGTTTGTGTTGTTTATCCCCTCGGTTCAGAAAGTAGTTTTCGGGTTACGGTCAATTTGATCCTTCCAAAATTTTGCCTTGGTAAACATAACCATAGTAAATCCAGACATGATTGTTGTCTGCTGAAAACGGGGTTAGACATTTGGTCTAATTGGTTAATTGATACTTGAATATAATTCTAAGGATAATTTTGTGACACAAATATCTCCATGCTCGTTTCTAGGTGTCATCAGCAGGTCTTTGCCAAAATTCGAAGCCTAAGCCAGTTAGACTTCGACCTGCATAGTTTCGTGGACAACTGATTGTGCACGCCGTGAAAGCACAGGATAGACTTGTACGTTTGTGATGGATTAAAGTTTATGAAGACTTTATCAAATTCCACGTGGTCTCTACCGATTAGAGGGGACTAGGAATCCAAACCAATCGCCCAAACGGAAGCAATTGCTTGTTAAGCAATCAATCAGCGTTTCTGTGAGGTCCACTAAGGAGTTGAGGAATTAAGAGGGCTTTCAACTACCACCCTACTATTCAGTCATCGAGACCAGTTAAATCTAGACCTCCCACATTGTTAGTGACATCAACGAGAGTTTTCTGCGCACTTTTAATTAGCTTAGCGATGATACCCAACGATTACCGCCAATCCCCCTACATCTACTGCCAGGTCAGCCTGTTCCCAAATACTGTGTTTTTTACCAACGATACCCTCTAGATAAAGCAAGCTGGTATCACTACCGTCATTTTGGTTGGTGAATGCAGTCACATGCGTGGTACTAGAGGGATTCATTTGAGAGGAGAGATGGAGAGCTGTCACTCAGTACCAAATGATTAGCATTTACATGTGAGAATGCATTCATAAATGAAACACCAACTGTGTTTATGGGGTCCCACGATCACCAGTGCTGCAAACCACATAGTGAGAAGCAGACTCACTTTAAAGTATGTTTTCCTTCATTATATTCTTGGTTCATTTAATCATGATGTACCGTTAAAAGTGATTTGAATAACTACCCACTACTAACTAGAGAAATTGGAAGCTAGGTCAGCTTGGTACAGTGTTAAAAAGTGCCTCGACAAAGGTGCCTGATAAGTTTCTTCTGAACGGTAAAGGGAGTTTCTAGAAATCTAGTAATTAAACATGCGTGGCTGTCTTTCAAGGAATAGGGCGTTATTGTTCCTCTTACAGTAGGATAATGCAATGTTACGACCCGCTGTCACTTTAGCCCCATTTCGCACCAGTGGCGCAAAGATGAGGGGAAAGGGTTTCGATACACCAGTGTCCCCTCTGCACCGCTACGCGGTTGCTTGCTTGTGTTTTCAAGCCTATGAAAAGTGAAAGGTGGTGGGATACGAATTCTCAACGCGCCTTCTTCATCCTCATGAGAATGCACAGTTGTGTGGGAGTTAACCATCTCTTTTGTGCTCCTACTCCTTATCGTGGACAAGGCTATCAAGATAACCAAAACGCGCATGGAATAAAAATCTTCTCTAAGCACGTTAAACGCATTCCCGCTCTTCACCTACAGTACCCGTTGCCTACATGTGTCACATGTATGTGACCCCCCAATCCACCTGAGCCCATACGTCACACGTATTTGGGACATACGGTTAAATAAAATGGTTTTAACCCAATAAAAATTAAGAAAGGGCAAAATAATTAGTATCACATCAAAAAAATAAAAACTTTGGGCTGTGGCGCTTGAGCTTTAAGCCAAAATATAAGCAAGAAAAGCAATAAGAAGTATGCAGTGTTTTCGCACAACTGGCAATTGATAAATGGATGATAATTGCGATGAAAAGTAACCCTTAAGTTCTAATTGGATTCAAATTAATCTTCAACATATTTTTACACAAATTTTATTGTCTGAGTTCGAATATGGTAGGCAAATAAATGCCTTGTGATCAAACTACATACTGCTTTTTCTGACGGTAGGTCCGTTCATGATTTATAAGCAGAGAATTGTAAAAAAGGGGGAAAAATAAATTGTAAGGAAATTGCTATTCAATCAACTCTACATTTACTAGTGTACCAAGTCAATTGAATTAATCTTTGGCGTCGGAATTTGTCTGATCCGGAATTCAACATACGTCTTGAGGGCACCTTGTGGAGCCTCATAGACAAAAAAGCTGACTGGTATTTGTCTGTCTTTCCAAACCAGGTGACATTTTATATGTTCATGACGTCTGATCGGAATAGTTTGTTTACTCTAAACCTCTCATTTGAGTTATTTTTCCGGTTTTTCGGTGACAGTAATGTCATGCAATGACTGTAAAAGTTGGACGCTTTGGTTCTAGGACAGTAGTTACGCAGAACACCTTCATTAATAAATGAGAAATCGGACGAGTGTATTTCCTAAACCCTGTGGGGATGTAAATAGATGCTGCATTTATGTATGATGCTTGTTGTAGTTCTAAAACTACAGCCTTTAACGCCCCTATTGATACTCCTCTTAACCAGACCTGTATTCTTTGTCACTAGCAAATAAGCAGGATCACCGTTAAAACCGGAAATGCCTCGGAGATGTAGAGTTTGCAAAACTTGCCGTATAGATGATGTTGGTGTCTTCTGTGTTGCATACTGGTTAATTCTGCGGCCCTACCGAACTGCTCAAGCGGGTCGCCTACTTACGTCCTTTGACTTCGTGCATGAAATCAAACACTAGCTCGTTTTCTAAGTCCACATCGTGAATAAATTCATTTATCAGTAATAATGGTCTAAATCGTCCAAAAGTGAGACCTCTTATCACGAAAAGAGAAGCTATTATTTTGTCTAATGATAAAGTGAGAAAGCAGCTTTTACCCACCCTTTGCTCTCAACCATCACCTTTGTGGTTGACTTGTGTTTTAAGACATCACACGGTGCTCTGTGTTTAAGCAGTAGCCCATCCGTCAATCACTCCACAGACGCTCCATATAATTTTCACCCTAAAAACTCTTCAAAGAGAGCACGATTGTTGTGTAGGGGAGAGGGCAGAGTGGAGAAGGATAAGGAGGTGCAATAGAAGGAGGATGAGGAATAGGCTGTGCAAATTGACTTACCACTTAGGGTACCGACACCCACAAGTTGTCTATCTAAACGTCAACATCGTGTATACGCGTGTGTCCTGAGCTACACGTAGGGCAGGTATGACTTTCCTCTGAGTGCGTTTTTGGACAAATTAATGAGCACTTTGGTAAAACCACGCAATATATCACTTCAATCTACTTCAACTTGATAGATTAGAACTTAACTATCACTGAGCGTACTTTACAGTTCAAAATGCAAATGTGTTTTTAAACATTCCGGCGCGTAGCAAACCGATGGCCCTATCAAATATTAAAACAAACCAAAATGTGACTAAAAGTATTTAAAATTCTTCTTTCAGGCAGTAAAGACTGTTGTTTTAAGAAACCCTTAAAATCACTCAAACTTTACATATTTTAATGTGCATCATTTCACACAAAAACGCTTTTTTTGGAGTATACACCGTTCTTATACATCCTCGAATAGCAAATTGGGAAATACATGTCTGGTGAAAAATAGGCCTTTTGATGCGTGCTATGCTATTTCATTAAGTACTCAGGTTGATGGTGTGCTAGGCGTAGACAGAAACTGGTTGATTCCTAGGGTGGAACAATTGTCAGGATGAATTGATAAATCTGCCTAGACCAACTAAAAATAGCGTTTTTTATATGATAGGTGAAAGGTGATGCGACTTTTCACCTCAATCATAAAGCATAACTTTCCTCAAATATATATTTTCTAGACACTATTCGCTTGGATGGAATATGGGTATTGTACGAACAATGTCATATGCACATGAAGAGTGAGTTTTGACTTCACTCGCTTTAAGGGGGAATTTAAGGTGTCATTTAGTCACTGCCTTGTCCTTACCTGACAGGTGATACCACAGTCTCTATACTACAATACTTAATTCGTAAATAAAAGGTATGAAGACTCGAAGTGCTCCACATATGACCACATTAAGGTCTCACGGTTATACGTGATGACAAAAACATATTCGCCAAGATTCTTCTTGTCCGCCACTTAAGGTCTATGGATATAATGTTAAACTGGTAGCTTTGTCATACCCGGGTAGTTACAATCAGTAATGTAATAACCTAAAATTATCTCAGGCATAAATTTCCATTCTGCATTGACTTTCAATGTCATTTTATAGTATGCATCTATACGTGCTAAATGCGAGGACATAGGACTGATTGCACAAAAACTGCACAATGCATATAAATCCGCTTCTGAAAGGCATCGTGTTAGCTGTCATATACCGGAGGGCTTAGTGTAGTAGGCCACAGTGGGACATCTTTCACGCCTGCCAAGGGATTCATAAATCCCTGATGTCCAGTTGCAAACGGGAATTCGGTCTTAAAGGGTCTTAGCCAGTGACAGGTCTGGACAAATGTCAAACGCGTGTGTTTGTCCAGATGGATGATGACGAGGAGAGGGTTGTCAAGAGCTACAGTACTTTACAACAAGAATAGAAGGCGTGGTCATTGGACTGTCTAATATGGGGGGGGGGGGGGGGGAGGGGTAATAATCATGAATGCTCCCCCTTTAAAGATCTCCTATAGATGGGCTGGTAGGTTAAGAGGATCAGTGTTAATTTGAAGAACAAATAAAATTACCAGATAAATTAGTTTTAAATTACCTAATTGTTCTACTTTATCACCTTTCAGAGAAATGGTAAAACTGAGCAGTTGCGTTCTACCGTCTATCAAATCCATTTTCTTTTATTAGTGCCCGAAGGACTGGTTAAAAAAAAGTTTTTAAGAACACTCCACAGGTCCTTTTGTAAAGTGCCCAACACATGCAACCGCAGTACGCAGTACGCCTATTCCTATGTATGCGGTACACCAGTTGCCAAAGCCACTTTATCATGCCTCCTCTCCTCGAAGAAAAAGTCTAAGATCTTCCCACCACGAGCATATGGAGGGTTGGGAGGTCATAATGGGCATAAATAGCACACTTGATGCGATCAATGGGGAGGACTCGGCCTCCTTAAACTAGTAAGTCACACATGCTTGAATGCGTCCACTGATATCCCCACGCCTACACACAAAAACCATGCACTCTCCATATGCCACCCATTTACTTGAAAATGCTAGCATTGAAGTACCCCAATAGTTGTCAATTAACCAATCCACTCACTATACCCCTCTGATAAATGGACTGTGTGGGTGCATGTCTTTATAGAACAAGGACATGTTGGCGGGGCGGGGACTGTCGATGTGAGCCCCATGTCAGGGTCTAACAAATCTCCTTATGGTACAAGGACTCTTTATCTAGGGGGTGGGGGCGATGCACCACTTAACCAACAAACGTCCACTTTCAAAGATACCAGGAGTAGTTTCCATTAGAAAGAACCTTCTTTTTATACCTTTTTTACCTTTCCTCCCTTCCCTCGTATAGATGACATTGTGAGCCCTCAGCCCAATCGGTGTAATGCATGACACTTTACAAAGATTTCATGTAAAATTTTTCCGACAGGCCGCGTGAGCTTTGATGGCCTTGATTGAATACAACATGGAATCTAGTTAAAGCACATAATTTTTTATCAAACACAATGCGCAAAACTGGAACTACACATTCTATGCCTGTTTCACCCTTCACATGTCTTCCACTGTCTTTGCCTCTCCAACCCTGGAAGATTCCCAACAACAGAGCCAGACATGCTGTAGTAATGTTATAAAAACAGCATTTGTTTTGCGTTAAGCCAGAACCGGAGCAGCGCTTGTTACTGTTTCTCCACCTCCTCCTCCTGTTGTTGTTGTTGCGCTCTTTCTTGTTTCATGTTTCTCCATCGCGCTCTTTCTTTCGCTTGACAAGAAGAAAACGGTTTTATAAACACACGCATGTCTGCATTGCTGCAAAATTTTACACTCCCCTGCTTTCGCACACAACCACAGCCGTAGATAGACTTCTAATGGACATTCATTAGACCTTGGTTGCGAATTTTTGTGGAACCATGCTGGACCAAATTAGAGAGGAGGTGGGAGGCGGAGAAGACGGGGGAGAAGAATGAGAGTAACACGGCACTGACAACCGCCTACTAATGAACCTGCAGACATTTTCTTGAAAATCCGCTGTTCTTGCCTATTCATCCAATCTTCCTCTTTGACTAGCAGCCATATGCATGTATGTTCTAGCTGATTTGGAAGGATTAATCGCTTTTAAGGATAGTTCAAGGATTATAAAAGCCACAGACTAAATAAATGGATTTCTAACAGGTGGATCATCGCCGCTATTTGACAAGGTTAAGTATCTAAGAGCACTCAACTTCCACTGACATGTCCTACTTTGAACTGCTTACAAGACTATAGGTAAACGAAAACCAACAGTGTTTACGGGTAATCAAACAGGAATAAACGCCAACCTTTAATAAAGAACACCTAGTGATGTTGATGTGGATGAGAGTTTGTAGTCAAAGCGACGCACTTCTCACACCCGCCATGCTTGTGATTTCAGTCAAGTGCAGAACGTGCTTCACAGTGGCAAAGGCGTGGACCCCCAACTACTGAACTTGTTATTTATTTCTGCTATATTTTACAGGATTCCACGAGCAACTTGCAGAGAGAGCTGGGTAGTATGAAGCAGCGGAGTGGATGGAAGAGGGTCGGGCAAGTAGATTAATGCGTACCTACCTGTCTTCATTAAAAGATACCCTTTCACACGTTATGAGGCATTATTGTGTAAACACGTCAACCCGTAGAATCAGCCACCCATCTCCACTCGATGTGCGTGTGAAAGGCTTTTCATTAATAAACACAAGTCTTGGGGCAGTGTTCATTATTTCATCGCGACATGAAATTGGCTCATTAGAAAACAGCGCGAGAGCTGCTTTTAGCAAAAATGGTCCTTCCACTTCCTGACGACTTAAATCAGATGAAGAGGAAGTGCAGGGACACTTCACTTTCTTGAATTTGGCTGCTGTCTATTTGTGCTTCTACAAGTCGGCCATTACTAACAACATCCGACCAACAGCTGGATGTCCTACAATTAAAGATTCTACTACATTGACTTAAGTTTGCACCATTAGAAATATAAATATAGGCGGATCTTTCGGTCATAAATTAAAGCAACATAAATCATTGGGCTGATTTTCTTACATATAAACAAGATGTAGCATCCCAAGACCTCTTTAAAGATGAACAGAAGGGCTAGGGAGAGGACGCAAGCATGGCTTAGCGACCATGCCGCTAAGAGGAAGTACAGTGGTCATGCCCTTCAGTGTCCGCGTAACCTAAACGAATAATTGTAGTATTACGCTGACCCTTTCGCCTTTCAAGCGTCAGCTCTGACCCTCACCTTGGACAACCTTTAGCGTGGTCAGTGCTGTAGGAATAACACCCAACAATCAACCGCACTAACCATTCCAATCGCGTGCAACAAAGACGATACCCGACTACATTGTACCCATTTCTCTTGGAAATTCCACTGGATCTGGAGCTTTTTCCTATTTGGGTAATGTATCGAGGCATGAGTGAGTGTGCAGACCATCACGTATGTATGCTCATTGCAAGTGGTAGAAAACTGGCCTAAAAGCAGCGTCATTTAATAAAGGACGGTGTTTTAACATAGTTCATTTGGGATAAGGTTTCACGTCTATTTCTCTCTGTCACTTTGTTTTCACTTCAGCACTGCTCAGCCATATCTACCGGAATTCTATCTAGGCGGTAGAGAGGCGGCCGGGGGAAAGGTGTCGCAGGTTCACTTGAGTGTTATCTTTGTAGAGATACGGTAGGCAGCTCCGTAACGAACTTCTCCAGATAGTACATGACCACGGCAATTGTCGCTTTCGTTGTTAATAGCCTTCCCGCAGAACACGGGATTGAAGTAGTTGCCAAAGGTGGGCATCAATTTCAACTCTTCTGTTAGGAGTGGTTACAGATACTCTCATCACCGGCATGTGCTCTTCTTCCTTCACGCCAAAGTTTAGCATTCGGAAATGAAGACCAAAATTGTTGTTCTTTAAGATCGGATCCGCTTTCAGTGCCACAAATGTACCACTAAAGACTTCACTGAAGAAGAAAAAAGACACAATACCTGAGCAGAATGCAAGTAAATGTAGAGAAGGGCTGGGGGCTACTGGCACGGTCCGAAGGCCATACCACTAAATGGAAGTCCAATGGCCCGCGTAACCAAAGAGAAGAGTTGGACAGACAATCAAAGTATTATAAAGTCTTTGATGAGAGTAATATAAAACCGATTTTAATAGAAGCAATTTCCTAAAGCTCTACAATCCTGGAGGTTTATTATTCACTGTTATTTGATTATCTTTTTATGGATGGATAGAATTCTTTACCGCAAGAAGGTACGGGATAGAGGACAAAACTTCACACTAAAATGTATAAAATGACTTAAATAAGGTTTTACGTGACTATAAATGGACGCGACAAGACAAATAATTGATCCCCTAGCCTTACATTTTTTAAAGTGGCCCGAAGTGGCACAATTGTCTCTGCCGATGTTTGAAATGCCTTAGACAACACGAACCACAAAGTGTAACGGATTCTGTTCCTACGAAAGGAATTCGCACACAAATGTGCACACACACACACACACACACCTGGTGCCCCATTCAAATTTTAAATGTCGTGGCAGAAAAAAACTTCGTGATTGTACGTGTGTGTGTCGTGAAGGCGCGCCCCGTCTCCTCCCCATTACTCATTTCTCGCGCCTGTACGCGCGCCCGTGCACACACAAACACCCCGGGAGATGTATAAATGGGCTATTTCAACAGCCCAACAGAGTTAACAAGGCTTGATTAATTAGCCAGTGTGGTCTCTTTTTGAGCCTCTGGTGGCCTCCAGCGGGGAGGCGGAAGGCGGAGGAGGCAAAAAAGAGGTGCCCCGAATAACCTTTACCTAATCCGTCGTTTCCGAGTGTACGCGCTTGCAGGCATACCTGCAGCGCTTACTTCACGCCTTAATTTGCCCCTACCCCCTTTGCCTTCAGCACTTTACAAGAGGAAGAGAAGTTGACTGGTGGACACAGCTTTTTGCTGTCCACCCATTTCCCCCCCCCCCCCACCCAAAGTATTTGGGCGCATGCGTGCATATCTCGAATGGTGGGAGATGGCTTTATCTAATTAATAGCCCTGCATTGACCTATCACGTAGCCAAAGCTTACGAACGTGATTACTATAGCTTCAAAACCACCACTTAAAGTAATTATGTATTAGAATACACAGGGCCTTGCAGTTTCCTGTAATTTTTCGCATTAGCCTTTTAGTCCTTCTGTGCGGTTATAATAAGATTATTTCCAAATCCCACCAGTCAAAACGACCACATTCACTGAAATGACTGTAAGATAGGTAAATTCACTTTAAAAAAGTCAACAGCAGTCTCTATTTTGCCTCCCGGATACCAAGGGAGAACATCAAGCAACGTGGAATACACCTCCAAAGATTTGTAACAATAGGACTCGAAACCGCCTCGACCTTCGGCAATGACCCATGCTTGGGTTTCTCATGATGGGTAGATGTGAAGCGTGACCACGTTTGAAGCCATCTACAAAAAATATTAAAGAAATTTGTAGGAATAGTGCGCATTATTAGCTTGGTCTTAAGACCTGATGCCTTTCAATGTTGCAAGGAACTGAGAGAAACCCAGGCGGAAGACAAGACCGGATTAGAATGATAACACAGGAGAAACAAGGGGTAGAGACAGGACGTGGTTTTAGAATTTTATTATTTCCTATGCATTTTAATCAGCGGTCCTGCTTCAGGCACATGTTTGATTGATTCAAGGTGAGTCCACTGTAGAACAGATCCAGAGAATAATCAGGTCTAAAAGAACTTAAAAGTATTATTATTCCAAATACCAGTTTTGTTCACTATAAAACACTTTTCACCTTTTCACGGACAGGAATGCTTTACGAATTACTTTTGCAAGTGGGTACTAATGATTCCGATTTGGGCCTCCTCTATACCAGCATAACTGACAGGCAAGTGGAGACATAGAAACCCACATGGAGTAAGCCGAAACAGCACTAAACGGCTCTGCATTGTTCTTGCACCGGGTTGCGCAGAGGGCGGTGAATGCATCTAACATCTCGTTCAGCTAGAAGTGGGTTCGTTTAGTGGAAGTGGACTTCCCCAACTGTCACTCCAGCCCAGAGTGGTAATTTTTTGTGCTTCTCTGAAATGGAGGGTATGAATAAAAGAGGCTTTCAAAAAACTATTCACTGAAACCAAAAACTACCCTCCTGGGGCTCCACTCCCTTCCAAATCCGCAATCATTCAGTACAGGTGAGGAGATTCGAGCTATTTGCTGCGTGTACTCCTGTTCTGCAGGCTTTCCAGTTCTTAAATAAAAGAATGGATATATGCGTATAGATATTTTTGACAGAATGTGACTTAAAGTTGGGACAGTTTAGGACATGAATTTATGCGCACACACATCCACATGGATGCATGCCTGCCTGCCTGCCTGCATGCATGCATATTCAAATGCGGTGACAGTTGCTGTCCCCTCATTTTACGCGTTTATTCAACCTCACCATCCACAGTGAAGTGGAAGAGGTGGGGGGCAACCGGGGGGAGGGGGAGGTTGGGCAGGCGAAGAAGGGGAGTGGTAGATTTAGCCGCTGAAAATGTGTTTTTTTTTTTTATCTCCCTCTGTCCCCTTCCCTTATCGTCGTAGCATTCGCAGAATGACATTTGGGCCTGTGGTTCGTTCACCTGGGTCAATGAAATGGTGTGACAGCTGATAAAACCGTGGCCTATGAATTCTGCATTTATGACAGGAAGAAATGGGTTATTGTTTCACGTGCTACAATGCCATAAGGTCATACATTTTATGGACCCGAGAACATCTGTTTTCGAAACTTGAGAGACACAGCTCATGACTTCTTCGAGAAATCATCGTCAACTATGGATTGGTACTCCACCAGGATCGCAGAGGAAGATCTACCACCTCATTTTAGGTGCTTTGTTATTCTGTGACATTGCCGCCAAATCCGTTAAACAGGTTGATGGTGCCACTGAATAACTAATGAATGTACCTGTTTTTGGAACAAGATCATCCTACAATCTCCTGGGTATAAGCGTCACATATTTGTGACACTGGGCGCATGTAAGCGGATGTGACTCTGGGAATGACGTTGCAAGAACTAACAAAAGGCATGTTTGATCAAGTGGGATTAAAAAAAGGTAAGCAGCGTTAAAAGGTAAATAATGTTAATTTCTCAAAAATAGCTAAAAAGTTACCTTTTCCAAGGTGGTATGAGAAATATTTGCGGGGGCTGACAAGAGGGTAAGGAAAAATTTTGCAGAATTAGGTGGAAATGATGAACATAATTAAACGCAGTTGATCATTTTGAGTTTAGAAAAGTTTGACAAACTGAGAGCATCAAAACAATCATAATTCGAAGGTGAGATTGCAGCAGCAGTCATCTATCCCGCTGAGGTCAGCTACCATCCCACAAAATTTTCTCTCCAAATTCTTTTCCCACGGACCCGTATTTTCAGCAAAAAAGGAGGGCGAGTGAGTAGATTACAGCTGACAACAGGATATCGTCTGGCGCCAGCGATCACTGGCCTTACCTGTATAGGTATACCTATGCGGTAGGAGATGTTATCACCTCCCCAGAGGGCAGGGAGTACAAATTGAATCATGCCGTGCATGTGGACTCCCGCTTACGTGTTTGGAACGCCCGATTTTGCTTGTTTGTCTCAACAAGAAAGCAGCAAGTGGGGAGAAACAGAAGGGGGGGGGGGAGAACGAGAGGTCTGTTTTTGCCCACAACAAGTTGATCAGATAAGTGGCCATTACTAACTGCGCCTGGAGCCTTTCAGTTGGAAAACTGGTAGTGGCAGTGGTGCTAGAGGAAGAGAAGAAAAACAAATCTTCGTAGCCTTCCTTTTCTTTCTCCTTCACCTCTTCCTCCTCGTCTTCGTCTTCTAATTCTTCACCTTCTTTAATTTTAGGCGGTACTACCATTTTTTACCACAAGAGAAAACTAGAAACAACAAGCATATGATAAGAGAAGTTTAATTTGAAATCTCATAATTGATGACGATTGGAGGAATTTTAACAAATAGGAAGTAATAATAAGCGCCAAAGATAATACTTATGTATTTTTTTTCTTTAAAACCCTATTTCAGTTTTCTAGATAACAGCACCCTTCTTTTTTTAATAAAAACCATAAAGATAAGAGAAGCCTTGCCTAAATTAGATTTCGAACACTGAATTTTTAGTCTGCACTTTAAATTCATCTCCAGAAATTCACTTTACTTTCTTAATTAAGCCTAGAACTGGAAAGGTACTACGTATAGAAAGTGGGATGATTGATCGTTTCCTTTTTTAACTGATAGGATAACTTTTTGGTGAGTTTTCTTAGAAATGTCATTTTCACAGCTGACAAATAACTCCAAGTTTGACTATTTTTATGTCTGGATTCACTCTTCCAGTAAAATATAGGACTGGTAAGTATCGGAGAAGGTACATCTGGGGATCGCCTCGGCATAAAATTTTAGGGCATGGAGGGGTTAAATTTTCAGTTGGACGGCTGAAGAGGTGAGCCGGCGGGTGGACAGCGTCTCGCAAACAATGTCACCAGTTTCATGTTTAATAGGCCCTGCTAGAAGACACCTTCGCGCTGTCCTCATTCCCACAAAGCCACAGAGAGGGAGAGAGATAGAGAGGAAGAAAGTAGGACCAATTTTCTTAAGATACGACATCCTTCTTTTCCCCACTCACCCCACCTATAGACCAGAGAGGTAAAAGAGAGGTAAGGTGAGCCGGTTCGACGCTACAATTCTCGTCTCGGGTGTGGGAATGTGGACCACCCGTCACGGAGGCACGCGGTGTGCAAGCGCCTTTGTTAAGTTACAGTTGACACGAGGCTTAGAGGGCAGTCTTCTTCATCACCTCCTGCCCTGTATTTGAGATGACAAATTGTGGGGTTTTGACTTGAGCAGCTAGTTCTCGTGACTGCTCGTCTGTGTGTGCGTCGCACATGCCACCAAAAAGTTATTTGGTGGTTCCCGAATCGAGCTCCACAACTTTGCAGTGGAAATCAAAGCAGCTTAATCAAGAGTGGAGTGAAATCACCCTTTCGCATTCGTTTTTTAAATCTTGGATTCGACCTATTGGTAAATTTCAATCAGTGGTTCCATAAGTTTAATGTGTTCTCAATGTCCTATGCACACTCAATTTCCGAGCCCTAGAGGAACACCAACCACTATAATTTTAAATGCCTTATGACATCAGTTTTCATCACATTTGTTGACAAATTCATCTGCTCTCGATTATAGCCAAAAAGTGTAATAATTATTCTACCGAGAAGATCCAACGTCTATTTTAATGTTTTAACTGAACCGCTGATCAAACGACTTGAAAACTGGATTGTCACGTTTACGTGCCATTGGTTGGGAACTTGTTGAAAGGATAGTTATGCAAGTCGTGCTTCCCTTAACGAGAAGGCAAAAATGAAGTTTTAATGTTTATTTTCTCCTCCTCGGAAACTGACTCTTAGGGAAACATTTGATAGAGCTTGGAGTACCTGTTAGTGCCATAGGTGTTAAAACATTATCAGATCTTCCTGCCTAAGTAACCTTATTCCACTACATGTGGCAAAAAGATCATCTATAAAATGTCGAGTGTTCTTGCAAATAAAACTAAAACAAAATAGAAGAAATTTTTGGGCCTTGAAACCACTTAGCTTTTGGTACTTCGGCAGGGCGGCGTGGCCTCTGGGTCATGCCAGTAGGCCCCAAAGTCTTTCTCTGCGTCTATGATACATATTTCCCCTAGTATTATGTCTTCTTCCATCTTTAAGAAAGACCTAGAGCACTATTATGGTGGCAGCGGAAATTAAACCCTAATGCTAAGGGAAAACTACCCCAATTTTCATTATTGAGTGGTCATCCTTAGAGCAACGGAAGAAGGGCATCTGTTGCAGATGGGAGAATCTGTAACGATCCATAGCAGATTGTTTAAAATGAAGTTCACATCCGGCAACCACTCCGACCTTGCATACTGAAGGAATGTTATTATCAACTAAAGCGAAGCAAGCAGTAGCCATTAAACCATCTAGAAAAGTTCGTTATGGGTCTAAGTAAACCCACGATATTTCCCTCTCCTCTCAACTATCTTAATGGAACCCAGATCGACAAGCGGATAGAGAGCCCTGAGATAAGAATAAATTGATAAGGAGGAACCTTATCCCTGTAGAGCTACTTCAACCCTCATCCTTTATTAGAGGGCCCTGCTTTTGGGTCAGTGTTCTCACAACCACTGAGAGACATACGAGATGTACAGATGTGCTCTCAATGCAGTTTTCAAACAGGACAAAACTCTAAATCATGTGGAACTGCCAAGCGAAATCAATGACGATCCATTCAGGTAAAGTCTCAGTTGCATACGAATTCGATGAATGGTGAGGTTGGTTCGTGGATGCTTTCTCACTGTCTCGACTACTTTTTAGTAGGCAACCCGGGATGTCGACAAAAAGCAGCGTCGGGGATGATGCTTTAAGGAGAATAAGGGCTATATAATTCCTCGCTTTAGTTACGCAGACACTGAAGGCCCTGCGATTGTGCTTCCTCTGGGCAGCCTGACCTCCAGGTTAGGGCAGTGGCCTCAATCGCATCTGCATGTCGGCAATACATATTCATTCAAGTATCATGTCTTCTTACGTCTTCGAGAAAGCCTTGACATTATGTGCTATACCTTAAAAAGGTGGCTTGTTCTAAAAGAAATTCAATGGCATTTTAAAATTCTTTAGTCAAAATAAATTCGCTGCTAAAAAACCTCGCTTGGAAATAATTGGTTCTAATTTTCCATGAAAATGTTTCCATGAGGTATCCTACAATCTCGCTACCCAACTATAATGCAGACAGAAGTAGGATCTTACTGTTTTACATTCTTACCGCCACCTATTTACTTGACAAAATAAAGTTCTAGTTTGGCGAAATTCTGGCAAACAAAGATGGGTTGGATAACGGCGAACACATCGCAAAAGGACTGCATAAGTTTCCATTGTTTTAGATCAATTTTACTTCATGGGAAATTCACATTTTGTAAACCAAAAGTGCAGCTAATTACAGTATCCTAGGGCCAATTCGGCCTGAAATTTCCCAAACCACTGACAAACATACCGGTGCCTGTGTGAATATTTGTGACAAATGCGACGGCACCAACGGCATTCGCCGAGTAATCTCCCGTGACAAATCTGGGATACTTGATTTGGTATCACTGTTTTTGGGAAAAATCAAACACAAATGGCAAGGCCAGATTTGCTTAGACAAAATAGACACTCCTATCACACCAATTAACTGAAAGTGAGGATCTTTGGATGTGACGGTTACAAGTACTCCGTAATTTGGCGGCATGGTTGTGAAGATTTAAGTTACTCTATCTGATCCAAGGCGCTATCACGTTAATTTTCACTAGGGAAACTTAAGAAGGTCAGCGACATGAGACCCCTCTGAGTACGAATTAAGATATAGTACGGGAACGGAATGTGGAGCCAAAGTAGAAAGGGGTTGGGGCTACCTGCATAGCTCGGACGACATGCCGCCTGGCAAACATACATTGGCGAAGCCCCTAAGTGGCCCTTTACCAAAAGCTAGAGCTAAGCAATTACATTCTAAATGAAAAATTAACGCTAAATAAGTAAAAAGACACTAATTATTTTAGTTTTTATATCATACATTGATACTGTAGCGATGGATACACCCTAAAAAGGCCTTGTTCTGGATTCTGGACCGGTGAATTGCATTCCTCCAGCTGGAAAGCGGAAGGTTCGATCGCGCAAAACCACGCTAATGGGGATATTTGCCATTATAGTTGAGGTATAAATCAGTGTCACTGTGGCCATTGGATCTTCTCCTCAATTTAGGGCTAAGAAATTATGTTCTACCTCTTCCTCCCCTCCCCCCCTTGACCAGCCCGTGAACCACCACCGGATTTTCCAGTACAGGAACAAAGATAAAATATTGGAGCCAGTTGCAGTGGCCTCTACTAAAGCGTTCTAGAGGCTGCCTTAATTAAACATTCACAAAGTACATCAGTCAGTCCTTAGAAAAAATTGTGAGAAATATCGCCCATATATACCATACTCTTTTAAAATGTCAACTTTCGCAGTGACCAATTTGCGAACTAAAATAGAGTTCTATACTTCTCAACGCTTATTCATCAAAAAGATACTTGTTAAAGTAAAACTATAATGTACTGCTTCCTTTACAAATTGACAAACTTATTTGTGAGACAGAACGTTCATGGCTTCCAATCGGTCACATCGAACTGTCATGCCTATTAGCGTGAGAGACGCGGAGGGCCAAGGTCTTAAGACCAAAGGTCAGAGTAATAAGGTAGATCAAGGCACCTACTTCATATGCAACCTTATTATCTCCTCCTCAGAAAGCCATTGTATCCGCACACTCCATGGTCTCCCGAATAACTTAAGTCTTCTTGATTTTTAGCATTGTATACGAAAAAGGTGCTTGAAGAAAGCATGATTTATACTGTCAGTCTGTTCTCCTCAGCAGCACAGGCTAACCGTATTTGCTCCACCGTGGTAGGTTTCTGAGGCGGAGAAAAAACTGCCTCAAGGCCTAATACTTTTCCCTTTTCTCTGCGTTTCGCCCACCTCTCCATTCAAATCGTACTGTGGCAATAAGGGCAGCAGTTGTTGTTAGCTTGTGTATTTAGACTCCGTTCCGAAGTATGGCAGAGTAGGGGGAAGTGTGGAATTTATTTTGAAAAGCCCCATCTACAGGCAAGGCGGGTAAAGCAAAGCGAGACCACCCCAAGTGTTACTACCGACTAATTTGTCTTTGAATTTTGGCCTTATGTTGATTCTTTCAGTTATCCATCCATTTAACAGACTGTAGAAGAAAACTTTACTCTCTCGAGGATGTTACTTCAAAAATGGAGTTGCAGTTAGTTTGCAACTTTTGAAAGGGTGTTATAAACATGAAAGATGGAGTCAAAGTAGTCGTTATTGTTGGATGGCACCTTATTTAGGCATTTGTTTACCTTGTTTGTAAACAAGTGTTGCAAATGTGCCCTGCGTCTTATAGAAGAGCAGAGATTTATGGTAATGTCACCTTGTGCAGGAGACTTTTGTGGTTTTGGGAGGAAGTATGCTCAGTTTTTTTTATTTGAGATGACCATTACAGGCTTAAAATAGGGTAAAAAGGAATGAAATAATTAAAAAGTGGAATCGACAAAGCTTTTTTTTGAATTTTGATAGAAGCGACTGTCATTTTAAGCTTTAATAGACACAGAACACATAAAGCGCCCTGAGACTTTCTTGAAGACGAAATAAGGCACAATACTCTGGTAGGAAATGCATTGGTCACGGAGAGCAGGGATTGGACCTATTGCCATATCCGGAGGCCAGGCCTCCCGGCAAATGGATCCTAGCGGAGCCCTAAGTGCCCCGTTGCCCAAACCTCAGGTTAAAAAACATTTAAAGAGGATGATTTTATGAAAGGGAACCTCTTTGAACAAATTCTTAGGCTTTTAAATCTTGTTAGTCAATTAAAGTAGCAAAAACCTGACCTTCAAACTACATTCGAACCCAACTTTTGATAATTTCATACGTCTTCCACAAATTACATAGCTGAATGCTATGACAAGTTTGAGTCTAGAGATCTCTTCAGTCTTCTAGTCCATTCTGTTTATATGTGGATGAAACACCGATTTGTGTTAGGCCACGAATGAAGAGTTGCCTTTTTTACAATGTTTACCGCTTGATACTTCACCTAGGTGGGAAATTTAAGTTACTGAGAGAATGCGGAAAAGCGCCCTGGTTGACTAAAAGGATTTCGTGGACAGAATCAAACATGGATTTTAACTGGTCTGCGCTGACGTGTTGCTGCTCGCAGAAGACATTCTGCTAGCAAATCAGACAGTGGGGTCGTAAGTTCCTAAGGTGTGATTTGTCTCTAGGTTATGTGACAACCCGGAGGCTTGAGTATGAAGTTTTCCTCCTAAAAGCATCTCATTCGATGCGAGGCAATGCGGGACTTTTGATTTTTTGGCAAATAAAGCGAACTAAATTCCTCAGCTAAAAGAGGTCACCAGAGGACGGTAAAATAAAATATTTTAAGTGTTATCTATGGTTAATATATTTGTTGTTCAACCAATTTAGCCTCACTTATTATTTCCTTTAAAATTATTTTGGAGTGATTTTTGTCTCAGAACGGAGGAACAAGTGTCAAACGCTGTTATAGACAATGTGTACACTGAGAAAGTTGACTACTCTACGAAGTAAGTCCAACTTCTAATGAATGTCTTGTTACACACACTTATTGGGAAACTTTTGTCATTGGAATGAAAAAGTTGCAGTCCTCTTCCTGAAATGTGACCAAGGAACTTGTAAGGTCTATCGGTCAGAGTGATCATTTTCTAATGCAAGACAAATTTTCATGCGAATTTAATATGAAGTACATAATCTTTTGTGGCAGGTTTTTGTCCATTAATGAAACAATTAAAGTGCCCCTAGTCTTTGCTAAAGACGAATGAAGATACAATATCTGGGTAGAATATGTGTTGTTGATGTAGGGAAGGGCTTGAGGTGGGGGCTACTGGTATGACCCAGGGGCCAAGTTTCCCAGCAGAAGTAAAATGACAGAACTCTAAGTGCCCGCGAAATCAAAATGACAAATTAACCAAACAAAAAGGATTAAGAAGCCTTCCTCCTCTTTTAATCGTCGTCCCTATGTCTCTCCTTTTGGTCAACCCCCGGTGACAGCCGTCAAAACGTAAGGAAAATCATCCACGAATCGACCACGCCAGTCGTTCTATTTGAGTGCAGCTAGAAGGATATTTGACCGAAACTTCTCTGATCTCCACTGGCAGTTCTACTGGATCCGCAGTTCCGTCCTGTTACGAAAACTGTATTGAGGGAAGGGGAATGTGCAGACCATTACGTACGTTCATTACCAGGGGTAAGAACACTGGTCTAACTCAGTCATTTAATAAAGGACGAGGTTTGAAGTAGTTCCATGGGCATAAGCTTTCGCCTCTGCTCCTCCTTACCAATTTGTTCTCGCTTCAGATCAGTCCACCCATATATCTATCTGGGTTCTCTACAGCTAGTAGAGAGATGGAGAAAGAGGTATCTTGGATTAACCTAAGTGAAATCTTTATACAGCTGCCGTAGATAGCTCCCTAACGGACTCTTTAGGTGGTTTACGGCCTTGATTAATGTCGCCTTAGTTGTTAATGACTTTTCTGTAGAACACAGACTGGGGTAGCTCCTGAAGGTAAACGTCATACTCAACTTCTTCTTTCTTCACGTTAATGTTCATCACTTAGCAGTAGAAATTGGGAATGTTGTCTCTTGAGATCGAAATCGTTTTAAGCTGCTAACAACGTGGCACGCCGAAAATACCCTGACAAAGGAAAAGACATGATATTAGGGCAGAATGTGTATCATTGACGCAGAGTAGGGTTGGGATGCTGCTGATGTGGCCGGCGGCTATGCTGTTCAGCGGAAGTACAATCGCGAAGACTTAGTTACCCATAGAGGCAAAACGCGGCGTTAAACAATCAAAATGCTGAAAAAAAAACACCTTAAAAGTGTCACTTTCTGGTGAATCGGTATAACTGATATCTCCTTCTCGGTAGACTTATAAAGGTTTATCAGAAACACCATAACGGAATTTTTTAACTTCATTTAAGCCAAAACCTATAAAAAATCGAGACCGCGGAAGGTTGGTGCCAATTTGATTTGAGAGATTGTTCAAAGAATTTAGTCAGTGATGCAGGAAGACATTTGAGATCAATTCATTGGCTGTTGTGGTATATGTGTCCCAACATAAAGCATTTTCATTCCTTTTTAAAAAAACTCGTCTTCTATTTAAACCTATCGAGTTGAGAGGTTCCCTTTGCTCAGCCCAAAACCAAATAATGTTTTGAGGCGTGGTGTTTCAGCTGCGAACCTGATCGGTATCCCTCATTTGCATAAGGGAGATCTACTCAGAGCCTCCAATCCCAACATCTTTTTGTGTTCCAGTTCTGGTCTCTCTCAGTGTGCCCTGAGAATACATAGATGCTATCGCCTCGTATAAATGGTCATTCGGAACAGAGGCGAGAAAAGTAGGTGCAGTTATTAGCGCTGTCTATCCGGTCGGCCGCAAACCACTGCTACCGTTAATGCACACTACTGCATGGGGAAATCAGATAACTCAAGGCAGGGTAATGGTGAAGCATTAACCGAACAAATAGACCGCTGTTCGTGGAGAGTAGCATGGTTTTGTTCGGTAGGTATTCAGGTACGTACGTATGTGAACCGCATAGGTGTGATTTTATCTGCGTGATGGAAAGGGGGGATTCCTGTCACCTCATACACCACTCTCTTTCCCCTCACCCTCTCAATATTGTCATCTCAAGAGGGTGGAAGCGGGCAGTACCAGAGCACGTGGGAGTATTGCGCATCTGGTTGTGGTCGAAAAATGTGCTAATGACAGGTTGATTGGTTTGTCTATTTACACTTCGATTCATAGCTTATTTTTATTCTCTTGTATAGTTATTTGTAGGAATGCAACCATAAGGGAAGTTGTTTGAACCTCACGATTCTTCTATCTGCTTAACTAAGTGAAACCAGTGGGATCCCTGCATGAGTATGAATCTGCTGTAAGTGGTAATGGACTCACATGCAGCAAATTATTCACCCAGAAACTTACTCGATCACAAAGAACCTCTTTTATTTAGTCCATAGGCTTTAGCTAATCAAGGAAAAATTGTGTTGCTGTCAGCTTGATTTAACTGCTTGATTGTAATACTTTGAATGATGGTTTAACTCCGCGTTTTTGAATCAGTGGGCACTTAAGACCCCGAGATTGGTCTTCCCCTAGGCTGTATGGCATGCCATCCCTTCTGTAAGTCGGCAATACATATTCTACTCTTGCACTATGTCTTCTCTCCTCCTCGGGGAAGTCTGTACCGCTATATTAGTGGTAGCGATCCCAAAGGATAAATTCCCTGACTTCTATTATTGAATGATAAGCCTTGAAGTGCTGGAAGAAGGACATATGATGCAAATGGGAGAATCTACAAAGCCCCAAACAGAATGATTAAAATGACGTTTACCTTCGACAACTATCCCAGTTCCAGGGTCTCCTGGAATGCTATTAACAACTGGAGCGACACTAGCCGTGAATTCATCCAAAAAGGGTTCTTTGCGAAGCTGTTTACAGTACCTAAATGAAGATGTCAATTAGGTGGACAAGCAGCACCTCCATTTCTCTATTGGCTGGATAGAACCCAAATAGGTAGATTTGGGTGAGTAGGACAGGCAAGGCGAAACAGACGCGAAACCTTATTTGTACGAATCTATTTTAGACCCTTTCTTTTATTTTAAATGACTCTAAATTTGAGATAATGCTCTCATGGCTAGCAATGGTCTGCACACTCCTCTTGTCTCAATGTAATTTGCAAATAGGGCAAAACCCCAGATTCAGTAGAACTTGCCAAGGGAGATCAGTGAAAATGTGGTCAGATATCGTCCCAATTGCACGCAAAAAGGGTGCCTGGCGCAGTAGGTTCGTGGATGTTTCGTCTTGCTACACCGACCACGTTGTTAGGGCTGACGTGGGAGACTGACCAAGGAGGGTACCAAGGACGTTACCCAAAAGGAGAGGAAGGGTATGTAATGCTTTGATTGTTTATTTAACTCCTGTTTCGGTTACGCGGGTACTAAGGAGCGGCTCGGCTACTGTACTTTTGCCCTTCGGCCTAATCTTTTGTCCATGCAAGAAGTATTGCAGCCCTTCTGCATGTCACCAGAAATAATCTACTGCTCATAAGCAGGAGCGATAAGTTTCTGCTCTGTCTCATCAACCTTGACTTAAGGCATAATTGAATGCTAAAGTCACTTTCCACACTAGCAGGAATGGATAACTCCCGTCCAGCTTCTTTACAAACTGGTATTGATAATCTGCTTTTGTAAAGCACTCAACTGTAGAAGGGCATGCTTTATAAATCGTACACTCATTTTTCTCTCTGACAAGAATTATCCTGCCTCATAATGGATATCCGCTAGCAAAAAGTCGTAAAGTAGCCCAAATGAACCCCTGTCCGTGTGTTTTGGGGTTAATTTTTCTTCATCCGACAAATGCAAACATACGTGTGTCAGTTAAAGCACGATAATGCAGCCATGGCTACTGTTTGCTGGTGCGTGAAGAGAGGATGGTGAGGTGTATGCGTCGTCTTTGGTGTGTTTTTCCCCATCTAACCGTACCTCAATGCCAGCCAACCTGCCCGTGTGTGCGTGTGCAGGTATATGAAGCCGCAAAATGTGGTGTACCAAAAAGTGCCACCAGGAGAGGAACAAAAAACGACCCGGGTGGAAGCGAAAACAATGAATTTGCTGTAGAGCGTGAAGAAGATACAAACACGTGATGAAAGATGATTTTACCCTTTTTTTTCCCTGTACTTTTTGAGCATAGGAGTCAAAATATTTTACCAGGTCAAATACAAAGTAAGAGGAGATGATGGCACTTTGACGCCTGGGTTCTAACTCCAAGTCAGGCGCTAAGATCAGCTAAAGTGGTCTAAATTGCCTTTAAAACATTCTTTGACAAAAACTGCTTGCTAGAATACACTCTTAAAGCTGATGGTTGTCAACCCTGTCCTCTTGAACCGCCGATGTCTTTTGTTCGGTCAATTGGGCCTCCCCGCTAGGAAGAGCAAGTTTAGGAACCTTTGTCCGAGATTTCCCTAAAGACGAAAGAAGACATAATAACCGAGCAAGGTATGCATTGATGATGCACGGAAGAGCTTAAAGGGTGCTGGGATGGCCTGTAGGTCAGTCTACCTGGTGGATGCACGCTGACGGAGCCCAAAATGGCTCATAACCAAAATCTGAAATTTAAACAAACAACTGAAGCATTACAACCCGCTCCTCAACTTAGCCATTTGACGTACACCTACCTCACTCCTTTTAATAGTAAAGGTTAATTTTGGTAAAGTTTCAACAGCTTATTGTTATGCCCTTTCTTGTCTACATCGTTAAAATTCTTCACAAGGAAAGACTGAGCCTCGACTAAGTTGCATTTAATCTTTCTCCAGTCTTATTTTACTTCTAATTTCACTAAGTAAATTGGAAATCTTCTACCTTTAATGATTTTTTCACTGGTAGCTGATTTTGGACTAGGCGTGTTCGCTGTCGAAGTCTCCAAGACCTCTAGATGACCTTGCTTCACCCATTATAGGGTACAATTGAAATATCGAGTCCTAGAGTGACATAATCTCAGTTAAAAAGAAGACTTTTGTTGCATTAAGGTTGAGCGTGTAAGGTAAGAACTCTGAAAACGAGACTAGTTTACCATCTTCTCTTGAAATGAAAGGAAAATTTTATAGGTGGAAGAGCACTTTACCCCTTTGGTGTATCACGAGGACGTCAACAATTGCTCCAACTGGAAAAACAATGGATAAGTTGAGAGAATGAGGTCTTTAGTCCACGTTGCAATGAAAGTTAGGTTTCCCATTACTTATAATAAAAATTTACATATTCCATCAAATATTTAGGTCAACTTTGTCAATGGCTTGCTATCGCCTGTCTACTACTCTTATTTTATTTAGCAAATGACATTCACTAATCATTTCAATGATTGTGTAGCACCCTGCAGCATTCCTGACGGACAAAAATTATAATGCCAGAGTGGAATGCGTATTATGGCCTGAAAGTAATGCCGCTTATCAAAAGTACAATTGCGGAGCCTTAGGTGCCCGTAAAACTAAAACTAATAGTCTGGCTAAATAATCAAAACATTTCATAGTCCCTCCCTTCTTTTGAGTGTCCTCCTCGGCGTTCCCCTTGGTCAACATCCAGCGTAAGCCATCGAAACGTAGTGGAGATAGTGGCATAAGAATAACACCCTACCACCAGCCGCGCCAGTCATCGAATTTGCATGCAACTGAGAAGACATCCGACATCATCGTTACTGGTCTCGCTTGGCAATGCTACTAGATCTGAAGTTTCGTCCGGTTTGGGAATCATATTGGAAGACAGGCGAGTTGCCGTCTGTCATGTTTGCCCATCAGTGATTGCAAAAACAGTAGCCCAAAAGCAGAATCATTTAATGAAGGATGGTAGCTAGAATGCTTTCATGGAAAAAATTTCAAGTTTGTTTCTCCTTTCTGCTTTGTTTCCGCTTCAATGCTGCCCATCCATACCTACCTATCTGGGTTCCATCCATCTAGTAGAGATACAGAAGAGAAGGAGGAGGTATTGCGTGTTCACTTACTTGGTATCTTCATGCAAGTACTGCAGACAGCTTTGTAGCAAAGTCTTCTGGGTCGTTTACGGTTATTGGCGCTTTTGTTGCTAATAGAGTTCCTCCAGAACACGGGACTGGGACGGTGGCTGAAGTTGGACGTCATTTCCAACCCTTCTTCCATCACATTAAAGTTAGGCATTTACCATTTAAAATCAGGATAGCTGTTTGTTAGGATGGGATTTGCTTTTGGCTGCCCCTATTGTAGAGTCGTAAGACGAAAAAAGACATAATACTAGGGTAGGATATGTATTATTGACGGAGAGAAGGACTATGAGCTACTGGCATGGCGCAGAGGCCATGCCGCCCAGCAAAATACGGAGGCGGTCCTTGTCACATTGTCATATTTGAGTTGGTAGTACTAGTTTCGAGCAACTTTCACTTTGGTTTCTAGTCCTTCGTAATTACGCCTGTTTTTGAAATTTTCAGTTGATAGACAAGACCAAGAAATTTGCTGGATGTTTTAGCTGGGACTTCAGTTAGGAATTCTTGATTGGAAATAATTCGCCTATTTATAACTATTATACCAAAGAAAGATCTTTAAATTGTAAAATGAGGTACATTCAAAGGGAAAACCGTTGAATACCTCGAAAATTTTCAGCAGTGAATTCAGGCGACTGCAGACTTCGTTTGACCGCGGAGTTCCTACTGCGGGTAATAATGGGGTACTCAAGTCAGAAGGATGATTGGCAATCGACGTATGGCAGGGCTGAGGGACCACTGACACAAGCGACATGAACAGGATGGCATGACATCAGCTCTGGCACCTGAGGTGACCCTTCTGCTACGACCATCACACGGTAGTTAAAGGCTTTTAAATTGACCTCGTGATTGGAACGCAGGTCATGGAGAGATTTCCCTTTAGTACGAAATGACCTTTGATTCTGAAGGTTCTTCTCCATCCAACCGGCAATGCTTCCTTGTAAACTGTAAGCTAAAAGTTTAATTTACTTCTATCACTTAGGGTTAGTTAATATTCTGCCGCAGGTGCCTTTTTGAGGTCTTTCCATTTAGACGTTCTTGCCATCATTCTGTATTTTTGCTGCCATCCACCAGACCATTTGCCGTATTTTATTGCTCCTTGGAAATAAAAAAGGTACAAATTTTTCTGTTGATGCATCAAGTCTAACATAATCATGAAAAATTTTAATGAAGCTCAGCTATACACGTTTATATTTCGCTTAAATTTCTCCTCGCAACCATGGTGGCTATTACTTAGAATCCAGACTCATGATAGTTACCAAAAGTTGTCTCAACTTTGGCAGTTTTCTATTCTGTCCCGATAACTTCCAAAGAAGTAAAATCAAACATCTCAAAGGGCTCAACTTCAAGCCGTAGTGTGAGATTAAGATTAATTGTTTGATTGAGATCTGTAGAGAGTAAAAGAAGCGCATATCCAAACTGTTCGAGTCAGGTCTATGGGCTAAACTATGCTTTAGTGCATCTGCCAGTCGTGTGTAAACAAGGCGACAGCATGGAAACGGTGAATGCTCAATGATTTATACTTCTTCCACATCCACTGCCTATTAATCTACCTTATTGACAATCAAACTATCGGGATTTTAATTCAGGTGACAAAAAAGTGAAAAGTACCATGGCTCTGAAACCTCAGGAAAAGTCTTAAGGTGCCACGAGGTGCTTGATTAGCAAGGACCAATTAATTAACCAACACCACGGCAATTGTGGACGGTTCTGCGATGCGGTGAGCCAATATGGTTACATTGGCTGCGTTTTGAGGCGTAGCAGAAGAGCCCACCACCAACAATGCTAACCACTGAAGCCACATTTTTTGCTCTCTCTTTCACACTGTAACGAAAGACAATGCCTGTGCAGTCATGGATAGCGCTCTATGGGGTTTATATTTTGTGGCAAGAACGCAGCCAATACACTGCCTCCTCGACTGAGTGGCAGTGGACTAGCTGCCCCATCCAGACAGAGGAGCGGTACATTTTTGAAGACATCGGTGAGGCAAATTCCCTACTTTTGCCTCAAATACCGTAACTTATTCCAGGGATCAAAACTTGTGCTGATATGTGCAGTTATTCTCTTACAACGAACAATCTACAAATAAACTGAATCAATCTATTTGAGACACGATTTTGTGCATTCGGATATCATCAAGGGCCAATTTTATATTCACTTTTCTTTGTCAATCAGTTCTTCATTCAACTTTTCAGGCTGTCCAGTTTAAAACACTAATTTTTAACATTAAAATAGAATAAATTAAAAGCGTATCTTCCAGTGGAGGCAACAATGCCTAAAGCCCATACCATCATCTTTACCAGGGCTACAGAAGCAAAAAAGTGCTCACACTGAAGCCAAATTCTCGTCTTGTTGTTGGGCCTTTTTTTCCCAAATTTTATTTCTAGATATCAGTTTAGTCTAATTCACTGACCTTGTGCTTGAACACTCGCACGTAGCTACAAAAGCGCTCCAGTGCTAATGGTTAGAGGCTTACAGAATTCCCACTTCAGTTGTTGCGTTGGGCGGTTATCCCAGTTGCTTTGCGGGACGTAAAGCCATATTTCGAGGACTCGGGTGTGTGCGCGTGTGTATTTGCACAGCACTTTTTGGAATTCAGTGCCAAAAAACCTCGAATAGAAATGCGCGACAGCTGTTACAGCTTCACGGCAAATTCTCAACGCTATTAAGGTGAAAGAGAGCTACCAAGGGTTATAACTCCCCATCTAGACACTCAGTCCTCCATCGATTGGAGGCGTTTGAATATATCAATGTTGCATTATAGTTTACATAAGACTAAGTCTCGAGAGCGAGGTTTTTTGCATTCCCCATTGCAATGTTATAGTAAAACACCGATAGGATATGTTGCGACAATACTTGCTCAGACAGTTTATTGAAGGAGATTAATCGACTGTATTTTAAAAATCATGGAAATGATACTTATAGCAATCTTCTTACTTTCCACTCTCCATTTTTCCCCTACGTGAGTCCGCTTGACCCCCAGACCTGTTAATCGAAAGGTCGTCCTCCATGCGTGGGAAAGGCGGCCTGCACGCGAGTCCACCCACATACGTATACGCATCCGATCGGGTAGAAATTGCGTGTTGAGGAGAAATGAGGTGGACATGGAAAGTAGCATGTGCCGACCATCTAGGTGAGTCTCTAGCTCCCCCACCTTCCATTCGATTCCATCTCATTTCACTGCGTCGCGCCTGATTTCAATCTTCCCCCTAGAGAGGTGATTGTCGCCATAGCAACAGAGGAAGGGACCATTTTAATTTAGCTCACTTTTGTCCCTCGGGGTTGGAATTATGGGTGAGGCGAGGCGAGGCCTAGGATCATCATAATACTACTGTCGTCGTGGGAAATGTTTAGCATTCTCGGCAGATGTTATCAGTTTAATGGGCTTTCCGCCCGTCTTATTCAGTGGTAGTTTCACCTACCATGGAACCAAAGGACGGTGGTAGTATCCCACTGTGCTGTGCAATAATGAACAGGTTTTTAATGAGATCGTGAAAAAAGCTAGTTTTGGCGATTAACACAAACGTTATGAGGTGAAGCGGATCAAAGAGAAGAAAGAGGCATGGGCCGTTCATGGAAGACATCAGATTCCTCAAATATTTCTCCATTTTAAGACCAGGTAGAGTGATCACAGCATTCATTCGATTGATATCTTTTGGGTGTTCTGCCTTTGGAGGTAGTTTCATTTTTAGTACCCTAATTATTTCTGACGACAGTGCCGGTTTGCGCGCCAGAAAGTAGCTCCCTCGTAAACGTACAGAAGGTGTGGGCGACCGGTAGCATATATGCCATGAATCAAGCTGAATGCCACCAACATGGAGATTATATAGCGGAGGGAAGTAAAGACCGCAAACAATCATGATTAAAATGAAAACCATTGCAGTATGACACTGTGTGCATAGGTAGTATGCCAGTGTACCATCAGGTTGGAGACAAAGTTTCCTGAGATCTTACTCATCCCGCGGACTCACTGAGCGGCTGGTTGCTGGGGCCTTTTTAGCACCTGTTAACGTCCTGACACCACCGTGATGGAGCAGTTGAGTCCCCCAGGGGGGATGAAGGGATGAGGAGGGCTCCCCGTGGGAAGCACAATTCTGGCGGACACTAATGCGATTAACTTCTACCCTCACTCAAGGCGCCATAGATCAAGTAGGCTTGCGTGTGTGGTGGTTTTTTACACCAAATCTCTTATCCTGGCCCGAGAAAAACTGCATGTCGGCCCTGAGTGGCGGACATTTTGGTGTGCCTACGCGACGACGTGACGATAGGTGCAAGGACGACCTTTACCTCGGCTTCTATTTAGCGCTCACAATCCACACAGCCTCTGTCTTGGGGGTTAATTAATGCAAAGGTTACAGGAGTGGAAGGGAGGAGGAGGGCAGTCTGTGTATTTGTGCGCCTGTGACATTTGGATGACGCTCTTCCGATGACTGTTTTTGGTCCGTGCACGCCTCTAAGTAGGCTGCTGAACCACAGTCGAAAGTTATGCAAAATGTCAACGCTGTGAGGTGTGTGCGGGCGCATTAGCGGCAAGAAATTAATACTCGGTGACAACTTCCCACACTCTATTGTTACAGCTTGTCCTGCTTTCGTACTGAAGTGACATTTTTACTTTAGCTAGATGAAAGTTAGGCCTATTGAAGAAGTTCACTTCATCCAGTGACTCAAGACTCAGTACTTCTGTCGTTTAGTATACTCGCCTTGAACGCATAAATGTCAGTGGTGTATTGGCTACTCCCCTCTTCGTCTTCGGTCTTTTGCAAATCCACTAAGAGACTGTCAAATGTCGTTTTGACGGTGTCATGGATCATGTTGTCACATTACCGCGCATTCGAAGTCCATGCACACACATATCCACGCACACAGCGTGATGACAGTATATCTGCCTGATCCGCACGTTAAGTGGCCACATGTGCCTCTTGTCACCAACAGCACGTCTATCAGAATGGCCGGGGTCCACATGGGGAATGGTGAGGGACGATAGAGAGGGGGAGAGTGGAGGGGAGGTGATACTGGACACGTCCACTTAGTGATTTTGTCCTCATCTCATTCACGGTTTATACACAGTTGTCAAACCCTTCGAGTGTGGCCTCTGACACCTTTACACTTACTTGACGAATAGTATTATAATTCCTTCATGCATTTAGAAAATTTGGACAGAAAATTTCAAAGACCGTACTATGCTTATAACTGGCCTTAAGAAGTGATTTTACAGAATACAGCGAAACGTGTGCGTTGAGAATGCGGCATTCTCACTTTACTATCCCTTGTAGTCGCCAGAATGCGTGAGCCACAATAATTATCACTTTGAGAGTAGCCTCTGCACATGGCCACATTGGCGTGCATTCATATCAGGTTTAAGTGGAGGCGGTCCTCATGAGAGGTTTTCAAAGCAATCACATCACCTGTAACAACGGCTCCCTCTCCTTCGCTATTTTTCCCCCGCACTCACTCCTCATCCCTCCTCTCAAGAGTGGCTATAAAAAGCTCTGGGTTAGTGGTCCTTGATGGGCATTTGTTTGTTTAGCCGTTGCAACTGCTGCTTTGTATATGAACTGCCATTTGAGAAGGTAGTCGCACTACATTTCCCTCCTCCCTCCCCCCACCCGTCTCTCTGAACTCCGGTAATCCTACTCTCTCCCTGTGCCTGCCTGCCCGATAATGGCCGAGGAAGGCAACTGTCAGTAGGGCGGGATTTTGCTGCGTAATATGCACCACATATAAACCCATCCACCTCTACACACACCCACCCACATATACATGGGATTATTCGCCCACCCTTGGCCATTACAATGCGCAAACCGTAATGGAAGGGCCGGATTCCATCGAGCTGCGTGGTCGCCATCCCCATCAGCCAGCGGCCAGCTGGATAGGCAAATTTCAGTGTATACACAACTACAATTGACATGCGTTTTTATGGACTGCTGTTGGCGTGCCGTGACTCCATTTGCTGTGTACTCCATTGCCCCTTTCCTTCAGCCGCACAACTCATGAGAATAGGAACAGGTGGAGGCCCGAAGGAGCAATTTTCTGTGCTCTAAGATTTTGTGCCATCTGTAAAGAACATTGGAATATTTATATTCACAAATCGAAACCAGTGGATAATCAGGGAAGAGAGTGTTCACTACTTTAGTAGCGATTTAGCGCTCACCTTGTTCGTTAATTCTGTGATAAATCAGATAGCGCCTTCATCCATTTTTGATATTAGCGAGAACAAAAAACCTAATTCAGAGAATGTTAAATTGTCTTCCCTTGCCCTTGTCCTTGCAAACGTTGTCGAAAAGGCGAGCCACATTAACAAACATGGAAATTTGCTCCGTGAAAGAAGCGTAGAACTTCAAAGAGGGAGAGGGAGAGAAAGACACTTTTGTTTCTAGAGAATTAATAACCGACCTTTTTAGTTAATAAGGCACCCGGTTATGTATGATAAATGCAACTTTATTCCAGAAATCCTACAAATGTTGATTATTTTTTTCCTCGCAATTTGAACAGCATCATCACCTTAAAAATACGATATCCACCGTAAATGGCAAATGTCTAGCCCAGGAGATAACTTTTTCCCTAGTTTATAGAAATCTGATATTTACGGAATTTTAAGGAGGTACCTTAAAATTTAGTTCGCCGCTACTACCAAAATGGGCTAAATTTTGCCGCAAACAAAGAAATTCGTGAGAACTCCTGCCTTGGGGACAAGAGGCGTAAGTAATATACTACTGGTAATGTTTCAGCGTCTACCAAAAACGGTGTTGCCTACCAAGTTTTCCAGATTAAAACATTGTTGTAAAGCGCGAGACCCGAATTAAAAATGCAAAATAATCAACACAACAAGGCTGGCAACCCTCTTTGACTCTACTTTTACTCGCCTATCAACCACTTGAAGTCCTCGAGATCAATCACGTACGACGTGTTAGTGGTGGTGGTGCGTGTCAACTCGCTCAGGTGTCAGCAACTTAACATTGCTCTTCACCCTTAATTAAACTTTTAATTTGGGTTTTGAGAGCACGCAAGGCTCCGTCTTTGTACTTCCTCTGGGCGGCGTGGCCTCCAGACTATGCCAGCAGCACCCCAGCCCTTCTGCTCTAGTATTATGAGTTCCTTCGACTATAGGGAAGACCGGGGACGCAACACCGGCAACTTGTGAAAACTGTAAGCATTGATGGCTATTAATTGAGGGCTGTTGACTCAATTAAAAAAAGGAGTAAATAGTCAGTAAAATCACCAGAAGCTATTTTGTAGGTTATCAGACAAGTGAATAAAATCATGCCTCGCCCGTTTAGATATATTTTATCAGGTGCAGCCTTGACTGCCCGTGTATATGGCCTTAATCAGGGCATTTTAGGCACTCGTATTTGGGTTAACTGCACTCCCTTTATGTGCTTCACGTTCTCTCCCCCCTCCCCCCTACTACCATCACTTTATCCAAAAGTGAACCAATTTCTCACATTAATCAAAACAGGCGCATGGTTTTCCCATTTGCTCATCCCCACACCCAAGCCTGCGTGCCACCTCGATCAACCACAGTAGTTAAATTGAGGTCTTGTTGAGAGACACCCCTTCACTCTCTTCCGTTCCCTCCCATGTTCAGATATCTCAGGCCTCGGAACCCACGTGGGCTTGGAAGTTAATATCCCGCGTTCCCAAAGCAGAGGACGTTAATTGGCGTTGATATGATCGGTGGTCACGAGTGGACACACTTCCGGGAGCTGGGCTTACCAGCGTAATGCGAAGGGGAAGAGAGGTGGGGTGGGAGATTAGGGGACAAGGGTTCGGGGGAACGAAGGAATGCTCGGACGGACGCACGCATGCGACACACGAACAGCTGCGGCCTCGGCACTAAGAAGGGAGGTGTTAGGTGGGGGAGGAAGAACTCAGTTGTACAGGCTGGGTGAGAGAGGTGTAAATTAACAAATTTATCCCCTACCCTCCGGAACGACAGCTGCTACGCCACCGAGCTCCTGTTGAGAGACGTACTTTTTTGGGAAGAGGTGTATTTAGTTATACCAAATTGTTTACCACGAACCTCTCCTTAAGTCATTAATCCTCGCCTTCTGCTGTGATTAACGTCCACTTCAAAGCCAATCTGGTCAGACGAAATACCGAATTAGGAAAATTAATCAAACCGGTGACTAAGGGATATCAAGCTGTCTTTGTCATTCGCTAAAAACGTCAGTCGGATTTTGACCTGTAAGTAGTTTTAAATAACCACTCCGCTTGGTTGACTTTTCTTGTTTCCCCAACAAAGTACCAACGAAGCAGCCGACACGAGCTTTGGCCATAACGTGCCTATCTCAGAATTGGTAGAATTTGCTTCGACCTTTAAGTTGGTGGCTAATGACTACCTATGCCTAGTTAATGCTACCAGCCCCTTGATTTCTCTCTAGGGTTTGACACAGCCATTTCCACATTCTTATTTTCTGCCACTTAGTTTTGACAATAATTATTCAGAAATTCACCAACTAAATGTCTGATGACAAAGCTACGGTGGATGGAAGTGGACCCACATGAGAAACGATTAGTTGAAAACCACTCTGACCATCAAAAATGAGCCAGTTTCGAGAGACTGTCACATACACACATCCGCACAAACGTGAAATTTCTCCTGTTCCACGTGGCTGTTGGTGGTCCGGGACCCTGTGAAACCTGTACACACACACAATGAATTCACAATACCACCATTCCATGGCGACCTGTGGCTCAGGCCGACCCGGCTTGGCTCGACTGCGTGTCTGAGTAGATGGAAGTGTGTGTGTGAGAGTGTATGAATGCGTGAATGAATGGATGAATGTGGTGGGTCGCGTTTCAAGAGCAGGCACTAGCAAGCACGATCGAATTACCGTAGCAGTGGATTGGCGACTTTGGTTTTTGAGGACCACACATAGCACTGGAGCCTTGTCCTGTCTCCACTATTATACTTATCAAACTAATCTTCTAAAATGGGCACTCAGTACTTCAGGGCTTGAACTCCTCCACTCTCATCAAATACAGTTTTCTATAATAAAGCAGTTATAAGGTGGAGCATTACTTCCCCCACCGATGATTAAAGCAACTATCTTGATTTCAATGTAAATGAAATGCCGAATGGAGATTTCTATATGGTTATAATTCGGATACCATTCCTTCTTGTTTCATAAAAATAATAAAAGGATATGCTTGATGTGCAGGTACTTTTTCGTGTTCTTGCTTGGATCTCTATCTCTGATTTTAAATAAATAAATTTAAACAAATGAATTGCATCCACTGGAGCCACTGAGCTTGACCCTACAGGAAACAGGTTTTCCAAGTGTCTGAAATAGGAGACAAGTAACGAATGATGAAGGAGAGGATTAAGCAAGCTCGAAGAAGCAGTTATTGGGCGAGCTGCATTTAAATCCTTTTTCAAAACCTTATGAAAGTCGTTTTGGGATAAAAAGTTTATGTGAACATGTTCAACTACTTATTTAAGGCTAGTAACGGCGTCTAGGAATGGAGCTAAGTCGAATTCCCGATCTGGGGCGTTCTTGACCCGATCATATTGATAAGGGATTATCGGTTTTTGGGGTGACGTTCGCTTTTATTATACAATTTATTTATTTATTCTTGTTAATGTTCAAAGTTCGCATCAATAATGCTGGTTGAATCAGAGGGTGGGTAGGATTGTCACTTGCTTGGTTGATGGGTTGGCAATACATTTGATGAGTACTATGTAGCGGATTAAGTTCAATTAAGACAAATCCCTTATCATTGACAACAGATTAGGAAAACATGTTGGTCTTTCTTTAAAAATACTTAGTGAGTTCTTCAGGATGCTGATAACAAATAATTGTTAACTATCCTGTTTTTAGTAAAATTACGAAAGAACTTATTTTTCGAGTAACACATAATGCATAAGTGCTTATTGAACAATCTTAGCTATTGTAGGGCATGTGAAATTAGACAAGCTCATTCAGGGTTCAGTATTCATGGGACACTGTTTCAAACGTACAGGGTTTGCGATGGGCACTCATGTAAATTTATGTGCATGCAGGCTTCCTGCCACAAAACGCTGGGAGATTTCCCAAGAAAAATTTTAATTTATAAGTAGGGATAGCCCTTCTCTTGAGGATTAGCGATTGTGTACTCTTCCCTCCTCCTTAGCCCAACTGTTTGCCCAAGCTATTTACACAGGCGTCACGGGCCTTCTGCCGCACAATAACCTGCGAGGCCCCTCACTCAAACACACATAGGGAGACCATATGGCACTAACTTTAATGGCAACCACCTCCACCATCACCAACACCGCTGATGCTTCTAGTAGTGTCGGGGAGGGAAAAATTGAGGAGGGTTAACAAGCGGCCTACGTCTTCACCCTCCCACAAGGTTGGTGTGGCGTCAGGGGAGAGGGCCGATTTTCAACAGACATATGTCCACTAAATACGAAAGGCGGTTAAGTAAGCCTGTCTCCCCTAGAATCTCCCATCTGTAAAGTTATGAGCAGACGAAAGGGACAATTCAACAAAGAGCTCTGTGCAGGCATCGATTTAGACAGATTGCTCTATTTCCGTTAACATAGACTCCATAGTCTGCCTTCAAGTATACATTCAGAACTTGAAGGCAACACGAAATATTGTGGATAGCGTTCGGATCTTCTTTGAGTAATCCGAAATAGACAGATGAAATCTTATCCTCACTTTTTGGAAGGCTTGTGTAAAAGGGTGAGTTAAATCGCATAAATCTAATCTTCCTCCCTATATCATCTGACGAAAGTAGACACGAGTATATGAGTCGAGAAATGGAAAGCAGTGAGAAATATGCCTGTAAAATAGGCCGCATAATCTCATAAAGACGTTTTAAGTATCTCATTGATCTTGAATGCAACCATGTGTTAGTTAAACCCGCATTTTTAGATTTACAGAATTTCAGATTTATGGGTAACGCACAGTTAATACAGTGGTTCAAAAGAAATTTAATAACGTTTTTTGAAACCAATTTAGACCATTTAACAACTCCGTTGTATCACTTTGTCTCGCTTTCTCAGGCGAGTGTGTTATATAGCAGGTGTGGTAAGAAATATAAGGTAAAATATTTTCAACATTGTCTTAGATATAACTTGACAAGCCAAATTTATGCTAGCTTTCAATAACTTATTGAAACTCTCTCGTTGACGGCCATCGATACTAACAGTAAATGCATCATTTTATAGAGCAAATTAGATTACTAATATCTAAACTCGGGGCCAAAAACCACATGAGAAAAATTGAGAGTTTATTTAAATCTAAAGCAGAGGAAAAAGAATATTAGTACCATCAAGTAAGTCTAATCCCCTTAGAATTGGAGAATGTACGCACTCCTACTAGTTTGGGAATAGACACCCACAAGCCAATTAGTTAGGAGATAAAAGTGGCTGATAGGCACCAGCAAATCCTTTGTCTTCAATACCAGTTCTCCTGACAAGAAGCTGTTTGTGGGTGTCAGCTCTACTCCTACTAGTTCAAAGCCGTAGTCATCCCAAATAGGAAGTAATCTGGAATTGGCCTTTATTTTTGTCAAATAAATCATCCCTCCACTATCACTATAAGCATTTATAGTGGTCACTTTTACTTAGCGGAGATCTTGATCCACTGCGTACTTATTCAACGTCAATGTTGGACTTCAGTGGTGTGGAAATTCAAGAGTAAAATAGTCTGCTGTTAGTCGCGCAAGCCAACCCCCAAGTAAAAGTTTTACTAAACTTCCTCCAAAGTCCACAATATATGCCAGAAAGATCACCTCTGTGCTACGTGCACCGGTATAAAAAACCACAAGATACCTCTCCGTGGTAGAAGTAACTTAATCCCCAGCGCTTAGAAGGGGGGTGGAGCAGAAAGTAAGGTCTGGCGTCTGTTTACTCCTGAGGCTGCCATGCTTTGTCCAGTGGTTGGTGGGGGTGGGGTGGGGAGCCAAATGGAGAAAGATGTCGAGGTAAAAAGCGACTATTACGACTAATAGGCGTGGGAAAATTTCCTTTCTTTCAGTCACTCCTTTCTGCTTTGCCTTCTTTTCCTCTTCCCATCCCCTTTCCTGCGCCACTGCATTTTGGCTTAACCGATTCCTCCCAGTGACATTTCTTCTGGCTCCAGTTCATGTCAAAAGTAATTTATCAAATGGAAATTGGAGGCACCGTATAACCCATCTTGTCTACCCTACTCGAGGTGGATATAATTTTGAATTTCATTAAACCATTCCCATTTCGTCGCTGAAAAGCTACCCAGACCATATAACCCCAACACGCATAATGGAGGACGTAAATTATTCAGAATGCCTTGTCACACGCACACGCACTGTCGTACATTGGCGCATACATGGATTGCACGAAATTCCACGATTTTATCGCGGGTAAAATGTGTGTGTGCCGTTTGGACAACACAAAATGAAAATTTTGAATAATTCAGCTTCGGCGAACAGGAGCTAGCTGATTTCCTCAAACGAGTCACGCAATTGCATCAGATACTAGTTGGCCAAATATTTGATTCCTGCCTTAGATTGTTTGGTCAATTGTTCAACTTTTCCTCCATAAATCTAGAATTTTGTGACACTTGTAAGCAGTGCTCAGAACCATTTTGGCACATTAACAAGCAGTGACTTCAACTTCAAGAGGGGATGAGAGCAAAAGTTCAGCAGACTATGCTAATGGACACATTTTTCTGTATTAAAATGTGTCTCCTGTAACTTAGCTACTATGACAATGGTGCTAGTCGCTTGGCCCTAAGTTTGGCCCCAATAACTGTACTTGAAAAACCATACACCTTGGCGTAACCAGAGCGATCCAACTAGTCCTCTGTCTTGGTGTCCGCCCTAAAGAAAATCCTCAAGCTACTGGGCAGTTCAGAATTCCGGTATTGAAAGGGGACTATATTTTGCCCAGGAGGAGGATTAGACACCACGACGTGAGTCATCAAGTGACGCGGACGTCTCAACAATGGGAGGGTATGGATAGGTGGCAACAATGGTATCCCATCCATTCCGCTCAAACCAAATGAATACTGCATGACTTTCTCAGCCCAATGTGGTGGTGACCTTGTTTACTCTAAAAGCCGCAGCAATGGCGTCTAAATTAAAGCACTTTTCTGTGTGAAATCCACACACGCACAGTTTTGAATCACTTTAATATGAGGTGGCCACTGAATGAAGACTAGGGGTGATGGAGGCTGGGGTCTAGTCTCAATGTGTGTGCGTGTGTAAGTCCATTGCATTATTAACTACGAAACAATGTAGCGACATACAAAGGGACGAGAAAGAGAAATGGAGTATGTGGATGTAGTCACGCCACCTCTGCTGCCCCATTCCCTCTTTTTGAGTCCTGTAGAGTGCCATTTAGCTCTTTTTCAAACCACTCCTGAGGATGGCACACCGCTAAGCTGCCGGCTCCCGGTGGTGAAAGTCATCATCATTCCACTTCCTAGTAGCCACTTTGATTGTTTTATATTACAAGAATACCCTATACAAGTTCCACTTTCCTCCCAAAATGGACTTTCTTTAACCTCTCGCCTCGAATTAAACACTGATTTCGAATCAGCCTAAATGGTGAGGCTTTCCTAAGAGTTATTACATGAATCGGCTATGATAGACAGTATTCTGTGCAAATTTGTCATCCAGATCTCTTTTAATGTTAGCCGTTAGTATAATTATATTTTTTCGTACTTATTTTTGGTGTCTATAGGCCGGTGGGAAGCAAGATGGGCTAAAATTGTCCTGTTATCTTAGTGGTGCATTAATCGCTCCGCTACGGGCATATGTCAGGCAGGCGTTGAAGGTTGTGAATCCAACCGGATGCAACTTTTTCACGTGGTTGAATTTGTGGTTGTTGCTCTCTCTGAGGCGGAAATAGAGAGCTAGGGTGACATGTGGGTTGAAGGTTCTCTTCATCCACTTCCGCACAAACCTGTTTAGTCGTGAAGGCTCTCCAACCTATCAATATCGGGATGATATTAATCCCATCTGCAGCTAGGATGAGTAAGTTACCCTCCCTTATTTTAACACTCTTCTGTTGAGGAATCATTCGGGCAAACTGTTTTATCGTTGGATTTGGAACTACTAAATACTGACCTCTTCATTAAAGATGGTAAAGAGGGAAATTCAATAGCGAACAGCTTCATGAAGCGGCTTTGCTGTGGCTTGGGTCCTCCCTCGAAGCTTAATAAGGCAGAGAAATTTGGAGAAAAGTTCATTAAAACTTTAAAGAATGGCTTGAGGACAATGGGCATAGACTTTACACCATAAGCCAAAATAAAAAAGTTTTTACTTCCTCGCCTGCTTTGTGGTCCACTTTACTTACCCATTAAAATGAACTTCTAGTTTGTCAATGGCAAATAAGGTGAAAATTACGCCTGTACTTTGCTTGCAAATGCTTCTACAACAAGGAGTTATGTTGGACCAAAACTGTCCACGCGTAAATGGGTTTGTGCGCGTTATGGGTGTGCTGGATGCATGAAGGTCCCTTGGGCTAGGCCCGCCGCAAATCAAAACATCTGCCCTCACGATGTGCATCAAACTTTTCGGCACTAAAAATGTCGCCAACCTCTCGTGTCACCACACCCTCCTTCCTCACCCCCCTCATCGTCCGCCCAAGTTGGAAAAGTAACCTTTCAAGAAGGTTGTCCACACATTATGGGCCAGCATCTATCAAGCAATAGTGGTCGGTTGCCATGGTGGGCATGGTAGGTAAAGGGGGAGGGGATAAGAGGACAGGAGAGGGGGCTGAACAGAGCGGAATTTCATCACTTATCACGCTGATGACACACTCACCCCCCTTCCCGCATAGAGTGGCATAATTTTTGCCATTCCTACTTAAAATGTCATCAGCAAAATCGGCCCATATGGGCTTTTGCACCTGGCAAATTCACTTATGACTCAGAGGCCAGAAGGGTTTTGGTGGGGATAGAAGCCTTTATAATTGAAAATTCACATCCCTACTGGGTGACTGGAAATGTCATACCGAGATATTGCTATGTCCACCTGGATCGTGTTAAGGCGAATGCTCACCTAGCTTGGTTGCTGCTCTGCCCATATCCCCAACTGTCCACATATTTCCATTCGATTGAAGGTTTGTTTTTGATTGATGGTCCACTAAGCAAAAGCCAACCGTAGCTGCTCTGCTCATGTGGCCACGCCTGAGCGACTGACCGCCTTGGAGTTTATTTGGGCGCTATTGTCAGTTAACCATACATAAAGACTATTTTTTCCGGCAAAATTATTGGTTGAGTTACTACATTTCGTGTTTGAATATTGTCCACAATTTTTGTTTTTCACGCTAAATGCATAGAAAGAGGTGGAAATGTAAATTAAGGATTTTGGCCAATGGACCACTTAGGGTGAAGTTGTGGGGAGGTGCGTAGATGGAATGAAAAGTAAGATTTTTTTCTGCCCTCTTCGTTAGACGAAATTTTATTTGATAACCTGTAGTCGCGAGGCACGGAAAATTTTCAATTGAAAATGAAGTTTGAATTCACACAAGGTCATATCGACCAGTCAACCAACCAAAATCAAACGTGAAGCAATCTGTATTTTATAGAATTGCAATTTTTCCCACTTAGTTATTGGGCTGAATTTGTGTACGATAAGTTTTTATCTCCCATTCTCACTTCATTACACAATGAGCGGATGTCGTTTCACTCAAAATAACGTATAATCACTTAAGTAAATGATCCCATTTTTATCAGTAACTATCATCGATCAGAAAAGAAAGGAAGCCTTCTCCCCTTGAGATTAGTCAAACGACAAAGAGCATAATAGAATCCAGAACTGCCTCCATCAAATCAGGGATGGGATGTCAAAACAATTGATAGTTGTAGGTTGCTTGTTTGGTGTTGGAGTTTTACCACCTCACGGTTATAGCTGTCAAAGTAGCCAAGGGATCTGCGGATATTATTCCCTCACCATTCAGTCACCCAATTTTACTTCAGTGAGGGTCACAAGAATCCCAATAATTGAATAATTTAGTCGGTCAATGTATCTTTAAGCTAATAAACTATATTTTCAAGACAGACACCTTGCAACCTGTTAGCCAATAAATTTTCCATGTTTTTCCTTAGTAAATATCGGATGATCCAAAAAGATTGTGGGGTTTTCGAGATTACTCGCTGCTTTGACTGGTAGGGGTGTGGTAAATGCAATCACTTTTTGTATAGGTATGGGTAGATACATCTTTGCCATCTGTTGTTCCGACTACTTCCCTCGTAACGTAAAACCACGTATTGTAAAATGTTTGCTAAAACTGACAGAATTGGTTCAAGCTTGTCTGCCTTGCAAACAGCGCTTGACTGGATTCAAAGACTAAACAAACTTCGCGTCAAGTCTGCATAGCATTATCGAAAATAGAGGTAGACTCTCTTTTGGGAGGGGAAAGTTGTATTGGAAGCTAGGAACTGGGTGCCACATGCACGAATAAACGACAATGGATTTTAAGTACTCATTGTGGCTCTCTCTCCTCTACTTTACTTTATAGAACATATCGTTATTAAATTTATGTCAGACAAACCCATGTTGACAGGAACGTTAAGTCAAAGAACTGCCACCACCTGCTCCACAACTCTAAGGCACGTACCAACTCATCCGCAGAGGACCAAGTATGCTTTGTGCATGCCTGTGTGGTGGGGTGCTAGGACATTTATTCCCTGTGAAGTTTGTGCTGGAGGCTAAACAACAAGTACCGGATAAATTTATTCACAAGCAAAAGATTCTCCAGTAGGAGCCACGACTAGTGAATCAGCCAGAAGAATGTATCCCCTTTCAAAATAAAGCAAATTTCATTCCTGAGGTTTGCACTTTAAGATGGAACGACAGTGTCGCCTCGCCCATACTTCTTCAAGTTATTGCCACCTTCCTTCAGCATTAGGCGATCATGCGTGGAATAGACGGCTTGAGAACAAGAGCGGGATTAAAATCGAAATCGGTAGGTGTTTATGAGAACAGAGAGGAAAACTAACAATTGCAATTTTACTTGCTTGCCTCATTTGAAAAGAGCAATGGACAGTAACTGTGATTATTTTAACAAATAAAGTATTTTAAAGGGCCTTCTATAGAAAATTTGGTCTGTGCTGTAAAAAGCACTTAGTCTCACCCGATGTCCTTAAAGTATCAGATGGTGATCCAGCAATCATCACGATGAGGACCGATACTTAATTCCACTTGCTACATTGACCAAGTAGAAAACAGCGAAACCATCAGCAGCTGTTCATTCACTCCAGTGCTAATAGAAAAAAGGCGATTTTTTAGTTTTACTTTCCGCCCCAGATGGAGAGCAAGGCGCCAAAATATCCACTCCGCTTTTAGTGGTTTTCCGTTATTGTGGCCTAATACTTTTTTCACCAATGCCATCTCCTCTCTCCCCCACCCAGTAACCAACAAATAGCCATGGCGCCAGACCATCTCGATGCTGCTGGCAGATAACCGCAAGCCTTCCCACAACAGGTTGGTTTCCTGTCCGATGAGTGCGTGCAGGAGTGCTTGCTTGCGCGTCATGTACGGTGTAGTCCATTTGAGCCAAATGGAACACCACCATCACCACCATGAGGAGGATTGGGAGCGCCTGGCGCCATTGCCATTTGGGGTAACATACAACCGCGATTATGGCAGATTTCATTAGTAGTAGTCGTGGCAATATCCTCCCCACCAACAGTGGCCGTTCCACTCACACACCCACATCCTATGCTTGATCAGTCCATCGTTGTCCGAATTTGAACTTTTTGAGTCAACGCGAATGTTTTAGCAAATTACACAGTTTACACTGGAAGTTGTTCATACAATGAACGGGAGAAGGAGCAGACTGAGGTTCTCCCACTAAGCGTTTTCAATTAACCCCGATGAAATGTGCGGATTTGGTGGTTGATGCAATCGGACAGTCGTGATTTGATTGGAGAATGATGATGATTAGTCGTTTATTTAGTCTTCCGCGATGCAGTTTTGATGCTGAGGACATGCAGTTCCGTTGCTAGTCTTTCATACCTTCTGCATGGTTATACCAAAGGCCCTTCTAGACTGGTAAACCGGAAAACTTCAGGATCAACTCGGACAGTACAAGCAGTATGCGGCCACGAAGGCTCCCTAAGTCTTCCGCGACTCTGTTAATGTACCTATTCTCCCAATTTTCCAGGCCTTTTGTGGAGTTACAGTGAGGCTACCTCTAGATGGGTGAATATTATGAAGCCTCCTGAACATATTGTTAGAGGAAACGTCTAAACAAGTCAGTGTTGTCAAACGTCTACTTGCAGTTCCACTTATGTAATAGACAGTTGGCCACACGAAATAAGCATCCATCACTGTGTGGTTTGATGCATCCTTAAGGGAGCTTTCAAATTCGCAAAAAAGTTAAGCAGATTGCTGGCTCACCAGCTCCTTGCAGCAGAATTGCACTTACTTGGGCATCAAACCCACGGCTTAGGTTCTACATTTCTACGAAGCATTTCAAGTCTGATTAAACTATTGTTCTGCCCCCAGTGAGGAATATTCGTAGTGCATAAAACCACCCACCACGTCACAGATGATTGACAACACGTAATAAAGACTTTATGCAGAACGATTCGACTTACCCTCCGAGAATCATGGATTCGTAAAATTGGTGAAGTCTTAGTAACGAGGCTTTGGTGATTCTGAGTCGCCTTTCAACAGACCGACTTCTATTCGTACGTTCCATCAGGTGGGCCTTTCCAGCCTCCACGTTGGCAGCACAGGGCCTTGCTCGAGCTACTTTTACTAGCCTTCCAGTCCCTTCAGACCGATACCCTACGTCTTCAGTGACAACTCAGAGACTACGAACGCAAAATGCATTGGTTCCTGCACGTTTGTTTAAGCACACTGTTAATCTCAAAACCAGGGGCCCATTTACCACTGAATTATCGCATTTAGGGCGCAGATGGCAATAAATTTAACTGTGATGTGATCTCCTCTTTTGACTGTAGGTGGCCAGGCCTCAGTGAGACAGCACAACCCCACAGAGTGACACAGCTGTCCGTCCCTAGCAGGTGAAACCAGACTCCTGGTGGTGGAGCATTAGCTTAGCCAAACGCGCCTCAGCTCTGAATTCTGACATCCATCTAGTCCCAATAAAATAAACGCTAAAAAAGCTCGTGAATAGAGAACGCTCACTTGAAAAAGATGCATTCCTTAAGCCGCAGAAATATTTAAAATCCGCCTTTAGAACAAGGTATCTTCAGTAGTCCCACCTCGAGAAATAGCGTCCACTAAGGAGCCCTACCTTCGCGAGAATTTCAGGCATCCAAAATCCCAATAACGAGTAAATGAATAGAAACATTCCAAAGTGGCCGGTTTATTGCAGAATGGGGTACAAATAAACGGACGAGTCAAACACCTTAAGGGACTGTCAAAAGTTGGAAACTGAGAAACATCAAACTGAAGGCAGGCGTGGGAGATGCTAGTAAGTGAAGGAGCTCTAAGGGGAGCAGGAGAAGTGTACCATATCCCATCCCCTTTTACTCTAGGTCTTGGGTGTAATCGTTACACCACGACGGATCTTGCCCCAGCCGATCAATCTAAAAGGAATATGACATAGATTGATTTCAAAGACTGCTTCAACAATTTTGCAGAGCATGAGGTTAAACATTTCAAACAAGGACCAATTAAAGGCCATTTCAATAGACTTTTTGATAACTACTAAAGAAGGCCTAGATAGACCTCCGAGTCTACTTTGCGAAAGCCATGAAACGTCAAAATCGAAGCAGATGGGGTTAGCACCGTAAAATGCGTGAGAATATTAAACACTTTCTCAATGTAAGGTTCAATAATGATTACCCATCAATGGTGTCAGTCTAATTTGGCAGATAATATGATGACAACAATACGGAGGCCAAGATCGTTGCATGGTGTATATCTTGATAAAAATAAAGGCACGAAGTGCTACTTCAAAAAAGTTAGTAGCCGCACCTCCAGTGTTTCTCAACACGACGACTGAGCGCCACCTTCTCATTGACTTCAGTGCAGACTGGAGTGTTGAGAGCAATCTTTGCCAAGTCTCCTTTCACTGCAACAACGTGGCCACCGCTGGAGAGGGAACCAATATTCACCATAAGCATCTCTCGCTTCGCCAGTTTTTGAACCTACAAAAGAATGCGACTTGAAGTGATATACACGGATCACGTGTGCTTTTCCAGTCAACAAGTCCTAATGGTCACTCCTAAACTCGTATGTCCCATAAAATCCTCAAGAATAGCTGGAGTGACGAATTCGTGCCAGCGTTGGCGAGCTCCAAACTGAAGACAACCCCATTTCGCTACCTGGATATCAAGCCAAACAAATTACTGTAGACTCATAATAGAAGGACTGTAAAAACCACATCGACTTTCGGCAACTATTCTAATATTCATCTGTGAACAATGGTCAGTAACTAGACAGGACCAGATTGAAACGCCCTCAAAATAACCACCTATAGCATTTGCAAATCGGTAAAATACGAAAACTCGATACACGCCCACGTTACGGGTATTTGAGAATAGCTCGAATAGATAATACCATAAAAAGAATTCACACGGAATGCAGTCTTGTTCCTACCAAGAGCGATTTGAACATGGAAAATGCTATCTGAACAATCTTGGGAAATGTAAGGCACAGGTCGCAAACAGATGTGGGGAATGAATCTCTTGAGATATGCAGGAGGCGAAAACTTCTCGTTCATGCCTCGCGAGCGGCTTCAACACACTCGAGTACCCCATGATGTTCGAAGCAGAAGAGCGGTCGTGGAAAGAGCCAAGAATGACGTTCAAGAGGAGGAGGAAAGTGGGCTATTTACCATAATGCCACTTCCATTAACTGCGTACTTAAATACCTAAGCTCTTCCATTCGCCTGCGGTTGTCACCACACTGGTGGTATGAGGTTAGGCTGCTGACCTCTCAACCCTCCAGTACATTGCTGATAAACCTTCCAGATTAGAATGTCTTAAAAATCCTCATGGAAGCCAGAGAACCGGTCCAATAAAATACTGACTTTAAAGAAAGTATGAGTCTCACCTTGGCACCCTTTCGATCGCCCTCGGTCCGCACACCGAGGAGGCGCCGCAGGAGGTAGAAGGAGATCTCCAATTCTACGTAGATTTCGGGCAAAGTGCCGACAGCACCGAGGACATGACCGACCAAACGATCGGCGCGACAGAGCTGCGGATCAATTTTGGTGCCTACACCAATGAGGCCGCCAGGCACGGCGTAGGCCAGATCATTCTGCTCCGCTAGCAGTGAAAGAATGCACGAACGGATGGGGCGGCAGCTCACTTGACCCGACTCGTCCTTCTGCGACACCAGGCCAGGTCGAATCTCGATTTCTTGGCCAACCTACATACCGCATGGGGAGGATGAGGGTAGTATCGCTTCAGGGTCAGGCGGAAACAAGAAACCCACACAAACGCTGTTTAAATGCATATTACCAATGATCACTTCATAAACTGTGGGTGTTCACTAAAAATCTTACTCGGTTTCAGAATATTAGAAGCAAAATTGCTGATTGTTCCGTACCTCCGGAGTTTGCAACAAAATCTCCAACGGAGGTAATAAAATATGATGAATTATAAACTTATGTCTTAACACCAAGGGCGCTTAACAAATATGATGACGCCGAAAACTAGAGTAAGATCGCTATCACTGTAGGAAAAGCTGAAAGGATTAAACGATAATGCGAATTTTTAGTTTGAAACTATGTACATTAAAAGTGTTTGATGCAGTGGAGCGAGAGAGGATAAAGGATTATAAATTGTAACGGTAGCGAAAATAAAAGACGATTTCAGAATTTTTGTGTACGTCATCATAAATGGTCGCTAGATTCGGTACTACTTATAGGTAGTAGAACCAGAACTGGTACTGGGAAAGGCTAATGAAATCCTCATCGGACAGACACACAGCGGATTAACTACGACAAGACCTACAATACATTTGAGTAATGAAACAAAAATGAACACACGACTTCGAAGCACGCAACGATGCTCGAAAAGATCAAACATTTGATAAAAGAAGTACTTTGATAGAACCAAACGAGAGAAAACAGACAAAATTAATTGACGTGTAATAATTATTAGAGGCCATCTTCAAAGCAAATAGTCGGATTTGAAAATGCGCATAGCTGACCAAATTTGTGAATAAATTACCCGTAAAAGTAGTTTAGAAATAAAAGGCAGGATAAAGTGCTCCACATATCTACCAGCATTTCTCCGCACCCAACATTCAACGCTATCTAGGTGAGCTTTACTAAATCTCGTGATTTGAAGTCTTAAAAGATTTAAGGCTCCGACGGCAAAATGCCATCAAAACGCTATCTAGTCCCCTAAACTCAAATGAATATTCTCAATGAAGAACATAAGATAGACAAGATTAAACAGAGGAGTCGAAGTCAGGAGAGCCTACGTGTTATCAGCCAAAATCAACTATTCATAACAGAAATGTCGAGTAGTAGTCTACGGTAATTCCCTAAATCGTAGCGTCATTTTAGTCAGCTGCATTTATCTGAATATTAGCAGAACAGTGCTATTCGTTGAATTGCCATACTTGATGAGTAGGGTGGACTAAAATTCCGAAATCTGAGAAAAATGAACAGAAGGCGAGTTACGAACCTTAAGGACGCCACGAAGAACACTGCCGCCGGCGACGCCTCCACGCAGCTGGTCCACTTCGCAACCGGGTTTGTTCACATCGAATGATCGAATGACTGGCAGAAGACCAAATTAAACGTGGTTAGAAAATAATGGGTTCTTTGAATATCTGTTCCTGAGGTATTCAAACGAGGATGAATACTCGCCAGTTGATTATGAGAGCTTGAGAGACGTAAGTAACCACTTATATAACGGAAAACGACGTTATTTTGATACCATAATCAGTTCCCATCTTATCCTAAATGGAGGACTCTCCCACTCATACAGAGGCACTACAGTTGCTATACTGCGCCTACAAATTCTGGAAATACGTTTCAAAACGAAACGGCGACACTACTATGATAAGGTCAAATATACAAGTCTGAGTAGTTGGAAACAAATAGTACAAAATCGCTACTGTTAGGAGGTTGTAACAACAATATTATGAGTGCAAATGCTAAAGCATGCTAAATTGGCGTTATAATTGATTAAATCCATACCAATCAGACGTGGATCCGACGTGAAGTCCCGTACGGGGATAGGAATGCTGTTTACAATATAGTCACACACAACATCTATGTTGTACTTGAGCTGAGCCGAAATCGGGATTATTGGAGCACTCTCGGCAACTGTTCCCTTGACGAAGTTGACTATCTGCAGATAAAGGAAATAACAAGTCGCCAGTTTTCTCAGAAAGGCTATTTGAGTATCAAGTGACTTGTAGGTGAAACTTAGACCGAATAAAGTGTCAATGAAATATAGAAATGAGGTCAGTGACAGGCCGCTGAAGATTTTCGAAGCAAAAATACGATGAACAAACTAGTAAGAATAACAACGACCGCGATGCTACTAGAGAAAAAATTACCTAAAACAATAAAAAAGTCCTAGCCTTCTCTTCGCATTTTAATCAGCACTGTATATCAACTCTAAATATCAAACTTTGAGAAAAATTTAGTAGTATGGACAGAGCTAAAATTAAGGACTTCCTAAAAATTCCCACCAAGCATTTCAAAGATCAACAGCGCAAATATGTAAGCGAAATCACGTACCTGGTCGTACTGGTCACGGGCAGCAGCTTCCTTGACTAAGTCAATTTTATTCTGAAGAATGAGAATCGTGTCAAGATGCATGATTTCAACAGCAGCTAAGTGTTCACTGGTCTGAGGTTGCGGACAGGGTTCATTGCTTGCAATCAGAAGAATCGCGGCATCCATAACAGCTGCACCGTTCAACATAGTTGCCATAAGAATGTCGTGACCAGGACAGTCGACAAACGATATATGCCTAGAAAGCAGGGAAATTCAAACAGGGCAGCCACCAACCAAAATATTGGATCTAAACCACTTCCAAACTGAGAACCTGGTAGCATAAAACGCAAGAGCTAGGCAAAAACGCACACCTCATTAAACGTAGTTTGCCAGTGCAATCCTCACGGGGGCAATCTATGATGTCAGGACTAGCACTTCCAAAAGAATGATAGCACCCTGGCGGTGGACAATCGGGACCATCACATTTGTAAATTTTCGCATTTGCATAGCCCAACTTTATAGTGATATTCCGAATAAGTTCATTTTTATGCCGAATCGTATGGACTGTGGAAATGGCCCTTACAACCGTTGTTTTGCCATGAGCTACATGACCGATCGTTCCAATATTTATAGTCGCCTGTCGGCTGATGACCTCTGGGGTGAGAGGGGTAAGCTTGGAAATATCCTAAGAAAATGCCCTATTTAGTGTACGCAAAAAATACTAATGTTGCGACGTCTTGAAGTGCCAAACCTGGTCCTTCATCCATGAGCGCGTGGTCGTCGGTGTAAAAAGCAACCTAAAGCGATTTGGCACAATGTTGCACTGGTAAATGAAGAAGATGAGTGGACGATCCACTCATTACAGAGCGTGAATCTATCGAGCGATTTACTTAGCAAGGTAGGGCATTGAAAAAACTGAAAAATCACCAGCTGAAGCAATTACGTTGTTTAAAAACGTTTATTACAGTACCATGTAAAAAATCAAGGTGACGTTCTAACCGTCTTAGAACGGAAAAATAGTCCAAGTTACTGCTGCATGGTGTTGGCTGCAAAGTCAAAGTAATACGTTTAATCTTAAATATACATAGAACTTTGCAGTAAGTTTGTGGTTTCAACCCGCCACTGCTATATTATTTCGTGTGCAGTTAAAAAACAACAAGTTAAGAACAAGGCTCCTAAGACTTCAGTGCTTATTACAAATAGTTTATTTTTGCTAAAAATAGCTTTTTATGGCATGAATTAAAAATCTATATTTATATCATCTGTATTTGTTTTAATGAGCAGGTGGTATTTTAGTGGAGGGCGGGTTGAAAAATTTCCCTCTTCATACTATCGCTACTCCTTTCGTGGTTTTGCTGCGACTGATGTCTGACTAAGGTATATTGTCCATATCCAGCCTTGAGCTTGATGTTTTTGTTCTAGAAGTCCTCTTTATTGACGAATGTACGCTACCTCTAAACTGATAATCCCTGCGAAAACAGCGCAGGATTCTCCATATGTACCAAAAATCCGCATTTTTCTACGACCATCATCATCTTTGGACAAAAGCAGTGACATGGGAAGTTCGCTGGCACCAGACAGTCTCATAGCAGATATCTCCCAGGAAAATCACAACGAAGATAACGCTGTCGAAGACGGTGATAAAACAAAAGACATTAATTTCCCATCGACTGTATCTCAGAACCAAACCGACAAGGTGGTAAGTTGTTTTTTTATTCCGTCTACTTTTTTTTAGTCGAAACCTTTGCAGGACCAGGTTCGTGGTGGTCGAAAGCGTAAACTTGTTGGAAGTTTAGACAATATCGATTTTGAAAGAAGAGATTCTCTGCTCACCAAAGTAAATTTAAAAGTAGGTTTAGCTGATTGGCTTATTTTAAAAGAATGGAAGTAGTGAGTGAGGAAGACGTGCTATTTATGACTAGATAATTATTTTGTGCGTTAATTTAATGGTTTGAACAAAGCCTGTTATTTCAACCTGGTGTCCACATATGGTTCCCACCGTTTTTCCTCGTTTTAGAAAATTATAAACATGGATACATTTGAGGCGTTGCCCATGGACTCCAGGCGACACTTGTTAAGTCTCCTTCCCATCTACGACCAGACACCCCCACCAGATGCAACAGCGTCGGCGACAGACGCTGATTACTGGATCCACCCCACTGCTCTGAACAACGAATTTCTCTCCAAAGCCCTGCAGGATTACTCCATCCGTCAAATGAACGGAGAGTTCTCACCCCGGTTAAACTCTCGCACGGGTCTTCGAAAGTCCGTCGGAAATCGACAACGCTATTCAAGTCCTGCTGTTTCTCCCATTTCGATTCCCCACTCATCAACACCCCTACTTCAGTCATCTGCTAATACCACCAAAGAAGAGCCCATTTCAACACCATTGGTCGTGAGTTCCGGTTTCATCTTTAGTATGTGTTATGCGGTTTGTGTTCTTTTCCGTTTTTGCTTCCTGCCATGGCTAATTTTCTCCCTTAATCTGTGAATTTGTTTCACAACATTTTTTTGAAATTCGAGTGGATTTTGGCACGACAGTATCCTTCATCATAAATCTGGTTCGGATCCATTAATTCCTCCAGGATAATATCAGATTCCATTCACAGCTCATCAAATTTCCAGTCTAGCAGAGTCGCGTTGGTTCCTCTAATGGTCGGATCTTCCACTGGGATCACCTTGCTACGATTTTCGTTCTCATGTTAATGTATTTGTGCTTTGAAAATTGATATGGTAAATGAAAGTTGAAGACCCATTTCATGGCGGGTATTCTAAAACTACAGATAACTTCCACTTATCTTCTCTGTATTTTTAACTAGGTTGGGGCTTTGCTGTGGTTTGGTCATGTCACACCAAGCACTAAATTCAATTCAGGTTGATTCCGAATTTCAGCTCATGCTAAATGTTTAAGCTTGTCTAGGACTTTTATGTAAAATGACTCTTGTAATTGTTAATTTTGCCATTCAAATGATGAAACTTTAAAATTGCCTTCGGTTGCAATACTTATGGGATGAGATTTTACTCTTCTGGGTTACATAACATTCCCCTTCCTTTCAGGTGACTAGCAGTCCTCTGAAGACAAATGGTGTTGAATCACCGACCTCGCGGTTTCGGAATAAGTCCTCTGCCCTACAAACCGTCCTTTCAAAAGAGCTCACGGAACCGAAAATTGAGAATGGTATAGATAAGGAAGGCCCTCAAGAGGCTATTAATGCAAAGCTAGAAAAAGAACAGCACGTGATTCCACAGTCAGTCTTCTCCCACTTCGTCTCTCCCTCTTCCACTGCCATCGCAGCAACCTCTTCTTCCTCATCATCATCCTCTACTCTCTCGCCTTCACCATCGCCACACTGCCCCTCCTCTTCGAGTCCTTCCAGTGGCCTCTCACCGACTGCTTTGGGCAGCGTCACTAACGCCACCAACTCCATGCTTCCTCTGCAATCTCTGGCTTTGGACGAACTGGAGCGGCAGACTATGCGACCATCCCCTGTCCTCTCAGAGGTTTCTATTCAGCGTCGACCCAATATGCCCAAGCTTGAGTCTACTCTCTTGTTACAAAACGTACGTGTTAATCCCTTGCAGCACATCACCTCCTGGTTTTTAATATTCGTGGTTAAGCCTGCCGCCAGCGGACACGTAGAATCATAATTTGATCAGTATTACGTAGTTTGCTACATTATGAGGATTCCTAATCTATTTTTCCTGACATCTTTCGTATTTACCAAGTCAGTAGTCTGTCTGGTTACTAGATATGAAACTGTGCAAATGCTCTTCTAATGAATCCTGTGGGAAAAAAGGGTAAAGGACAGTAATAAACTAATCAAGGCTGAACTGGTAAACATACGCGACCATATGCGACTTTTTTGCCAGCAACCTTCTTAAAACCCCGCTTTATGTGTATAATTACCTTAGCCATTAACCTAAAGTATTAATCATAAAAGTGACATGGCATAAAAGACGGCGCTCATCATCCTTCATCGAGCCAGGTTAAAATTTGTTAATTTACGTCAGCCCCTTAAACATGCGCGTCTACGAAGTTACGCTTGTGATGTAATAATATCTGTGGTTTTAAAACTGCACTTAAATCCATATTTGAACCATTGGCCCTTCCTTCACGTTAACTTGACGCAATTTAATTGAATGTGGAGGCTTTATGTTGGCATGGCGTATTGCCCTCTTTATTTTACCTTTGACACCTAATTACAAAATAAGAACTCGGTGGATGTTATGCAGAAGCCACTACTCGATTTTGGTCTTAGCTTTCAACCGATCCCATTGACAAATAAGTCAGGTATTCCTAGAAGGATATCTGATAATGTAGATGAGGTTCCGTTTCAATCCTTTTGTGTTTAGATCTAACTTTATTCCCTCTAAGGCATTAATCTGTATTGGTTCACTCGCCTACTGCTTGTCAATTTTTGCAACATCTTGGGTGAAAATGCACTCTCCAAGTTCACATTTCCATGACAGTATGCAGCTATGTGCGTATATAGGGTGTATTCCGGTCCACTTTCGGTTTTCAAAGTTATTTTAGGATTTCTGGTGGTTTTCTTTGTAACTAGACAGAAATGTTTGGACATTTGTGTATTTGTACCGCTACCTATAATAGTAGCTTTTCTAGCAAAGTCACTTACTTCGACGTAATTCGAGTTTCTAATAAATACATCTGTATTTATTGATGTTGTATGCATTGGCTACCTCAAACGCATACAACACTGTTTGAAACTGTGTGAAACGCCACGTGAAGTGCACTTTCTACATTGGATTGTTTGATTACGTAAATATAACACCGTTTCAAGCCCGATTTATGGGTGAAAGGGGCTGCTTTTTGCCCGTTTACAGTAATCAAATAACCATGGACACTATTTGAACCTTGCCTGGCCATTTCTACGCCTTAGCATACTTATGCATAATTGTGATTCTTGCAGCGTTAAGTGCACGCATTTCTGATGCACATTTACTTATCATGTACAAACTGACTGGTAAGTAGGTTTCACCAAATCCACTTAGCGTCAGACCGTGAATTCGCTTGCATTCCCTCCTTCTGAAGGACTCATTAGATTTCCTTCAGTACGAATGAACTTAAGTTTTCAATTCTTGTTCATGCGGTAATTTTTAATGCTGTGAAATTTTCGCAATGTTACAGTTTCCTTAGGATGCAAACCTCAGAAATCAGTGTGCAATGGTATTCAAGTGCATATTATGTTAACTATTCTCTGTGAATTGCCATAATAAATAACTCTCTTTCATTATAGGGTGTTAAACCACCAATCGATCTTTCGTTGAGTTCTCCCAGGCGTTCTACGATTGGCGTATCCAGTCGTAGGCCCTCACAGACTGGCGCCGACCTTCCCTCAAGCAGTAGGCCACCACTTGTGGTCGATAGCACCACACCCATCTCCGCACCCAACCCCACCACCATGCCTCCGCCACGAGAGACCAAGACCTTAGCCAGCGTGAGGGAGAAGTTGCGCGCTAAGCGCCTGATGATGAGTCAACAGCATCCTTGTCAATCTTTGCCCCTTAAAGTGCCCTGTCAGCAGCGGTCCGCCCCACCTCTTGCGCCCGCTTCTTTGTCTGAATCTGCTCCAGCGCCTCCTCCTGCCACTGGTAGTCTCACTCCTAATCCCGGAACCAGCTTTTCCGGTGACTTCTATAGTTGCCCAACTGCCAGACAGGAGCCTCTTCCACCAATTTCCGCGCCTGTGATACAACCCCCGGCGGTTTTAATTCAACCGACAGGAAACAGTGTATCCGCTCCTGCCACACCGCAACACGGCAGTGCAGGTGGTGGTATAGCTGGACCTCTTCCCGCCATCCTCGCTAACTTTAAACAGGCTCGTGTTGTTGTAACTCCATCACGATCTGGCTCATCGGTGAGCAGCAACGAGGGTGGAACCGATGTGGCTGATCCAGATCACCAGTTGCCTGATGTGCATCCTCAGCCGCAGGCAATTCCACAGAAGCAGCAGCAACAGCAACAGGCGATCCATCAGAAGCAACCTGTACCTCAACAGCCACAACAGTTGGTTGCTGTTCCAGCGAGTGCTTGTAGTGTTGGCGGAGGGACTACGACCACAAGGGCGTTCTTTGTCGACGGTAACAACTTAACTGAGACACTAGCTCTCCTCCAGTCCATTAACCCACGCGCAACCGTTACACAACAGCAGTTCCTTCTGATTCCCAGCACTGACAAGTCACACGCAATTTTGTGTCGAACTCCCATCGCTATCCAACCAAAACAGTCACCTCCGCAGCCACAGGTTATTCGAAGACATTCTGGTTCCGCCTGCGCTACAGCTGCCTGTCCACCCGTTTCGGCTCCCGCGACGCCCACAGTCCTACCTCTCATCCTGCCCGCGAACCGGTCACAGGAGCATCAGCAACAACAAGTACCCGCGATTCCACCCGGTCTTTACCGTGAAATCCTCCCAAATAATAATGCCACTGCCAGTGTGTGTAACATTCAGAGAGTACACCAGCCAACTCCTATCCAGCCTCAACAGCAGCCAACACAAGTGAGTTTTTTGTGGATTTACAGCACCAGTAGGCATGAGTTTCCTTTAAAGACAAAAGATCTCTGGGTTGGTAGGAGACTTAGATTCCCAATAGGTCAGCGTAAAGTTGGATAGCGGGAACTGAAGTAGTCCATCGGGTTGTAATGCTTTATGGTTTCCGTCTTGCTCCGCTTGTTGCTCGTATGTAGCGGTCGTCACATCGGTAGGCATAGGTGTTTTGAAATTGCCGAAACGGGGGTAGTCAATTTGTATCAACTAGAGCAGACTCCTGGTAGTTTTGGGTTTCGTTCAAATTTTTTTCGTTGCATCTATTAGGTGACCTCATTTTGGGAATTTCACTTGAAAATATGACTAAAGGACGGTCGAGTGCACCTCGTATGTCATTTGTTCTTCGTAGGGACATTTACATGAAGAAAACTCAAATGGTGGGAGTGTTTCTATCTCAGCTGTGTCTTTCCTTCCTACCTCCTGACTAATCTAACGCCTTCTGGTTGTCTATCTTGACAACTCCCAGTTTTTTACACCGGACAAAGATATCGGAGCTTTAGATTTCGATTTTAAAGGGGATATTCTGGGCATTTCTTCACAGATGAATCTAGGTCGTTCAGTTCTAGTCTTCGTCCTTCGTTGAGAATTGGATTAGCCAAGATGTGAGTAGCTGCTAAAGCTAATCGTATTTTCTTAGTTTTACTACTGTAAGTCGGGCAATCCAGTCAGGCAATTTGCAAATGTGTACAAGAGGAGTTGGAAGACTATGAACACGAATAGGACAGGCAGCGTTGTCATTTAAAGCTTATCTCTTATAGCTGAGGCCCGCACAAACCTACTACAGTTTACTGGCGCCCAGTACAATTACTGCATCAGGAGTGAACACCAATCACAACAATGTCAGTAGCACTAACCACAACATCAGCACCACCAACAGCAATAACAATCCGCCGACATCTTTCTTACCCCCACCCAGCTGAGATGCATATCGCGCGTGCGTGTGTCTGTATGAGTTATATTTAACTTGTCACCGCCAGCTCCCTCTCCACATATATACCGTCTCTCTCTTGTACATAAACATATATACACACACACATGGGCATGCATTCTTTATTTTTTTTCCACTTCTCCGTTTGTGTAATTTTTATCGCCTTTCCTCCTCCCATCCCACCACCACCACCACTCTCACCGCCGCCACTATTTTTCTCAGAGCTAGCTCCCGAATAATTTTAATACTACTGCTACAACTACTACTATTACAAATAATAAATATACCAATGCCCCCACTGCATGTGGGTGTTTGCACAAGGATGTATGTATTATTTGAGGAGTTCTGTTTGTTGGCGCTGTTTTTCCCCGTGTAGCTCCCGCTACATGTGGGTGTGTCCACTATGCGCAGATGCATGCACAAATATGCCTCTCGTTGAATGAACGCGTTTACATGTCGGCTAATTAAGGCCTAGATAGCCCCATCCATTGCTCAACGCGGATCTGAAATGTGTGGGCTTAGCCATCATCCATGTGGTGAAGTAAGGTTGTAATGGGTTCTTACTACGATCCACGTACTGACTTTTTAGACGCTTTATTCTTGCAGCGTGGATAACAACAGAATTGCATCTACTTCAGTGAATCTTCGTTGTTGGTGCTGTGGTCTCTGGTAATCATTTGACGCACCGAAAAACAGTCTGGAAGTGGGGTTGGAGGACTGCACAACTCCGTGACAGGTATGGTAGGTAAACCAACAGTTAAAACGAATATTTCCACTTGATGGACTCCTCTCCCAAGGAGTCCACTTCGGGGTTCTCGTGGTCTTTCTTCAGCCTCGGCCGTCACGAGTCTGTGAATAGTAATCAATTGTAGGGTGGAAACGACGTATCCACATCACTATAGGAGTTAGGACTCCTAAATATTGCGTGTTCTGTCACGCGAACTGTTTCGCAGAGGGATCTGTGTGGGGAGGAGTACTGCCCACGTCTAGACAAATTTTGAAAGCAAGCATATTTCATGTGTTAACCATTTTTAGTTGGAATCCTTGCCCAGAAACCTTTTCCGATTCCTTTAAACCTGGTCGCTCACTACCGATAGCTCTTTTGCATAATTCAGAATTGGGATGGTTCCCTTAGCCCTTCTGTTCTGAATCTGAAGATTCAGCCATATGCAATAGATTTCTTCCTTCTGTTATTGACGTCCTTTTGGACTTCGTTTGCCAACACCACCATCAAGTCTCTGAAGACGGAATAGGGTATATGAGTCGGCAATTGGATAGAGGTTGGGAGGTCGTCGTCGACCCGCTCCATGGGATCGAAGTGGTTGCTCATGTAGTCAAGCGAAATAAATGCCGCACCACCAAAGAACGGTGTAGCCAGGACGGTTGGGTGACCTCGTTGAAGTGGTACCACATAGACCGCAATGGAGGCGGATCTATGTGTCAATGTTTACGCAAGGCGACACGACATTCGATCGGTAGCTTACGCTTATGAAGCATCACAACCGCAACCACCACCATCAGTGGTTACCCTCTGAATGGTTCATACGCGCTTGGCGGCGTTGGCTTACCTAGCAGATGCAAACAGCATAAGGCGTAAACACATTCACTTTGCGTCTATTCACGAGGCGCGTGTGTGCTGATGCACCCACCAGTCGCTAAATTTGGAATGACACGACGCGTGCTGTGGAGTAACAAGGTGTAAAGGGGGTCACATTTACTCCCTTCAGCCTACTCCAGAAGCATGGAGCACTATAGGGGTTTGTTGACTCGATTACCCTGAGGAACAGCGCAAAGCACACGTCTAATAAAGTAAGCTCATTTACGAGAAGCGCTTGACAGACGCTGCAAGCGGCTTGTAGCGCCCCGAGACTGAATACGAAGGGAGTCACAATACAAGGGTAGAATGTGTATTACCGATGTAAAGATGGGGCGGAGACTATTCCACCTAGCTGATGTACATAGGCAGAGCCCTATGTGGCCGCGAAATCGAAATGGCGAGTTAAACAAATGACCAATGTGTTGAGTGAGTTTAAGCGACTCCATCTATGACTAAACCTAAGCCCTTGGATGTGAGGCGTGTCGGAAGCCTCTACCCTACAAAGGCGTAGAGCTGGGCTGCCATGCCTGCTGCGTGGAAGCTTCCTCAGTTCCGCTCTTATCTGATTATTCTACTATTTCTAACGCATGTAAAAAGGGAAACGTACTTTCTTTTGCTGCGTTGGAGGGTGTCGAAATGAGGCTTTCAATCTGTGCTAATTTTCCTGCGGCACCATTGCTATTTAGAGTCGTGCTTTTCCAGACGTGAACCCGTGTATGCATCACCAGATCGGATCGTGGGCGGGTGCGTGTATGCGAGATACCTGTGTTCCATTTCATCTCCGATGACTAAGTCCCACACGTCACTGCTATCTCGGTTCCTATTTTTGCTTTACCTGTATCGAATCGCCAATTGTAGCAGTAGTAGTGGTGCTGCCTGTGGATGCATTCATCACAGAACCGAGTGACTACGAGGTGTTGCGGTGAACACACGAGGCCGTGTACTTTTTTTACTGGGAATGCATTAATCAGCCACCTGCTGTATAACACACACACACACATATTTTGAAACTAGCGTGTGATGTAACAACTTTCTACACTTTTTTCATTTGTTGCCATATGCTGAAATATGTGTTAGTTGTTTGCTTAACTCCCTGTTTTGGCAACGGGCCACCTGGGGCTCCACCATTGTACCCTTGCCGGGCAGTCTAGCTTCTGGGCCATGTCAGTCCTACTGTAAGTTTAAAATGCTTAGTCTCGACCCGAGTATTATGTCTCCTTTCTTCTTCCGAAAAGCCTCGGGGCGCTCCAGCTAAATGAGGCACATTGCACGGCTTAATATGAAGTTTTGCTGCGTAGAAAGTGTGGTCAGTATGGGCTTTTGATCGAATAATTGTTTTTAAAAATAGCACTCCTATGATTTTATAAATTTGGTCAAAAACTGAGCAATAATGAAATAAAAATACGGATTTACTTTATGGGAACTATTTGTATGGTTCGTAGGCCAGGCCGCCCGGCAGAGGTGCACTGGCGGGGCCCCTAAGTGACCCCACTACCAAAACCCCGAGTTAAGCAAGCTATTAAAATGTTGTAAATATGCCAAATTTAAGGAACACCTATTGTCCTGAAATTCATACCTCCTCGTTAAAAGGAGTTACTTAGATTTTCGACTAATTCCCAGTGCCATAGGGATCAAATATACGAACTGCAAGGAACATAGGGCATTTAGATGATTGAAGACCAACTTGGTGATTCGCAATTTATAAAATGATGCCCATAAATTTGGCCAGCGGAGTGCAGATGATAGCTGAACGATTGAGCGGGCTGTAATATGAAGGACAGAGAAGTGAGAAGCACTTTACAGTTCTAATGGTAGGTTGTGATGCAATGCATCAGCTAGCCTCTTTCTCTCTCCCCCTCTCCCCCAAAACGTAGCAATAACTTGATTTCGTATTAATTGCCCATTTGATTGTGCCTGAATATGTAATATGATAGAGGGTCTCTGTAATTAAGGGGACTTTCACACAGGCTGACATTATAGGACTCTAGAAATCACCTTCAAGCCCATATTTCAAAACGCCTTCCTAGTGCTAAAGAAAAGTTTTTTTTGGACTGGTTTCATGACGATTTTAAAGAACAGTTATTTTATTTATAGGGAGACTGAATTTTGATCTTAAATCGGCTGTAACGGGGGAATTACGAAAGTCATTCCAAGTCATTACTGACACGCGTAGGCGAGTGGGAACTGCTCCTTACCATTACTTGCCACCACTATGGTAAGCAGGCGCATGTATCGTGGTGCGTGCCAATCTAGTCTAGTCTAGACACCGTTCATCAAGATACTAGGCAACAGCCCTAATGACTGAACAATACACAGACAAGCGTATCGACGGAGGAATTAAACCACTCAAAATTGGGAATATGAAGTGCTTAAACGATTCAAGGACCTCGGGGCGTCGACGCTGTTGATGATGATCCTTCTCCTGGTGGTTTACCGCGAGACCACGGTCTTGGCGTTTTCTTCCAGTGACCGTATGGACAGCGAGTCGACTGCTCGCTCCATCCTGGACGTCTCAGTGACCCGAAAAGTCGCCTCACACTGGTTACCAATACATGGTTGTCCTCAAGTTGGCACAGATAACAAAGTAAAACAGGCTACCGTAGTATGGTCAGCCGCTCTGATAAAAGCTTTCTACGCCGAGAAATAGGTGCTGTTCCCTTTCCTTGAAATATGTCCATCATCTCCTCGATAAACCCGATGTTCCTGCTTAACTTAAACACCATTCAAATGGCATACTTCCCCCACATTATTCAAATTTACCAACGCACGGTATCGCTCAGTCCGTGATAACCACAGAGGGCCGAAAAAGCTACCTTATCAGTTCCTCATATTTTCCACACCTCCAGTATCGCCATCAGCACCAACTAAAGGAGCCTGGTAAGGTAAAGTCTGGTTTAGTCCATTCTGTGTAAAACTAAGCCAAGTAACGGCTTAGATAATAAAAAGGTGACTGTTTTCTTTCATTTTAAGCAGCTTTAACTGCATCTTGCAGTTTCTATTTCAATGTCTTTTGACACGGCCCATGTCTGAAAAACGGTCCATTTTGGCCTTCACAACTTAATTATTTGTATTTTTGCAGTCTAGAAGAGTTAAAAATTTCATTTACTGCATTACTGAAAGACGCATAGGGGGAAACGTTTAATTTCCCACCCAAAAATGTCGATGAGCTCAGCGCATTATCAATGATTCAGCAAAGTTGAACTGTGCATGGTGAATTACCAACTGCAAGTATGTGCATGACAGACGCCTGAAGGTCAGGCGCTTGTCCTTAACTTTCCTGGTTGGTGTGCACCGCGCCTAGAATATTAATTCGTAGCCATAAATGGTAAACAGGGGTCCAAGAGACCCTCTATTTAGACTATAATTGTTAATTAGGTGCTTATTTCAGAAGTACTGTAGCGCTCTAGTTATCACTGAAGGCATTGCAAGTCGGACAGGCTTGAGCCACGTTTATTGTTAAAGCATGGAAGGGCTAGAGGGCTACTAGCATAAGTTCGATAGGAACAGCCAAAAGGCATGACACTAGGAAGTTTCACACTGCATGGTATACAGCGGAATCCAGGGTGGTTCTTCTCCACAGTTCCAGTCTCGCTTGGAGTGTCTCGGTTACTCCTCTGCTTCCACTGTTACAGGCGTTCTAGTAGCTTGCAAACAGCAGCGAGATTAGACTGTAGATTATGCGATAAGCCTGCATCATTGCGAGAGCCCTTCTTGTGCCGCTAGTAGTGGAGCATGTTGAGGATTTTCCACCAATCTATACCAGTACAAAAAGCTTGATGGTTTTCGAGAAAGATTAAGCTCCACATGCCAAATGCTATTCTTAGGAGCATTTAGCTAAAAGCATCATGAAGATGGGGATACGAAGTCCCCATATCAAGATCATAAATCACCTTCTTTGCAACACTATTGCTGGAATTTCTTTAGAGGGGTCACGATTCCTCCAAGTCTGGTCTCACGCCTATACCAGTCATTTCATAATTATTGAAATTTGATTCACCTTTGATGACCTTTCCGCTGTAAGCCCCCTACATCTTCAGCCAGTCATGGAATAGACTTCAGAGGTGAATGCAGTCAGCAAAACCAAGGTCATTGTTTCCACCATAGTGGGTTCAATAATATCACCCCTAAGAGCTTTTATAGCCCATTACCTCTAAACTAGGTTTGTGAAAGGAGTACAGAAGGGTTGTGGGCCCACTAGGATGATTGACATAAGCATAGGTCAATTTCACCAGTGTGGTAAGCTAGCTGATACAAATTCCATTCTTCCATAGTAGCATATCCTCAGTACTTTGCTTAAACTCCCCGAAATTTCGCCCAGACTAGACCTTGTCAAGCAAAGCTAGTGCATTTCTACAGAACAGAAGTGCATCATCATGGGTACCATTGTTCTAAGCACTAATTTGACAGACAAAGTAAACTTTGGGTGCCAAATTTCGCTCTCGCTCCCTTTCTTTAATCTCGTTCCCACTACAGTCTCTCAAAATCACTCAATTTGCGCAATGCACAGCGCTCCTAGATGTTGCATATTTTGCTGAAGTAACAACACGATCTTTCATCAGAATTAGATCTGGTTTAACGCTGTGATTTATCCACTCATACAAAATCCAAGCTTCGACTACCCATCCTAATTAACTTGATTTACTATTCGGCCTTATATCTGGAATTACACCTTCGTTTTTTTGAAATCAATGGAGAAAATCATGTCTTCCTTTCGCGCACTTAACCTAATAAAATAAAACTTTTTAACAGCTCATTAATTATTCTCCTCAAGAAGCCATAAAACCTCATTCAAGAGTTATAAGTGCCTACAATTGTTTGCATTTGATGTCTGCTTTCAGTAGATTGAGAGTTTTCCACAAATCTTCATTTAACTAGGTCATGTGATCAGCAGCAGGAAAAGTTTTAAGCTGGAGACTTGAAAATCCTTCTACTGCATTTCCGCACTTTAGCACTGCAGACAGCCTCAATTACACAGTTCAGGAGAGAGCGTGCAAAGGAGCGTGCGTTCGTTGTTGGCAAAAACAAAATATTTCACATTTACAGCATGTTTCGTAGTTCTGCATAAGGATGTAGGAATTGGGGGTAAGGTGTTTTTCGACACCGTATTTAAGTATAAATCCATGCTTCTAAAAACGATTAATATTCACCCGTGTGAACGTGATAAACAAATACTTCTACCTTCGGGCATATTTTTCAGCAAGAATAGTTTATTTCGCTTTTTCCCGTACTTCTAATTTGTTTTATTCAATGACTTAGTAAAAGCCAAATGGCCTAGCATCACATTACGCCCCTGGTTTTATTATTGTGTGTACTGAACTAACACTGTATGAATAGCATACTTTGTTCACATCTTCACCTTAATTCCATCGCGTCACTACTTGAAACCGTGAGACGCAACCTCTACGCGTAGTGGAAAATTGAGAAGGCACACACGCACAGTAGGTGCTGAAAAGTCGACTAAGTTATAGTGCAACTTTGGTCCAGACAATACAGGAAACCAAAGGATCTATGTATGACCAGACCAAAATGTACCTCACCTGGCTGATAAAGTTTGGCATGAGCAAGTAGCTTTGACAGAAGTAAATTGGGTCCTGACGTCCGTGAGATCAAATTTTGCCTCCATCATGTGGGTTGAAAATCAATCTACTTGTGAATGAAAGGTGGTCAAGGCAAAACATCCCAGCTTCGGGTTATTTTTTTCTTCCATTCCACCGGCCTTGAGGTTTTGAGGTGGAATAGGATCGATGTTTCTCTCTTCCGTCTCAGCCTTCAGCCATGAAACGAGCAGACGAGTCGGAGGACGACCTACTCTATTAGGTACAGACGTCGGCGACATCTGATCCGTCACGAGGTCTGTATTTTTTGACCGCCTCTCGATTGGAAGGGATATTCAAGCAAATATGTATTACAAAAGCAATGCAAATGAGTGTAAGAGGGCGAAATGGTTACTTACCATTTGTCATGTACTGAGATCGGGTAAACTGCGTAGAGGTGTTACAATTATGGGGTATCTTGATCTAAATGGTTCCGACCCTGTCTTCGTGCGTCAGTAGGTGTAGATCTTAAGAAACAAAGCTTTTGACTAACAAATTTCGCTGTTTGTTTGAGACGTTAACAAAACACCCCAATTTTCAGAATAATCTGGTCTTGTAACCCAAGTTAAGCCCTTTAACTTGAAAAAATATGGTGCCATCAATCACTTAACCTTTAGAAGAACCCAACAAAACTGGTGACATTCTTGATGACGAATATCAAACGGCTATTTTGGATGCAGGCTTGTCTCGCAGTGGCGAAGTAAATACATGCACATAAAATGCCATTGAGGTAAAGGTGGAAGATGCGTTTTTTTCACGGGTACACATAGGCAATCCAATTTACAGGCGAATTTACATCTGGCTACAGTGACATGGTGTTGATTCGGCATTTTGTTTGGCCTTGTAGTAAACTGCGCGGACACTTGACTCTCCGAATGTTGTACTTTCGCTCTGCAACATGACTTTCGGGTCACAGTAGTCGCATCCCAAATCTTCTGCGCGCTAATAAACATGTTCACCCATTCTGCTTGAAATTACTACAACTTCGATGAAGACTCAGGGTGCCAAAGTACTATTTAATCCTAACATGGCTGCTCTCGCCTATGAAAAAAATGGTAGGCTGATGCCTTGTAATGCATTTTTGAGGTACTCTATGTTAGCTTGTAACCGCTGGCCACTTATGATTGCATGTTTATTTGAAATTGGGGTGCAAATCGCACGATTTGTTGATAGGGGCTACCCTTGTAATTCAGTGATTTAACTGGTTTCTTATAAAAAACTACGACTAATGCATGATTGACTGAGTAGAGACAAGTAAATAAATTGTTTGGAGTCTCTACCTTTTCATCTACCTTACGCGCAACCAGACAGCGCTAAATTAAATAGCGTTGCATAATAAAACCACATACTTATATGGGTTTATGATAATCAATAGGTAGTTAAATCACGAAATGGTGACCAAACACCTCAACTACCCACTGGCGAAGGAGAGCACCCTTGGTCCAGATATCCGGGAATGATACCTGCTGGATGCAAGTCTATAGCACAAATCTCTTTGAATTTTGCTCTACTTTCTCAATACCGTGAATCAATCACATTTCGAATGCCTCCTTGGTAGCCTAAAGTGAGTGTAGAGAATCCCAGTCTTGGCGGCACATGCTCATTGGTCTCTCAGAATGCAGACAAATATTCCGGCTTAAATGATAATATGATAGTCTCTTAGGTCGTGGCAAGCTAGAATAGTACGAGGAAATGGTTACTAGCTTTTAAAAAAGCTAACAGGCCGTAAGTGCAGCTTACTCTCTCTGCAGAGCGAGAGTAATGTTCCGGAGACCTCAAGAGTATGCGCAGCTAGAAATACAGTTAAACCAAGTATTAAGTCAGGGCAGCATGGCAACGTATTTATACAACACATTCGATCGATTTAAGTCTGTAAAATCCCGAATGCGGAAATAATCGAAAATTAAGCTTGTTGGATATCGATGTGCAAACAACAAGTTAGTGCCTAAATATGATATCACTTTTAACCATAGGTTTCTTTTTCGTTTTATTTAGCTAATGCCTTGGCACGCGTATAATTGCACAGTCAATGCACGAAAATTGTGCAAGCTCTGTTTGTGATTGGTGGGAGTTTGACTTTGGTGTGCGTTAAGTGGTTTATACTGGTTGTTATTTCAAAGGAAAAGGAACATATATTAGACTTTCATTCCCAACTTTTTGGGGTAATAGCAACATTTGGTAGCTTTTGAGCTTATATTGAAAATGGATTGAATAGGGAATTGATGCTGTTCGTATAATTGTACAGAGCGACTTGCAGGCTGTTTTAATATCAAAACTAAAATAGAACACTCTCTTCTTTGCAGCGAGATATCCTTTCAAATTCCCACCTATAGACTCAAATTATCAAGACCGGAATGTTTCCCTTATTTGAAGGTACGGATAGTCAGATGCTGGTATTGCTCTCTTTCTTGTTTTTGTACCAGTAGGGGATACGTATATTCCGACTTTTCCGTTACCTTCCACTCATTATCCGTTATTTATCCAAATTTTTTTGTTGTTCTGTAAAAGTATTCCTTTCTGGTAGTCCGAATTGTCATCCGTCCCATCCTTATCTATATCTACCTTACTCTTCCCCCGTGTTACCGCCCCTTGTCATTATTTACCTTTTTAGAACAGGGACCTCAGGAAATCGACGACAGCTTTTATAGGTAAAATAAATTTTTCAAACACCTATGATCTTTTAGTCGCCAGCGATATGTAATTGGAGATGATGCTATGCGGCGTCTATCGGATTCCTGCGTTCTTATATGTGGTCTAGGTGGTGTTGGAGTTGAAATAGGTAAAACAGCTTTCGTCTTCTACATCTAATTTTCGTCCCTGTAGCAAAAAATCTTGTTCTTGCCGGTGTCAGGGAGTTGATCCTTGATGACTCCACTGTCTGTTCTGCTGAGGATTTAGCCAGTCAGTTCTACGTACACCCTGAGGATGTTGCACAAGGACGAACAAGGTGAATATTTCTTTTCGATTGAATTTTGACAGCATTTTAGAGCTGAAGCAAGCCAAAAACCTCTGGCGGCCCTTAATCCCTACGTTCATGTCAGTATTAAAACTCGTACTCAAGCTAATGAGGGCGTTGACATTGACCAGGAAATAAATACTCTTCCCGCGTGTAAAATTCATGTAGGTCTCTACCATTCTCGTTTCATTTATAGTGCATGGTAATCACTGATAGTCATCTCTTCCTTGCTGCTCTCCTCAACAACTATTGCCGGCAACATCATATCAAGGTGAGACTATTCTTTCGATGCTTGATTTTATTTCCTCCCCCTCTCAGTTTGTTTACGCAAACACGATTGGAACTTTTGGGAACGTCTTCTGCGACTTCGGTCCAAACATTAAGTTTAGCCCACCAGATGAAGAACCTCCTTCAACATTTTTCATCGAGAGCATAGAAAACGTAAGTCCACGGCCCATACCACCTGAACAGTGCTTAAATTGGTCGCAGTATTTGTGATGATTTTTTCTCAGGTCATAACGAATAGATTACGTTCGATTTCGATGTGCGATTACCAACCTTGTTTCCTACAGACTTGACTGCGAATTAGTGTGGTTACAACTCATTCTTGTACTTCGAGTGGCATACACTTAATTGCTTAATTTTGTTCAAATTTTAGGCAGAGAAGCCGAAGCTGGTAATTAGGGCATTCGAGCAGCATAAAATATCTGATGGCGGTTTCATAACTTTTAATGAAGTCACTGGTATGGTGGAGCTAAATGGCAAAGTTGTTCAAGTAAAGGGTAACTGAAGTTTTCTACTTGTAAATGCTATTTTTAAAAGAAATATCTCCTTGCGTCCTCGAACTGGATATCGACACATGCAATTTCGGAAAATTTACCGGGAACGGTCGAGCAACTGAGGTCAAGCAAGCTCCCGATGTTACTCACGTATGTGGATTCTCCTTTGAGAAAGACTATTGGACTCCCACTCCCCATAGTAAAGGCGATCATTGTCACTACTTTCTACCTTGTAGCTCCCTCTTGCGAAGCAACTTGAAGACCCCAAACTCTCCATCGTCGATCTCGTGAATCCCGATGTAAGTGGTGTACAGAATTCCTTTCAGAAAGAACAGGAATTAAGGCTTTTTCGTATATCTTTCTACACAATTGTAGTCAGCTGCTCAGATGCATGTGGCCTTCATAGCACTCATGGCGTTCATCTACACTAAGAAACAGCTTCCCAAAGCTTGGTAAGTCAAGGGTGGCGTGCAGCATAGTCGTTTAGACGCAACCGTTGACACAAACCATCTTTATTCCTGTGGCCTCACCATTTATTACCAATGGGATCTAGTAAATTTATGCCTCGTTTTAGGTCCAAAAAGGATGCAACATTATTTCTCAAATTGGCAGAGCGGTTTTGCCTCCGGAACATGAAAGTATGTGCTGTTTTCACCATCCTTAGCCTTCATAATCATTGCTTAATCTCGCGAATTTAATTATCTCAATAGACAAACTCCATGAGATCTCAGTGTAATTTTAAGTACTCTTTGCTAGTGTTCTGCAGCATCTGAGGTATTCCTGAAGCCTTTACAAGATGCAACTCTATTATGAATGATAGACTAGTAGCCTAGGTGGCATGAACGAGGTCCTGTGCTATAGATGTGGAGCCAAAATCGTAAGAGCCTTAACGGAGTTCTGCATTTGGTTTTACCAAGCAAGATGAATCGTATTCTGTTACGTGACCTCGGTCTTCTTTTGAGCGTTTTTCGTAGTAAAACCTGTAGTCAGTCCTCTGCTTTGATCGTTATGAAGCAGGAAAGGTGGTATGAGGAATTGCATTTTCTTAATGGAGAGACGTTTCTCGAAATCGTGTGGGATTAATGTATGCCGTATGCTCAGTTAGGCAAACTCCGTTTTGGAGGGTTGTGTCTGGGCAGTAGTCAACCGTAGTTTGTAGGAATATTCGCTTAAGACCAATGTCATTTTGTAATGCATGTAGAATGTCATCTCTGAGATACATCCTATTTACTCTTTACTGGTTACAAAATCGACGCGGTTCTAGTAGCCTTTCCATTATACCCAGCCACAACTTCGGCCATCGACTGCTAGTGTGATGTTTTGGCCCAGTATACAGCTGGTAAAAAGAGAGTTGGGTCGCCAATACTGCTACTGATATAGCGCTCGAGTTATCTTTGAGGGCTTTAAAGCGTTAAAACCCGAAAGCGCCTTTGTTCTCAGCGTACAAAAGAATTGGAATATTACCAGCAAAGGAGGCATTGTCCCTGTCTTGATGGTCATCCCATGGTGTTTTGCTCTACTCATTACTTATTCCTCCACACTATAACTCTCGCTTTTATTCTCATTCAGCATACATGTGTTTGTCCTTTTTTCGAGATTGACACTACTCTTCTGGAACGAATTTGTTTCACCTCTCGGGGCCAACTGCCTCCCCTCTGCTCATTTTTCGGTGGTGTAGCTGCACAAGAAGTCATAAAAGCAGTAACTTGTCGATTTACACCTCTCAATCAATGGGTAAGTTCAATTTCTCCCTGCACTATAGTCGTTCCCTCTCTGCATCAGAATTTCTTCTATTACTGCTTCTGCAGATGTATTTCGGTGCCGACTCTGTGATACCTTCGGAAATTCCAAGAAACTCAGGACTTTCTGTAGAGTAAGCTTGTGCGAATTGGCTTACTTGTAGAATGCAATGTGTCCTATTTCTTGCATTTCCCAGAATTTCACATCATAAGGGCATGCCCCATTTGCACACGTATCTGTTGCAAACTAACGCTCCCATGTTTATGTTATGAGGCACGTATCTGGAGTCGGCTTCATTACCCACGTACAGGGACCTGCCAGACTAGTAGTATGGACGTTGTAAATAGAGTCCCAATTACTTGAGATTAAAAAGACCCGCGTAACTATGCGTCTCGTGGATAAGGGTCTACCAGTCACTTCCCATTTGCGAGCTCCATTGTAGGGATCCGCTTTTTGCGCTTGTTGCACGAATGAAGCGCTATTCACTGGTGACAGAAAATATTCAGTTAACCATACTTTTACCTGAAACAAATTTTTTCGCTCATGTATATTTGTAGGTGAGTCAGCACACTTGTACAGTTGTGCGGTTCCATAAAGGTTAACAATTACTGTGCCTTCCTTGACTAACATTGAATTACCATTACATGGATTCACATAACTGCCCTGCTGATGATCTTTTTGTGTTTTTTTAACGCCACCTGCGTTCTCTTGTCGGTGAATTTGCAAGGAAGTTGGAAATTGACTTTGATGCGCATCTTCTCATCTTTTAGGCCTCGTTATCGTCCCCTAGTCAGATGCATTGGACCGCAGAACATGCGGAAAGTCGCCATGGCTAGCACTTTCATGGTAGTTTTGAATTTTGTATTTTGTGTTTGCATTCTAAATATGCATCGTAAATTCGCATTTTGTAGCCTTTTTATATTTCTATTAAAAAAACTAATCAAAACTTTCCACAGTTCCAGTTTTTATTGAAAAAATGGCCCCACTTACTCACTGAAATGGACTTTTCTGCTTCCTTAAAGGTCGGCTGTGGTGCGATTGGCTGTGAATTACTGAAGAACCTAGCTCTTCTGGGTCTCGCCAGTGGCGCCCCCCAGGCTGCTGCAGCCGAACTCTCCAGCAATCTCTCGAATTCCGCTACCTCCCCATCTCCCGACGACGAGACATCCGCTATATCTTCTGAGATTGTTGAAGACGATGATAATGAAGAGCTTATGCCGCTGATTATTCGTGATTTTCACCACATGGTCATAGAGTTGAGTCACCTGGGCATGGAACTGGGTGTCTTCCGCCCCTATCAACTAGATCATGGTGATACCTTTCCGGTGGCCGACGGGGACCTTCAATCGACGCCGGTGGCTTCATTGGAGATGCCGACTATGGGCACTACACACTCACCCTCCGCAACACGTGGCACGATGACGGCGCTACTGACGGACGCATCGACGGGAGCGGTGACTGCTCTCGCCGGGCCACAGGGCGAATCGGCAACTGAATTGCCAGAGGATGAGAATTTTGCCCCTCTTGGCTCCCCCGCCACTAGTTCGTCGACCAGTTTTTATCGAATTGATGAGAGAGGCAAGTCGTTACACGTATTTTTTTATCTCGATTTCTTTCCGAGGTCACTGTGGGTAGTATGCGTTAGGAATGCGATTTAATGTGATTATACAAAAGAGCTGGAAGGCTAACAGCATGAGTACCTTGGGCAAGGCTTCATGTCACTAGCGCTGAGGCCGAATCGCAGGACTGCACAGGTTTGTGTAGTCAAACGTACAACCATAGTAAATGCTACTATCCAGCCCTTGTTTTGCTTTCATTGTCTTTTCTGGTATCTCTAAAGGTGTTTTAAGCCTTACACTTGTGACAGTTGGTTCACTTTAAAGGAATAGGGCCAGGTGTCTACCAGCATCGATGGTATGAGCAGTTTGTTGCCACCATCTCGGATGCCAAATCACAAGGAGCTGGAGGGGCCACACGGCTAAATATGCAATTGAAATAAATATAACTCTTCTGGATGACCTCCGTTTTGCTTTGGGCTCCGTACTCGGTGCTCTCCGTGACAATTCTGCTTCAGCCGCCATAAATCTTCCAATGGTTTTAATTGATCGCAAGTCAGGATAATACAATGGCAGCGGGGTTTCGTTTATCATTAGTGTTGGTGCATTGTTGATATAGATGTTTCAAAATCTCATGTCCCCCACCAGATGAGCTGTATGAAGAGATTCATTTAATTGATAACGCTAGGGATTGGACCAGTTTCTATAGTGAGTATATTTCCTGTATCAATCGCTTCTCGTTGGAGTGTTTACCAGACAGGAACGCAAGGGTTTTTGTCGTTGCTTTATAGCATGGTTGTATGTCGTTGATATGTATGGGGTGGAAGCCGAATAGCAAAGGCTAATAAGATCAGCTTTATGCTCTTTACAGTGCTTAAATTATCTTTATCATCACAATCGAAGTAAGGTCATTTTAAATATCCTCCTCTGGTGTAGCTTTTGCGTAGATGTGTTATTATTGTTTCTGATATGAATTTGGAGAAAAGCATTTGTTCTTTTTTATAGAACTTTTGAGGCTACCAATGATAACACGGGTAAGCTTGTATTTTACTACCTTAAATTCTATTTTTGTGACGATTTTATCAACCCGATTGAGTCTTTATTTAAGTGTTGGATTCATTAAGACCGTAGCTTGAAAATTCCGAGGGGTGTTCAAGTTAGTTATGACTTTTGAGTTCATTAAAGGAAGGATAGGAACACGTTCCAAGGAACAGGACTGCAGTTATTTCACTTCTTTGCCTCCTGTTTCATTTAATCGCTTATCCTAGTAGCTTTTAGCTAATACCTGGGACGCTTCGACATGGAAAGGCTTATTGGACTGATTGAAGGTTCTCGGAACAGCCTGTTTCATGTAATCGCTCCTGTTACTAAACTTGCGCTCACTTTTTTAAATGGGAAATGGCATCGAAATGGGTAGAATTTGGATTTGACTGGCTAATATTAATGGGACGCATTTGCCATTTACTGCTATAGTACTGCTACAGTAGTACATCCCGGTTTGGCTTGAATGCCTCTCGTATTCCCGTTCTCAGTATATTTTCATTACTGACCCATTATTTTGTTAATTTTGCGCACCCAAGGTGAGCTCTCAAAGTGACTACGACGCAGATGTGGAATCTATGGCCCAACAGACTTTCTCTTGTCCTCAACCGACCATCACCACTGCCACAGTCGCTACTAACACTGATGCTAATACTAACGCGAATACCTGTGACGGTCCCTGCATCACTATAACTGATATGGATCACATCGAGAAGTCCAATCTGAATCGGCAGTTTCTTTTCCATTCTGAGCACGTCGGTCTGGCCAAAAGCACCGTCGCCGCTGCATCCATCCGACAAATTAACCCCGCTCTTAAAGTTGTTGCCCTGCAAGAAAAATGTACACATGCACACCTCCTCACACTTAGTCAGTAGCTTCAGTAATTTGCAGTTTGAAAATTATTTCTTCCCTTTATTTAGTGGATTCCAACACGGAGGGAGGAGTTTTCACCGACGACTTTCTGCAGATAGCAGCATCAGGAAAGGACAAATCCGGTCCACCAATAGTGCTGGCAGCACTAGATAACATTAAAGGGCGACGTTATTTAGACACTCGCTGTGTAGCCAACCGACTGGCGATGTTTGATTCGGGTACTCAGGGTACAAAGGGTCACACCCAAGTGATCCTCCCTGGGATTACCGAGTCCTACTCAAGCCAGAAGGATCCCCCGGAGGAGGAGGGAGCCAGTGATGTCGTCCCATACTGCACGCTGAAGTCTTTTCCCGCCAAAGCATCCGACTGTGTTGAATGGGCGAGGGAGAAGGTGATCTGTGCTTTCTGTTTTTACATATGTAATGTGCATATATATTTTGTGCGTAGTTTGTCATTCCACTTCAAGTCAAGCGACGACACTGTGCGTTCTGCGAATGGGTGCATCCTCCGCGTATTGAGTGTGACAAATCACGCTTCTACTGAGTAATTCGTTGGTGGATATTTAAGTTAGTCCTCCCTTTGACAGTATCACGCTCCGAGGCAAATGTGATTTCCGTTAAGTCTGACGGCAGTACGCAAGCAAATATGCATTGCCTCCTGCGTATTGTTACTTTTTTTGGCCCATATACTGTAGAATGCACCGCCTCGTGTGTGGCAAATAAATTAACCCCTCAGAAGTGTACGATAGATGTCTTACTTTAAATAAATGCATAGTTTAGTTTCACTGACCTTGGCGCTAGAATAATCATGACGCAGGCTATCAGCTCTTTTTTGTAGTGATTCGAACAAGAATTAGCAGTCGCACTTTGAGTGTTCAAAGAAGACAACTAAATGAATAATTCGTTTCATTGCTTCACATGCCACTGGGCGGATGTGTCACAATGTCCCTTCTGATACTTTGGCAATGTTATGAGCCTCTAAAGGGTGTGTGAAATGGAATGTATGTTTGTGCCACTGCGCCATGAAATTGTGTCTCGTGGTACAGGATAACATTTTCGGGTCTCTAGTTTGCGGACTCTGGTCTTGGTGGCACCGTTTTTTGTAGATTATTCCTCTCCCTCACTAGTGACCTTTGTTCAATCCTATTTTTGAAGGAGGTTGATTGGGTTCTTTTGAGTATCACTGTTACCTCTATAACCTTTCTAAGTCTGGCCATTCCCAGTTTCTTTTTACTAAACTTACTCTCCTCTCTTAGTTTTTTACACAGTTCACCCTCAAACCACAGGGGATGGATCGGTTCTTGAGGGCCTTCGGGTATTCCTGCAAGGAGCTGCGAGACGCACTTCAGACCATATTGGCAAAGGGCCCTTCCGATTGGTGGCCTAATGATGCTACCCCGAGAAATGTCTTCCTCAGATGCCTCAATATGCCTCAATTGACCTTTTTCAACAGCCGACCTCGCACATGGAAGGAGTGTATTTGTTTGGGACGCGAGAAGTTTGAAAAATATTTTACTCATAAGGTTTGTCCCCATGGCAATCATTCACCCGCCCATTCATCTGTCCCATCACTTCTCTGCCTCTCTCACCGAATGCTTGCATTCTTTTCTTCTTCATTTACAGGCCTTGCATTTGCTTTACAAGTTCCCAGCGGACAAAGTACTTGAAGGGGGAGGTGCGTGCATTCTCTTTTTGGCATAATCATACTGGTAATCTTCTACTGATCTGATTTTGTACATTACTCCATTTCAGAGCCCTTCTGGCAGCTACCACGCCGCAAGCCCCGGCCGCTTACCTTTGACGTGTCAAATAAGCTGTAAGTAGTGCTGAGGCGGCAGCGGTTTATTTGCTTGAGTATCCCCCATTCACCTCAAGAAGGTATCGCGCATCGGAATTTCGCCCTAGGCTCATTACCTATAGAGGAAGTTTGGTCTTCGTTACGCATTTACACGCCATCTGCATGAATCAGGTGCTTTGTTTGCGTTACCTCAATACCTATTAACTCGTAGACTTCGTATTATACTGGTAATCACCTATTGCGCCGGTCATGCCTTTGTAGGAAATCGCAGGGTCTAATTATAGCGGGGCTTCGAGGCATCGTTTTCTAGTTTTTTGTGCATGGCAATTGTCGGGATCCATCCTCATATCTGGGCGAACAGGCGGAATATAAAGGAGGTTTGTCTTCCACAAATGCATCTGTCTCCTTCCATCTCTTCCCTCGAGGATGGATAGAGGAGAGGGGGTTAGCTCAATCCAGTATTTCGTTGATTGTCACTTACCTGACTCTTTTCAGACAGGTACTTTGTAGCTTGGCTAAACAACGCGGTAGTTACAATCAGATCCGTTTTACTGACTCTATGGGACACAAAAAGTTATCACCCAGAGATGAGCAAGACTGATAAGTGAAAAAAAAAATGATCTTTTGTCTGGTGAAAACATATTATAAAACTCGGTTGTTGGCATGCTTTATTTCAATTGTCACTATCGCAGGGCTCGCATTCATTCCTATTTTTTGGAGGATGGGCAGAAGGAATGGGAGAGGTGAAACGCATGTGTCTGCAGCAACCGATGTTTAAAATCCCATTGAAGAGAAAGTATTACTTACGGGCCTAACGCCAGAACATTCTCATTCCAAATCTCTCTCTCAGTTTTCACTCTGTCTGCTGAGTCTACCAATTGCCCGTTTTAAGTATTGAAGACGCTACCCCATACAGACGTTAATTCGTCTCTTCAGCCGTGCCAAAATTCTTTGGGTTGTCTTGAACACACACAGTTTTATCGTCTCATAAGAATTTTAAAGTATTTCAAAAAAACGAATTCTTTTTACTGGCAGAGTGGAATTTTGTATTCTTGCGAAAACGAAGTCTTTTGAGCTTTATTAATGGCTGACATCTATGTGACAAATTTATCCCAGGCCTCCCTCCTAACACTAGTGCTTAGTTAGTGTCAATACTGCCTGGCCACTGTTAAAAGTATACTGCGGTATCCACTGTAGGAAATCCGTCAATTTTTGAGGAGACCAGTGAGTTTATCAGGGAGGAGATAGAAATATTACAAGGAGTAACACTCCACTTTGCCTCCTCGTTCATTCTTATGCCTATCACAGCAGCTTTCAAAGAACACCTGGGAAACTTCGACACCGAAGGACTTATCAGACCTATTGAAGGTTCCTGGGACAGTCTGCTTCACCTAATCATTCTTACTACTCGACTTGCGCTCACCTTCCGAAATTGCTTGTATTCGTGCGCGATTATGTGCACTGTTTCCACAAATAGCCATGAACATCTATGTTCAGCTTACTTTCACTAGCTCACTCAGAAAATGACTGGACTAAGCTGATAATGTAGGCCATTACTATTACTTCGTGGTGCAACTGCATCAACATCTCTTTTTGGGGCTGTAAGATTAAAAGTCCCAGTTTGGCTTGAATGTTTCTCATAGCAAAAGAATCAGCTCGTTCCACGTTTCCCTAGCTCTCATCTTAGTGCTTTTTCGGCTCTATATTTTATACAAATTTTAGTTTATTAAGTCTTTTTAGGGCGTATCCCAGAATTCAGTTGCTACTGCTGTTTTTTGTCACCGCCATTGTTTTTCATTTGTATTGTAATGTAAGAGCGGTGTCCTAAATGCAAAAGGGAAAAGTTTAGTATATTTGAATTAATTACTTGATTCCCTTTTGAAATACAGACACGTTGATTTCGTGTGGTCCTTTGCTCGCTTGCTCGGCAAGCAAGCGGGTATTCACATCCCCTCAATAAGTGTACCAGCAATGGCGGCTTCTTTTGTCAAAGAGGCCCTGATGGACTTCACCCCGAAACCCTACGTTCCGTCGGACAAAGAGGTGATTGTGGACACCTCGGTGAGCAGACCAACGCCGCTAGATGGCCCCTCTTCGTGCCCAACTGCCGATGACGAATTCCATGCCCAGTTGGAGATTGCAATTGCTCGGCTGAGCGATCCTGACTGTACGTTCAGTGATGTTTCTCTCTTATTTATCTTCAGAGGGTTATGTGTGACCTTCGAGTATTTTCTCAATCCCCTGCTTTCTGTCGCTTTTTTAGACGATTTTTTGGGTGTAAAGGTAAAACTGTTTTTCGTATTGCTCACTGGGCTCAAGGGTAGTGACACTACCTTTGGTTTCCTCCTTTTCTCATTCACTTAAATATCGTCCTGATGAGTTTTTGCTTTTGCGGTTGTAGTGTGCGTGTCTGTTTTTGATTATCACTTAACTTCTGCGATTTTTGTCTTAGTTTTCCTCCTTAAAGCACTCAAGATAACATCGTCATGGTTCTTTAGACGGAAAACACTCAACTTTTTTACTAAAATGTTATCAAGTACGTAAACGTAGATTTGTATTGCCATGATGAATATGAGGTCATTTGAGTCAACGTTTTGTCTGTTCAGATTACCATGAAATTTGCACCAGGAAATAAACGATGGTGTTTCTTTGGCAAACTTATGCCTGCTGATCTACTTAACATTGGGTTGCTGTTTTTGTATCTGTTGGTATCTATCGTGATGAAACCACTTACTGTTATCCGGGCTTTTTGAATGCCCAAAAATCACAATCAGGTCTGTTCGTAGGAATCCTAGAAACGTCACTTTGACGAACATGGAGTTGTGAGTTTATCCTTTTTGTGTGTCGACTGTATCCAAAAATTCAAATGCGGAATGTATTGGATGCCATATTTCGTTCTGTTAAGCTGGTGTTTGATTCGCACCATAATTATTTTGCCATCTTAAATTGGAAAACCCATATTTTTACCCATTCCCTGGATCTCTTAAATGAAAAACTTTGCTCAAATCCTATTAACTACGTGAGTGGGGCTTCACATTTATTCTAATGAATTTTGTGCTTGGTGAGAACGGGGTTGTATGATCTGGTTTCTTGCTTGGCTAGAATATTGCAAAATTTACACCCCAAATTTGTCAAAAATGTTTTGCCGAATAATTCTCGTTGATTTTTTTTTAAGTTTTAGTCGTTTTTTCGGTCAGGCATCATGGAATCATTTTGTTTCTTCAGACAGAAAAGCGACCACTCTTTTTCCCTTGGTAATCCAGCCAAAGACCCCATTTTTACTGATAAATGCTGATTTCGCTGTACTTCACGGTCTAACTTTTAAGATCATCCTCTAAGGCGACACCGACCTTACAGTATTGTTGTTTTTCCTTTCCATATGAAAAAGGAAAAAAGGAGAGAGGTGGCGAAGGCGGAAGGGAGGCTGAGTGGTCATCCAACCTTTGAGCCTCACCGTTTGCATGTGCATTTTTGTGTGTTAACTCACAGGCAGTGGGAAAAGAATGGGCAAATTCAATTTGCATGGTGTACTGGTGTTTACATACCACTTTAATGCAGTCTGGCCAATCCTCAGCTTTAGAAGCAGAGGAAACGAGATGGCTAGCACCTTCCACCCACTCATTTTTTCCTAGGAGGTCTAATTGCTCCTTCTTGACTTGTTTTGCCTTCTCAAGCTTCAGCTCTTGCCTTGTGGCATTTAAGAGGCACTCAAAGAGTAACTCAATTGTGCTTTGTGCGTTGGTTTTGTTTTGGTCTCAAAATTAGAAACAGTGATGCAAATTGGAATGTACGTGCACTCACTTTCTCATTCCTCCATCTACTTGGCAAAAATAACTCGCTAGTCGCTGTAATTATTCCAAGCATTTGACGCAATTGCACACAACTAAACGCGACTCCAACTGGAGCGTTTTTAGATTGGCTAGCGATTCCGTCTTTTTGAGGAGGCGCCAGGTCTCTCGATCGACATTGCGGTGTTGGAAGAAATACTTCATATGCTCAGTAAGTATCAGCGGTTCATTCACAAATGAGGTGTATGAGGTGTACATGGAATCCGTTGACGTAGGGAAAGTTATCAGAATAATCGGATAGTCCTGAAACAGTCTACCTCGGTTAATTGTTATTAATACCCAACCTGTGCTCACTTTTTGAAGTCGTAAATGTTCATGTACATTTAATGTTCATCGTTTTCACACCACGATGAGGCGTTCTTGGTTAAGCAATCATTCCAAATATCGGCAAAATATTCGCTGTAATGACTGTTGTGGGCTATGCTTACTTTCACTAGCCCATTCGTTTTACCTGCTGCAAAGGAAAACGGTTTGTCTTTGCACTGTCGACAAGGGATGAAACGTGCCTAATTTCTCGCCTTGTGTTTGCATGCCTCAGTTCCTTGTTGCTATCTTTTCTGACAGTTGAGTGATTTCATGAAAGAAAATATATGATCACCTTTTTCTTGCTCGTTGCACGAGTCTCCTGCCTGTTAGGTGGCTGTCTCATGTCTCCTTTTCCGGTGGAGAATTGAAATTCGGTGCTTTGACAGCGTCGGCACTTGAGCATTTGGTGATGAATACCAAAACTCAAAATTAAGGTTGGGTGGGGGGGACCTATTTTTAGCTCACTGGTGATGGTGACAAGACACTTATTTTTCTACTGAGTACGATTCGCTTTTACCTGCTCTCTTCTGCTCTGCTGCAGTCTGTATGGATGCCATGAGACCTCTTCCATTAGTCGTGAGTAATTTCCCCATTTGGGGAAAATAAGCAAGACCTTGGTGGTCGGCACAAGAGCAAACGTAAATTCTTTGGACGGCTATGATTCATAATTTGCTGCCTAAGTGGAACGTGTGCGTAGCATTTAACCAGCCGCTTACGCAGGAGAGGTTCATTTTTTCATGCCCCGCATTGGCTTTCACTTCCATCTTTTCCCAGCAAAGCATGGAAACCTTAAGTTACGAAAGGGTTTCTTGTCTTAGTTATCCACTCCATGGTAAAATTTGTTTGGTACTTCTAGTGTCAAGAATTGTTTTTTTCTAAAGATTCATTACATAATTTGGAAATTAAGTCCTGGTGTGAAATGATAATTTGTTTTCTTGGGAGCATTTAGGAGGAACGATGCAATAAAATTCTACTGTTTTGTAACTGTAAAGCACGTTGATTAGACCGACTTCATACTGATTAACTGTTGTATTCGGCATGGCAGGTACTGGAAAGTGGTAGACTTTATACAGAACTTTCAGTTAGTCAACTTAGGTGTTTATTTGTTGTATTTTGTGCCACTGTAGGATGTAATTCGGAATGATAATGTATTACTTTAGAGTTGTCTTCATGAAAGGATTGGTAATATTATCAAGCACTAGCAAACGCCCTTTTCTTGAAAGCGGGCTTGTTGTGTGAATATCCATTGCCCTCTTCCAACCTCAATCATCATGAAATTTTACCGGCAAAATGTAATTTTGGGATGCTAATTACAAGTTGACAAGCCTGGTTGGTTGAATGGGGCATGGGTAGGTAAAGTTGGCTAGTCTGTTTTTTTGAGCTTAGAAGCCTCTAGACCGTCCCGCACATTTATTTTCGTCTCAATCGTACGTGAGCAACTCCCCCCGGGCGCAGTACTCACGTGCTCATTGACAATGGATGCTATTGTCTTGTCTGCTTCATACTGTTTGTTTTGCATTGGTTCAATGTTACCATTACTGTCCTGCAACTCAACCAATTCACGTTTGAAGGGGTATTGAAAGTCCCTCAAGCTTCATACCCCATTGTATTCATTTCGTGACATGAAATACTTAATTAAAGGTATTGTATTTGTTTATTATTTATGGGGCTGAGATGGGTGAATGCCTTGTTTGCATTTAACGAATGGCTGCCTCCCTGCCTTCTTCTCTTCTTTGTCCAAAGTAAGCTATCTTGCTTGTGCAGCAGACTGTGGCATTATTGCTACACAAGCAACATTGAGGACGACGCACGCTGCTGTTACATAACCAGTGATTGAGAGATCCAATTTTTTTCTTTGTCCTCCTATCGAAAAAAAGGACTAAAGTTTTGGCTAAATGTCGATAGCAATTCACACCAGATGATTTTGCTCCGTGTATTACCTTTGGAGGCAAAGTAGTTACGCAGCACCCTGTGCCTGCCTGTAGTCAGTCGAGTTGGCGGCCACTTTTCGCAGACATTTTTTTGCCCTTTAATCTCTCAATTCAGACACAAAAGTGACATCAATTTGCAAAACACAATGTGCGGGGATTGTGTTTAATTCTACAGGAAAAATTCCAAGTAGTCGGGTATTAATTGTTATCATCGTTTCAGCATGCCATACTCAAAACCCATTAACGCGCTTTAATTTTGTGTCTTATTACGTTTTTTGTGTTCAGGTCGACTCACCTGTCAGTCCATTGAGTTCGACAAAGATAATGAGAAAGATGGTCACATTGACTTCATTGCTGCAGCTACAGTGAGTTTTTAGTTTTCGTGCCCATGTTTTTTTTAAATTTTATCTTAAAAATTGCCTGTAAACAACTCAAAGTTACCATGACAGTCCGCTCAAAGTATTTACAATGATGGATAATCCAATCGCTCTTTCCTACCATCCCCACTTAATTCATCTCGAATCATTAGACTGGCCAATTGTAATACTGCGTTTTCATCAAAATTAAAAGCTACTTTTTGCATACTTTACGCTTAAACGGTCGAGCTATATCTGTTTAAAACGAACCACATGGGTGGTTTTCAAACCACCACCCGCAGTTTAAGGCAAGCTTACTAAGAACGGCAGTGATTGTTTCGCCCCCCACCATTATCGTCTAGAACCTCCGAGCTGCGATGTATGGACTACCAGAGACGGGGAGGTACGAGGTGAAAAGGATTGCTGGTCGCATTATTCCTGCAATAGCCACGACCACGGCCGCTGTGGCCGGTCTAGTTAGTCTAGAGGTGTTGAAGTACATTTGTTTCAGCGGAACTTCCTCAGAGACAGAATGCCTTACCAGCCACTCGAGGAACAATTTTGTTAATCTATCTCTCCCCTCTGTTATCTCCGTTTTGCCTGGCCTCTATGTTGCCAAAAATCTCCCCAACAACACGCATTTTACGGTCTGGGATCGATGGGAGATGAAGTTGCCCACCAAGAAGTCTACCTTGAAGGAGTTTATTGATTTAGTAGAGGTGAGTATCGTAATTTAAAAGTTCTTAAAGGCAGGGGGTGCTAAAAACATTCCAGGTTAAGGCTGCTTGAGGATAAAAAATCCGGACAGATTACATAGAACTTCTCTCCTGTACAATAGCTGGCATCTGCATGGAATAGGTGATTATTCTGCGCGTTATTTTCCCTTTTTCAGTTGAAATACGGGCTCAATGTCTCCCTGATCACGCAGAACTGCCGCCCCATCTACATGACACTCCTACCGAACTTTGAGTGCAACCTCCGTAAACCGTAAGTTTTTCAGGTGCTGTATTAACACTCCAACATACACGGTTACTAATTAACTGGGATGGAACAGGCTGGCTCGAGCTTTCATTCAGAGTCGCAAATTCATTTCGATTTTAGCCACAGTATTTGATGTATAGTGCCCATCTCCTTTGAGGCATAAATTGTTCAAAGTGGACCTCCTATATGCCTTGCTTGAAATATAATGGAATAGAAACAATCGCGACCTAGGGGAAAGTATGCTGGACTGGTGGAGCCCACTTAATCCTAAGGCTTTTGGAGGGAAAGGTAAATTTAATGTAAGAGGGGGAAATAAAGGCGATATTCGAATGGCAAATAATTGGAAGTTCCTGGGTTACAAAATTTCTGTCCAAGTTTTCACTACGAAGGGTTTGAAAGGTTTTGGCTTGAAGTTAGTTAATCTTACCTCCCCGTTAATTTGTTTGCTATCAGCATCTCACCTAAGCTTGGCGTTACAAATATGTGACACCTGGTAACCGATTGCCTCTAATTGTGTCACAAACGGGTGAATTGTCTTTTGGAACAATAAGACATCTGGACTGTGGTGGTCGGCCCTTCCCCGAGGCGCCCTTGCAGCGAACACGCTAAGTCTGGGTTGAATCCCTCGAAGTAGTCATAATTCTTTAAACAAATTTTCTTTAAAAGTTTGCTTTTACTTTTGAATTGTTTGTGCTTAAAGCACGAAATCTGCCATTATACGCCTTTGCTTTTTAATTCTGATCTCACCACGCAAATCTCCTCTTATATTTGGGATTTTTCACAGTCCAAAAAGTCTGTTTTTTCTGTAAAAAATATGAGGCTACTGCCATTGAGATAACATCAGTGATCAGGCCGCAACCACAACTACAAATCGTTCCTACTGCAACCTTCAAAGGTCCGCGAATAGGAATAATTGCTCTGTTGGCCCTCTGATAGCAACCATTACGGAGTGATTTCCAGGGATGTAAGCGTGCTCCACCGAACGCAGCGTTTTGATACGAGTGTTTTTCGAATACGCTTAGTCGTACCAAAACTTGTAAACAATACCGGGTGATCATTCGCTTTGTACGTGATGATATTTCGTGGCCTTACATAAAATTGTTTGGTTTGTATTCTAGAATGCTTTCATTACTCACATACACACCAAAGGATACTTACGTCGATTTGGTCATCGTCTACGAAGGCAAGGGTGATGACGATGATGATGTTGAAGGCCCTCCATTCCGTTTGATACTTCCAACCGATTAGTGGTGTAGCAGTGATCTTTTATTTGGTAGAACGTTCTCGTAATGCTCTCTTTGTGTTTGAGTTCAAAAGACGTGTATTCCTTTTTTTTAGTTATTAATACAAATTCTCATAACTGGCTTTTGCTTCACAAATCATCCGTGAATCAAGTGTAGTGTTTATTACGCCTACGCGAAACATCTGCATTCATCTCCAGGATATTTCTCCAGGGCGTTGGTATCGAATTCCTACATACTATTCCTCCCAAAACATTTTCTTCAGGCACTTTGAGGTAGACAATGGCCCTCTGGGTCAACAATTAGCCAGGTAGTTGGTTTTATCAGTTTACACTACGGCTCGTACTAGGGTGAATCTCAATTTTCTGCGTTTTGGTAGAGAATAAATTCAAGAAACTCCTACATTATGCTTGGTTGGGTAACTACTTCAACTATCTTTCGGTTTATTCAGGCCATAAATAATAAATAATAGCATCTTCCCAGGGGATTGCCTTCAAGTTTATGCAGGAAGTATTGGAGATAAATTGGAGAAAAAAGGTGTATTCGATAATTCTCAGCAACCTGCTGACCGCTTGATAAGTGGTCCTAGGACATTTAGTGTGCACTGGATGCCCCAAAAGTACTGAATCTAGCAGTTACTTTTGCAGTGGCAGAGGAAGAATTGCAGATTGAATGTTGGAATGGTGAACCTGAGGAGCAATGCCAAGTCATTTATTCAAGAAGCACCTTGGAGCTTTACCAATTAACTACTTTTGAATCCTTTATTGCCGTAAACGCCCGACTATCCGCGGTAAGGGACGAGTTCATAAGTCGTTAATTGCCTTGAGTGGACTTGAGAGGCAAAAAGTGACCAGCTCAGGTCGCTCGAAGTTCGTAGTTGGTAGTTCCTTGGGGTTTTGTCGTAGCACCTTGGCAAAGATGGTATTTAAGTCATTGTTTTTGACATTTTGTTTAGGTGCCCTTCAAGACGAAAAAGCAGCAAAGCTACAATTGATTCTCCCATCGTGTAATTTTACGGCTCCTAGTGATTTCGGTGTTACGTTTCTTCAAATTCTGACTTCACTCCAGGTAAATTCCTTGTGATCAGTGGGAAGGGAGGAGAAGCGCTAAATAATTAAACTAAAGCGCAAGAAACAGTGCTTGGATCCTCTTTTGTCAGAGTCCCTTGGTCTCCAGTGTGCCATAAATCATGAATAAGTTTCTCCATGGGTAATCCAAAACACCTACTTGGCACGGCAGATGCCAAAACCCGCCAACTTGCCATACACTTCAGACAGGGCTGGAAACAAGTCTGGCTTATTTGGATAAATAATGCAGCCCCAGATTGAAAGTGGATGAAGTGGACATTAATTCATGGAAATATAAGGGAAGTCTACCCTATTTGCCCTCTACAGATTTGATAATCGCTAATTCAAGAAGAGATTATCAGTTGAAAACACCTAATAATGCATCCTGCCTAGCTTGGCAATGATAATGTGATTCTGGGTGCCAAGACTTAATAATGGTGTCCTGTAGAGCGAATAGCATTTGTAAATGCTGTCATTAGTTTTCAATTTGGTGATTATTTACCAAACAAAGTTTTAACGGAAATAAATAATAGAAAGAAAGGCTACTTGTGGTTTTTTTATCCGCAGTGATGGCAAAATGTACTCCAACAAAACTGGTGCCATTCAGTGGAAAAAGTCTCTGCCCCATATGTCCGGTGCTTTGGGTGTGGTTCATAGACGATCGCTGGGTGTATTTTGTATACGAGTAGGTTTTGCAGCAATTGATCAGATGGACGGTATCTCCGGTTTACCGGGACGTCTATCCTTCCTAGAGGAAGCTGGTATGGAGAGCTGATAATTATGTTGCTTCGAATACTGAAATCGCCGTAAAATCCCCTAGATAATAAACCGATACCAATGGCGGGAAACTAAGGCGGTCTCCATTCCTTGTGACGGACACGACCTTGAGGAGGGAGGGTACCCTAGTTCAATTCGTCTACTTGTTTCAAGGGTATGCAGACTGAGGTGGGGGGGAAACACTGTGCGCATTACAGCCTTGTTTCCTAGATTTATCACAGTGTTTGAGATCCTCACTACTAATTCAACATCCGCCTTTAAAGTTCTTCCTTTATGCACAATTCACTCATGGTACTGAGAGGATAGAAAGTTTATCTCATTGATGTTTCCTCTATAAATATCGTTACATTTAGTCACGAAAGTGGTCTCCTTTTCGAGTTCTCAGCTCAGGGTACTGAAACAGTGCCGACAAATGAATCTCCCATAAGTTAGATTTTAGCATCTAGTTTGTAGTAACTGCAACCGTAAAGAACTTTTTTATCCTACCGATAGGTTTCCTTCAACTTGCCAAATTGATCTGAAAGAAATGCCGTTTGCTTTGCAAGGTATCAAGGTCTATTCAACGTGCACTACCGTAGTTTGGAGTAGCATCGATATTAATCTCATCTTCTAGACTTCGGAAATCCATCGTAAAACTGGTAATGATAACATTATCTTTGAGAGAAATGACAGACTGAACTCAAGACATGAGCGGTTAGCACACTCGAGTTTCGTGACCGAGCGGACACCACTGACCCCTGGGGAGGAAACTAGCTTCAACCCTAGATAGCCCCAACTTCCTGCACGCGTTGACAGTACTTATCCAACAAAAGACGACCTCCTGTAACCAAATCACTCCTTTTGAGGCTGTGGAAGCAAACGTGGAAAAGGGAAACGCTGAACCCACTGCACATATATACACCTAACAAGATGAGTGAGTGACTCTATTGCAGTCCGCTTAAATCCCTTTCGCCATGTTTTGAAGTATTCTAAACTATCGAGTGCCTCGACGAATTGTACTTGAATTTTCAGCTAAAGCGCAATCTTAACATCAGACGTTCTGAAGAGGGTAAAACGATGTTCCTCATGAAATCTATGTATGTCAGTTCCTCATATTCGACATTTCCTTTATCTAAGACAGAATGTGCCGATCATTCAAACGAATCGGGTAGTCAAAGGCGAAGAGTAGCAGTTCGAATGATGTGATGCACTACTTTTTTGACGCTGCCTCCTAAAAAAGAAAGCGATCAAAGTATGAATTGGCCTTATTTTAAAATTATTTTATTCCTCCTATTGCTGTTAGCACATTGGAAGAAATTGAAGCATGGAGAATGGTCAAAAACTAGCTGAGATTAGTAACAATAGTATCCACCTCTCCACCACTGTGTCCCAAACCATCCATCCTAATTAGGATTTAATTTACAGGGTCAAAAAAAAGAAACGCGAAGTAGTAAGTGGGAAGAATTAGGCTCCATAGGTGGAGGAGAAAAGGAGGGAGCAGAATCCCATATCGCGTGTATGCCCATACGATTACACACACACGCACACACCCACGGGAATTGTGGAGAGGACAAGGTTCGATGCGCCCTATCGAATATTACACGCCACCGCTGACACACTACACCGGGGAAATGGGGAATGCACACGTGGGGTTGTGCACATCTAGGCCAGTTGGTGTGTCCCTGGCTGGTGTTAGCCAATGCGTAGCAAAGGCCAAAGATTATCGATTTTATCCGCCTTGGCTACGCGACAACATGTACTGGGTAAGCGCGTGCGCGCGCACGTGTAGATTCATGTGTGATTGTGTGTGTGTATGTATAAGTCTGATTGCATGCATGTATTGCATAACGTCATGGAGAGAACGGGGGGGAACTTAAAAGATCCCACAACATTGAACAATTTTGCATAAAGTAATGCACGCTTTCCACATTTGAATGTAATGCTTCATCGGCCTGGGTTGTCACATTGACGCCGGCTAACAAACCGATTCATTGAATGCACACATACTTGCGTCGTTGGACGTCCGCTTTTGATTTGGTGTTTAAAGCAATAAAAATCTTCTCGCGCACCTTGAGTGATTGATTTAAACTTAAGCCTTTTTTTACGAATGATTTGTCCCCTTTTCAAATGCGCCAGCCTTGTGCCCCGGCTGGAGTGACCTATCTAGAGGAGGGCGATACGTGTTTGGCAGAGAAAGCTGTAAGCCTTTCATTCGTCCGCGTAGATAATATTTCCCGGGGTAAGATCAAAGACTGACTGTGAAAGCATAAAATGTCCCGCTTCGGGAAGTGAGAAAAAGGACAGTCGGTATTCAAGATAAACTTATGAATGTCAATGACTGGACATCAAGTAGGCACATCAACGCGGATACCAATTCGTTATGCTACATTTGGGTTAAGGAAGCAGTATTTCCTCCGCTGCCTTTTAGCCTGTAGAATTTCATTTTCAGGTGAGCATTTGCATCCCACCCTCCGTGAGCAGGAAGGCACATTAATTTTTTAAGTAAACACCGGCCAGCACATGAAAATGGGTGAATTTTCAATTGTTTCTTAGCCTCTCTCTCTCTCGTCTTGTATGCATGTGAAGTCAGGTCAGGTTCTGGCTGCCAAAAATTGTCCAATTATTAATAATTCTTAAAAACAAACTGCAAACTCTTCCAGTCATTGCTAGCCAATACTAAACGTTGTCAACACTCTATTTTCTGAATTTTCAAACTCGGCCACCCCAGTACCTACGAGGTTTGGCTGCGGTTATCTAAGTCCAGAGTGGTTAAAGAGAGAAAGGAGTTATGAGATGCACAAATTGTGTTTTAGGCATACAAATTGTCCGTTGAAATGATGCAGGCAGGTGGATAGATTTCCCCTCTTGATGCCCTACTTACTTCGACATAAACAAGAAGGGTAGGATTTCAAAAGTGTACTTAGGAACTCCCAAACCACAGAGTTCTGAAAGAAGGGATGCATCTCTTGGTGAGCAACTGACCTATTCGACCATAACCTATCAAATACTACCAAAAATACACCTTCATCTTTGCTAATACAGAAAAATTCTGCTTTAAAAACTTTACTAAATACAATACTGAAGAGCTAGATCGGTACAAACCCTACGATTCTGGAATTTTTGAAGTCTTCAATGTTGTTGTTGTTGTTGTTGGTGGTGGTGGTGGTGGTAGTAGTAGTAGTAGTAGTAGTAGTAGTAGTAGTGGTGGTGGTGGTGGTGGTGGT